CTGCCACACACAGCCACCGCCACACACAGCCACAGCAGCGCACAGCCACAGCCCCACACAGCCACACACAGCACGCACGCAGCCGCACACAACCACAGCCACACACAACCACAGCCACAAGCACACACAGCCACAGGCACACACAGCCACAGGCACACACAGCCACAAGCACACACAGCCACAGGCACACACAACCACAAGCGCACACAACCACAGCCGCACACAACCACAGCCACACACGACCACAGCCACACACGACCACAGCCACAGCCACAGCCACACACAGCCACAGACAGGCACACACAGCCACAGACAGGCACACGCAGCCACAAGCACACACAACCACCGGCGCACACAGCCACAGCCGCACACAACCACAGCCGCACACAACCACAGCCAAACACAACCGCAGCCACACACAACCGCAGCCACAGCCACACACAACCACAACCCACAGCCACACACAGCCACACACGACAACCACAGCCACACACAACCACAGCCACGCACAGCCACAAGCACACACAGCCACACACGCGCGCCAACCAAGCGGACGCCTAGCCACCCACGCGGACGCCTTGCCACACACACGGACGCCCAGCCACACACACACACACACACACACGCCCAGCCACCCGACGCACGTGCCTACACACGGCCCACCCGTGGGCGGGTCTATCTACCCACACAGAGACCCACCCGCGTACGGGTTTGCCCGCCCACAAACGTACCGAGCGCGCTTGTTCCTAAAGCCTGACGGCATGGCCGGCGACTTGTAACGGCCATGACAATGATAATGACAGGTCAACCTGTATGAGTGCACTTTTTCTTGTCATAATATCTGTCTTGGTGGAACAACCAGTAACCTGCACCAATTCCAGTCGCCGGTCTTCAAATTGTTTCTCAGTTCTCCAACATCTGTTAGCGCAGCTCATCATATTTTTAAGGTACTATCTTCTCTCTGATGCTAGTACAGAAGGTGCATTTATTTTCAGGGTGCCTTAAATCTGCACTGCAACGCAGTTGGATGTAGCGATATCTCCATGTACGGAAAAGATCCGCAAGATCGCGAACATTAGAGGAGTCGGCTTTTTTTCTCGTATCCATCTCGGACATGGATGCACTTTCCCTCATCTCGGGGACCCCTTTGTTTGTTCCCTGCATGATGAGAAAATACTACGTATTCGAGAAACTACTGAAAAAAGCAAGTATAAATGACTAGGATAACGCACAAGATAGTACTGAAATGAGAGTAGCCTTTCAAGGCTAGCTCTCCTATTTCAGTAAGTAACTCGCTTATTTCAACAAGATTTCGAGTACTACAAGGAAACAAAAGTTGTAGGGTACCAACAAGATGCCGAGAAAGATGGACATCTAGAAGGTGTTGGCCTTAAGAACAGTGCCGAAATTGAATGGGTCCCGACCCTTGCACCTCTGTATGGAGGGATGGTGTCTTTTCTCCCCTCTAGAACTTATACGAGGCTCCTCCCCTCTAAGACCTTATGCGAGGCCTCTAGGATCGAGGCTCCTGCTCAGTAAAAAGCCTCCTCTTATATATACTATAAGGTGAACTCCTGGAGCGCTTATATTATGAGCACCGCAAGCGAACGCCTTTACCTCATGTTTGAAGAGGAGCAAGGGGAACATGTAGCTTGCGCGGTTACATTCTCCAGATCATCCTTGACTTCTTTCCTATTGGAAAATTTGTCAAGAATGGTAGCGAAGGATGCAACTTCTAGGTATTAACCCTCAACTATACAACGCGGGTCTCAAAGGAGGTGGCTCTCTGATTACAACTGGGAGGAGAAAAAACGAAATCCGTACTTTTGCAACGTGTATCTTTAGAGCTACGGCATGATCGGAATCTTCCCCTTCTTGACGATGCATGTCCTCGGGCGATTCTTTTTCAACGAAACATAGAAAAAGAAGAACTTCAACTCTTATACAACTACAAGGATCGGTGATGCTGTTTTTAATAAGGGGACGAGGTCTGCGTCTTATTCTCTCTCCTGAAGGTACTTTCTCCTGAAGGTACTTCTTGGCACAAAAGCCTAACCTGCTCAGAACAAAAGTGCCACACAACAAAAAAAAAATATTACGGATTCTCAAAAATGGTCTCGTCTCCTGTGTCGAAGTCGGCTATTGTGTTTGTTAGTAGTAGCAGTGGTAGTAGTAGTGTGCCCAGTCGTGGGGCATGATATTGATCTCCGCTTAATATATTAAGTTTTCGAATAGCCACAGGGCTAGTATAGCCTTACAACTTGCCTCCGTTTCCACCGGAGCCTGCACCATCCTCTTTGTAGCAATGCGTTTCCAGATAAACCCAGTGATCGTGAATCTGTGCCTCAATCGGCCACCACCCGGTTAAGGTTAGACCTACTTCCGGGAATCCCCATCCATCTTGAAGCCTCTCTGTCATCTTGGACCCAACCTTATTTCAGTGAGTAGGGTCCCGTCTTCCCCCTTGTTACAAGGGAGTAATGTTTCCCCCTTGTTACGAGGGACCTGGTCCAAGAAATTGCTTCATCATCTGAAGATGGATTTCCGGACCACACCTTAATAAAGTCATCGCCGCTGCCTTAGAGGCTGAAAGTTGGCCCCCATCTAGTGGGTCGCATATCTATCTCTTTCCATTTCCTACTTGAAGAAACTGCCATAGAGATGCTCATAGACGAGGTGCCAACTTCCACAGCCCTTAGCTGTAAGTCCACGAGCTGTCGGAATCGTGAGGAGGCTATGTCGTGCCGCGTTATGCAGTATCTCCAATTTGCAAGCAGCTGTTCGTTTCATGAAGACAGCTGTCCACACGGAAGCGCCCTTTCGGTCCACAGTACATCCCGAGAGATCCGCTAATGCCGCAGGTGAAATATTAGTAGGGTGAAATATTAGTAGCGAAGATAGACCTATTAACTTAAACTTCTAAATCTAAATCTATCTAGTTAAGATTTCGAATATTTAGCCTTAACCTTGTTATAGTGTACCTCTCCAGTTAAGACTTCGAATATTTAGCCTTAACCTTGTTATGGTGTACAATCTATCTAGTTAAGACTTCGAATATTTAGCCCTAACCTTGTTATAGTGCACCTCTGCCACACTTTGGATGCCGCCTCGCGCGTCGAAACTCACGAAGCAACAGTCGGGTTGCGCAGCGCAGTCTCCAAACATCTTATCCTCTAGGAAATTTAGAAGCTAGAGGACAGCTCACTCGTGGTCACTGTCCTCTATGTGTAATTTTGACGTAATCCCTGGTAACTGAAGTAGGCCACGGACGCCTTTAAATCTTACAGCTCAAAGCAGTTCATCTTTTGCCTGCATTTCTTCCCATCCTAAGAAGGAAATAGGAAAAAACGACTTGTAGAAATGAATTGCATTGAGCCTGAATTATCTATAAGTAAAGCAGGCGGACTCCTCTCCATTGATCGATCTCTGGTAGATTGATAAAGTAGCGAATCTACGAAGTAGAGACTTCCTTTTCTCTTTCCGTAGGATACCTTTCTTGATTTGGAAGTAGTAGGATGGGATAGGATAGGATAGGACAGGATAGGGCGCCGTTGCTGAATCTTCACACAAGGTGTCGAGTAGACTCCCTATATTCATCATTTAGATTCACTACAATAGTGGTGGAGCCAACCTAACTAGGAAAAAACCAAACCAAAAGAAGAAAAACCAATATTTGATGAATAAAGGGAGTCTACTACTTGAGTGCCTCTTGTCAGTTGAGCCTTAAGTGGTACGCACGTAAGCTCGACATCGCGTGAGTGTACGCGATGCTCTCCTCCAGATTCGCACACCCAGCGCCACTTCCCCTTTGAATTGTCCAATCGCTGAGCCAAAGAAACGAACTCGCGTCGTCTGCAAAGAGGTCATCCGGCCTAGAGTATGGGTGTAAGTATGGGGTGTAAGCCTTAGCGGGCCTAGGGCTTAGGGTTAGCACACAAAGAGACCAGAAGACAACAAGTCCTCGCGCTGCTGCTTGATGGACGATGAGCCTCTTCTTGGATGATGGCGAACCCTCTTCTTTGCAAGAATCTGCATGCTCCCCAAGGATCTCATTGGATGATGAGCCTCCTAGTTGCAGCTCTAGTGGTCCCAGAACAGAGGACCACGTCGACTGCTCTCCCAGTCTTCCCAGGCACGATGACCACCTCTTCATCCTTCGATAGAGCCTTCGTACTAGTCCCATTGTTTCATGCTCTTTTAGAAGACCTCCGGTAGACCATCGGGCGCAAGTTGTAGCTGCGCGATTAGTATTACTAAAACGGACGATGCAGAGGATCACCCCGAACAAGGAAACAGTGTAACATGTATGGTATAATTAGACCTATGCAGATGTATGCAACGCCAGGAGACAGATTCTTCATGTTAGTTGGTACTCCTACTTATTAGTCGTGATATGAAACATGACTACGATGCGAATGGAAAAAGGTTGCCTCTACTAGCGTGGGGATAGAGGCTGTTGAACTTCCTCTACTAGGCTCCCAGATGACCATTCCAAGATCCTGAAAAACCTTGCATGATCCTTGCGAAGCCTTCCATGATCATCTTACAGTCTGCTTCCATGATGACCTTACAATCTGCTTCCATGATCCCCTTACACCCTGCTTCCATGATCATCTTGGAACGCCCCAGCAAGATCACTGCACAAGCTTCAATGAGCTGTACCTGTAGCAGGACTCTATCTTGGCATTAGAGATATCCACAAGAACAACAGATAACTAAGCTTGTGAACTTTAGATAGTCAAAAAAACACATTCCACTGGAGAGGAACAACAGATAAAGATTTTATCAAACAATAACATCGTCTAAAATACGATCTTCTCTAGCCACTCCTTCATTTTCACTTACATCACCGATTCTTCTAGCTGCTTAATCCCGTAACCAATCAAAGCCTTTCTCTCATCAAAGAAACCTCCTGTCGAGGACCGCTATGAAGATACTTCTTGGTCAGAGAGCTTGCGTTCTGAACACAGCACGGTAGAAAACGGTATCGTTCCTCGTAATACTTTCGGATTGATAGAAATCCAACTACATCACTCTGGGAAGATAATTCTGGGAAGATAATTGACAAAGGCGATCTGCACACAGCACCATAGTCTTGTTAGGGATTGCACGACTTTGAAATGGGCTTATAACCTTGATCAGAACTGGACATTGTACTTCCCTTATGAATGAGCATGAACTTTTCAGTCTTGTCACTCAGCACAGAGCACCAGTAGTGTCCAAAATACTGAATTGCGCACACAGTCTTCTTGCTCAAACCCCACGTGCCGATACCGTGTTTGAACTTTCGAGTATTGTCTAGCACAATTGCTGCTCACCCACAAGGTCTTACTCCACAAGGTCTGACTCAAACCCCACGTGCCCACACAGTCTTCTTGCTCAAATGGCCCATCACAGCATGCCCACATAGTCCTCTTACTCAAAGAAGAACCTTCGAGTATTCATTCTCGAGCCTGAATGAGGACTCAGATTACTTACTCAAACCCCACGCGCGTGATGTCTGGTTCGCAGTTTACTTTGGGCTTTGAGCGAGAAGGCTTGGAGCTTGTCGATGCACTCGCCGACCGCATCTAATTCTTGAGACACGCAGTCCAGCTCTCTCTGTAGAGCTTCCAGCCGGGCAGCGTGACCCTCCTGGGATTAGAGAGGGAAATAGACAGGAGGAGGAGGAGGAGGAGGAGGAGGAGAGTTCAAGGATGGAAGGTTTCAAGGATGGAAAGGTGGGAGAAGTTAAGAATTGGTTGTGATATCATATTTGGTGAAAGTGGGTAAGTGCATTGTATCGGCCTCTGGTAAACGACCGGTCCTCATACTGTCACGCCTTTACACGAACTCCAAGTGGTTAATTTACACTGTAGCTAGTTTAGGTGGGTGCGGGCCTTCGTGGTGCTAGGCTTTTTACACTATGCTTCCTTGAGTAAAACTGGGCACACACTCACTACACACTACAATCCACGAGCACCATAATTATCCATATCCGACAGCTCAATCGACGCCATGTCTTCCTCCAGCCTCCGCATCATTGGCAACTTGAAGAAACTTTCCGCAAAAAGTTCGATCTGGTCTGCGACTTGAGCCCGGATAAACTGGAACGTTTTGGCAGTTAGAGGAGAACCAGTGAAGATTATTAGACTAGTGACGATGATTACCTCCGGTGAAGAAATGTCAGTTTAGAAAGGAAGTGAGAGTGAAGATTATTACCTTGCTTCAAACAAAGTGTTCAAGATGGTAGAAGTCGATGAAAGTCAATCATCTACAGATGTTGACCATGAAAGTCAATCTACTGCTCATGACACCAGTCAGTGATCCCATCTTCATAAGAGTAAAAGCATCTGCGCTTTGTCAACGGCGTCGTCGATCATGGAGGGCTCTTGCGGTATACCTGGTTTTTTTTTGAGGGCTCCTGCGGTAATACCTTTTGTTTTCAGACGAGGACAAGCATGATTGTCAACCATATCTTCAACTAACTAGTATGATTTTTCCCATGACAATCTGAGTCTAATTTTCGTATGTGGTAGTTCCGGTGAATACAATGGAAAAATGTAGTACTGGCAAGCCACTTCCCTAGTATCGTGTCGATGCCGGACCTTGACTCGATCTCACTAGGAATCCGTTCCTTGGTGTCCTCGAATGACGGTACGGATTAGAGATGATTTCATTTAAAGTAGCTGCTTCTAAAGAAGGGAACCTGAAGAAATATATGGACGTATGATGCTGAACAACTTTATTCTAATAGTCGTGGCAAATAGTAGTGGTAATTCCAAACAAGTGTTGCTAGTGGGAGTAAAGGGCACCTGAATTATACTCCTTCTCCTTCATACATGCAAAGTAAAAACCTCCACATAAAAACACACGTCCTCAAGCGAGCCTTCGTCTATTTGCGTGCTTGCTCGTTTGAGAAAGACCCACGGGTTCGAAAACGTAGATGCCAGAGTGTTGTCAAACAGCTCCATAATTAGACAGAGATATTAAATTGAGATACCATTTTTACTTTGGCGTCGTTTCTGTGACTGCATCTTCCTATCATGGGCGTCATTTGTCTCCCTTGAGGAATAAAATAGCCAAGGATGGCGCTGCGGATGCATGCTTTAGCCCCTGTTTTCGTCGTTCATGATGACCGGAGACACGAGGTCTGACAGTATTTCAAAGATACTCTTTGGTTGCCTTAAAATAAACTGCTGGAGCTGCCTGTCCACCGCTTTATCAAACGTCTCATAGACCAAATTTTTCACCATTTCGTTGTTTTCTATGAAAAGACAAACTAATTTCGGACGATGATGGTATAGCTCTTGGGATCGATCATCGGGAGGACTCTCAAAATATCTGACGATGTTCTTTTCTATACAGGAGAATATAGTATCTCCGCGCACTCAGTCGTGGTAATGATGATGATGTTTTCTATACAGAATATACAACAGCAAGAACTCCTTTGACTTGCATCCTCTGTCTAATCTTCCGCCATAATCTGTATGATCGCTACCGTCTTCGAGTAGAGGGTGGAGTACATGTGCTCATCTGCCGATCCCTTCAAGCTCTTCATGAAATCCACTATCACGTCCTTCTGCGTCTGGAAAAACCACTTGATACGTTCACCCACGTAACGTAGATTAGATGACATAGTTGCAGTTGTTTCACTTGTTTGCTTCACCCACATGATACCATAGATTAGACAGACCGCCTAGTTGATTCCGTTTGCTTTGGTCATGTTTGACCTATGTGACTTCATCTCCTCCGGCTGGTGGGACAACAAGAACAAAATAGAAAATGTTGGTCGTGTCTTTTCTAGTACCTGATAGTACTGTTCCTAGTACCCACTTATCTCATAAGTACTCGTCTTTTCATTGGCAGATGCGCTTCGTTGCTCAGCAATTTAACGACAACGTCCCTCCACGTCAGGCTCTGCATGGCTACTCCGCGAGCTTGGGAAATGAAGAGGGAGAAATAAAGTACATAGCATTGGTTTACATTAATGCGGTAGCAGGAAGAAAGGAGAAACAAAGTACTTGACATTAATGCCGTAGCAGGAAGAAAGGAGAAACAAAGTACTTGACATTGGTTTACATTAATGCGGTAGCAGGAAGAAAGGGCAGAGAAAGAGAGAGAGAGAGAGAGAGAGAGAGAGAGAGAGAGAAAGAGAGAGAGGGAGAGAGAGATCACCGAAGAGAAACTACAGCACATCAATCCATACAAAACCAAAGAAGGGCCTCGCTAGATAAATATAAGAAACTAAACCTTCTTTCATCTTGCCATAAGAATCACGTCCTTCTTTTTCGTCTCCACGCAGATTTCCGCAAATCTGCAGAAAACCTCAACCTCAAACATGAGCCGGCGAAACTGTGCGCCACCGTTCACTTCGATGTCCAGAGCGTTAGAGATGGTAAAACTACTCCTAATAATTGTTTTCTAAATGTAGTACACTTTACAGATGCATTTACACGACCCTTTGCCCGTGCACCTCACTTTCATCTGTTGTACTTAGTATTGTGGAGACACGCTAGGAAAATGACCAGGAAAAACTATGAAATACTGCTTGCGAAGATGAATTCAATTGTGGTGACCCCTTTACAGCCTTAATCGCTGGCACTTTCATTTCTTCCCTGAGGCACACAATGTAGTCGTCTAAGGACTGGAAGTCGTCTGTCGGTAGTAACGCGAACTCCACGGCTGAAGAGAGGAACGCAAATTGCCTACTGCAACATGAGTACGCAAAGACACAGCGCATATTATGACGATACACGAGGGGCTTCCTAACTAGTAGAGCTACCACGTCGCGTCCCCGAGTCCATCTTCACTGAGGCCTTTTTCCCCTTGAAAAAAAAGCCAAGGTATGAGGATGCGTCAGCGGTAGCCTTAATCAAAACAACAGCATTACTTAGCGGATAAAGCAATCAATCGATAAACTGAAACAAGCAAGTAACTCCTTAGAACAATCGAGCATCTGAAAGAGGGCGAACAACGTAGTGACTCTCTTACTTCAGTCTGTAAATCGGACATTCATATTTTCAGTTATTTCGAATAAGATGGGTGGAGCCAAGCTAACTAGGAAGAAAAAGTAAGGATAGTAGTAAGGATTATAGTAGTTTGAGTAAGTTGACCTTCAGTTATTTCGAATCGGACATTCATATTATTTTCAGTTATTTCGAACAAGATGGGTGGAGCCAAGCTAACTAGGAAGAAAAAGTAAGGATAGTAGTTTGAGTAAGTTATTTCGAATAAGTAGAAAAAGATTACCAGTTCCCTTATGTGCTGCATGGAACTGTCTCAGTTCGTCCTCTAGGGTGATCCGCGAGTTGTCCGATCGAACGTAACCTTCCATCACGTGATTTAAAGCATGACCAAAACTCATGCCTGCTTCTCGGACGCTGGAATTAGATTTTAATTTCAAAAAAACAGGTATCACCTTTAACTCATTTTTTTGAATCTAATATATTGCAATTTAAGCATAGTTGAGGGCCGTTTGGCAGGAACCGCCCCCGCGCGACCCAGAGGCCGCCGCCCCGCGCTACCTGCTCCGGCCTTCGTGCGGGGCCGTGCTCCATCTGCGGCACGCATGCAGACAGGCCGGGCCTCCTCCCGGCAGTGCAATGCAAGAGGCTCAGCGCAGAGGGCTGGGCACACCCCGCCACAGTCCGTCAACTATGCCTGCTTCTCGGACGCTGGAATTAGATGAGAATTCAAAAAACACTTTAACTCATTTTTTTGAATTTAAGCCTGAGACCACCGCAGACATTCAATGCCATAGTATTCAAAATCTGCGACGGATTTGTATGTGTGATTTCTTCCTCCATGCTGCTTTTTCTGTCTTGGACTTCATCCCGCATCTCCCTCAACTTTTTGAGGACGGGGCCTATAGCATCCGCAAACATCTCCTCGATACGGTCTTCCATCGCCTAAGAACGGGAGTAGTTCATGAGGATGTTGAAGAGAGGTGTAGAGGAGATGATGTTGAGAGGTAGTAGACTTGTTCTAAAGGACTACTACAACAGGTTAGGTTGTGAAAGAATCCTGCACAACGTATCAGGATTACTACGACAACTTTTCCATTTTATTACACGACATTAAAAATGAGGTGGAACATGATCTGATGATCTGAGTACATCGAACTCCTGGAAGAGGAGAGCAGAATGAATCTGGTGACTGGAGATAAACAACTACCACAGCGAATTATATCTATCGGCATCAAAGCAGCAGGTATCTAATGGCGCCAAAATTTCCAAATGAAAAATCTGATTTCGGTTTCTTTTGTCACGGTGGAAAATGTTTTTTTACGCAACTCCAAACAGAATCAGCATGATAATGACTCTTTTACATGTCATAGATACCTTAGCAAATTGCGCATAGCCCACCGTCATTTTGAGCTTGTCGCTGGCGCCTAAACCGTTGATCATGTTGACATCGTCGTCGTTCATTTTGGTCCTCAATTTAGCGAACCCTTCCGGAGGCTGTTCTAGGCCTTCTTGCCAGTGAGGACATGTAAGCGCAAATTTTTCTAAATTCCTAGGCAAATCGCCGAAGCCCTCTAACCAATCGTTAATATTCTCAGCGGTCAAGTCTCGGTAATACCTGGTATTCATAAGTAGATTAGTTGGTGGAGTTCGAGTTTGGATCAAAATTGTTCATGTCATTTAATGTCATTTAAGTAAATTTTAAAAATCAATCAAACCACTTGAGAGATATTGAGTAATGAACCCTTTCGCAAGACTCTGACTCCACCCCACAAAAAAGAGTACACCTACTATCCGTCATGAGAAACAATTTACCCAGACTCATCACCTGAGGTTACAATAAAAATGCACTTGACGTCCAGTTTTCTCCATATCAGAACTACACTCTAAAAATGGAATAATTAATATACTTGTCCAATTTATTCCGTATCAGAATCGTTCTTTCGAAATTGGGATCAATTTTTTTGCACTTGTTTAAAGTCCCCAGATTCGCCGCATCTCCCGCTTGCTCGACGCACAACATTACATTCCGTTTATCCTCCATAAAACGGGTGACCAGTTCTGTAGTCGAGAAGCAAGTTTGAGGATAATCTAACAGCGAGTGATAAGGAAGGTCGTGAGTCTTTTGTAGCTTCCCACAAAAAAGTTCGTTTTTGTTTTCGTTGAAAGACAAAAATAACTCGTACTTGATGACGTCTCGCCTAAGTACTCAAAATAGTTCAACATAAAAAGTACAAGAGCCAGCACACGTAATCGTCTCGAGTACTCATAGTTCAACCTAAGTACAAGAGCAAGTCTAATCAAAAGTATACTTTCAATCGCATCTGCCAATCTTTGCTTGTCTTCGTCCAAGGCAAATTCGCGGAAACCAGGCAAATCGACTATCTGCATATCGACACAACTTGCGGATTCTAGTCGCACGTTGACTGGCTGGTCCGAGATCGACGTTCCCAAGGACTCGTGTGCTTCTCCAAGTATCTTTAGAGGTAGGTGCTTTTTGGTGCTCGCGGGTTCCCCCGCTTGTTATGCCTTTCTCAGCTCTACATTTAGAGAGGCATAAAAAGCGGTAAGAAAAGCACCTTAAAGGTGTACCCTTAATATCTCCATCACTTTCGCCGCTGGATATTCCTCCCATCGGTTGGTGCCTCGTGACAGGACACTCCACTTGCTTTCCCTAGAATGAGGGACATTTCTAAACTCCAGTACCGTTGGCCTCCTGCTCCCCAGTGTTCCGGACACGAAATTAAACGTCTCACCCTGCGTTTTGTTTTCGAAATTCTAGTACGATCACGAATGTCATAAGTGAACATGATCATACTCATTGGCTGATTCACGTTCCCTGATTGATGTAGGTGCCGAGTCTACTCGAGATGAAAAGGACACGATCACAAGTAAATCGATAAGATAGAATACCGCCAGCGTCTCGATGATCCGACTTTTCCCGACACTTTGCTTTCCTGAGCTTAGAGGAGCTTCGCTTTCTCAAAATCCACCTATTGCGGTAAATACGAATACCGAAAAAAAAATGTCTCCATTGGACTGTAAAAATGAATCACTCTCATCATTGAAATATCCTGTAGAGATCAACCAACTGTGTGTGAAATTATGTTGCCTTAGTACAAGTACTAGTTCCATGTGCCAACCAACTCTGAAACAAACAAATTCAAAAGTACTACTAGCATTCCAAGTACTAGTCACATGATAGCCTTAATATCAAAATGAACTGCGGCATAGGGAAGTCCACTGTTCCCAGAGTGTCCTGGACCCTCGTCTTGACCTCAGACAGGACGTCCAGCAACTCTTTGCGGACGCCATCCCCGTTCTTCATCATGCTGGTTGACGAGGTGGCTGGGGGAGTTAGAATAGATAGGGGCTGCAACTCTGAATCTAAAAAATGAAGAATAAGTTTAAGTTAGCAGTAGTACTAGTGGCCCTCGTCAAATATAGCCTAAGAACGATAGATTCCTCTAAAAAAAAAATAAAGCCTTAAGTGATAAGACGACGAAGGTCCCAGTGCAGACGGCATAGACCAAGATGAGTGGTCACGTAAGATCGGGATAGAGAAGATCGGGATAGAGAACGAAGTAACGCCAAAGGCTCCCTGAAGCTGTTACTGCTGCGTGCCGGTGCTGCGTGCAGGTACTGGCACTCGCGAGGTGTAGGTACTGCGTGTAGGTACTGCGTGTAGGTACTGCGTGTAGGTACTGCGTGTAGGTACTGGTACTAACTAACGAAGTAGCTTCCGCGGCTTTTACTTTTCTGACGTTCTGTGCTATAAGTTCAGGTGTCGTGGTTTCTAATCGTCTTGTGCTCTGTCGCGGATGGTCCTCCACGTCGTAAGGTTACAAGTTGGTCAGTAGCCGGGCAACTCCAACGAAAGCCCTTCGACTCCTCGAACGCGGAGTGCCATGTTGTTGCTTTCTTCGGATTCAACTTGTTGTCCAACTTTTACGTTCTTCAGTATCAACAATTCATCTTTTGATACAAGATAGAACAAAAGACGATAAAATTCTACTCAGTTGTAAAGCAATCAGGGATAACAAGGACAAATGGCTCACTGCTAAGACAAGGTAGTTTGCTAAAATTCAATTCAACCTGAAGATGCGTTGTCATCGTCATACTTTCGAGCAAAAGCCGAGTGGAAAGAAAGAAGCAAGCACGAGCCCAAAATGTCACAGCCGAAGCAGTCTAGTTCTCGTTTTGCATGCACATTCATTGTAAACGTAGATCCACTTCAACAAAAGCCGTCTAGCGGACAACAACGGTATTGGATGCTTTGCGCGGGTGATATTATTAGTGCTGAAGAACGTGCACTCGGTATGCCTTGGCTGTGTATTGATTCACTTCTTCCTTTGCAAGCAAACTGTACATTGAGAAGTCGTAATTGTGGTATAAAACTTCTACCAGATATTGATATACTGAGTCAGCTCAGCACCTCGTCTTTGCAGGCATCGTGCAATGACACGCATATAATTCTCAAATACGGCAAGCAACAGTAACAGGTAACAGAAAATCTATTTTGACCAAGACTCTGGTTTGATAGCAAGTAGTAACAGTAACAGTAGTTAACAGAAACAGTCTAATTCCAGACTTTGAGTATTGATGTAACAGTAACAGGTAACGCTTATCGGTAACAAGTAACGGAAATCTTTTTCGTAAACAACTATTTTGTCATTTTTTCTCACAACTAGACCATTTTCTTTCATCTCGCTATCCTGAAAGCCTAAAATCTTCTTACACCACCTAACCTCAGTCACAGCTCAAGGCGCCCTTCTAAACTGCGCCATTGGATCGGGGCCGGCCCACGAGGCCATTGGGTCCGGTGCTGGCGGTGGCAGGATATGCGGCGGTGCCATAAAAGCCGGGTTCGCAGCCTGTGCGGCTAGTGCAGCAGCAACAGTACCAGCGTGTAAGGATTAGACATCGAAGTTCTTGGGATGTTCCATTTCCTACTTGAAGATGTTCTCTTGCAACCACGTTGAACCACCCTCCTCATTTGGTAATCAATATGAATTGTCTGTCGGAAAATCACACTGATGTGTGTCTACTTCATCTTTTTTATGTCATAATGATATTGCGGAATTAGCTTGATGATATCTCCAGCCTGTCCTCTCAGTTCCACTGACTTCTTCGCAAGTGCTTGCCCCTCTTCCCATTTTTGTTCTGCGGATGCAATCGTCGCGTCCGCCGTCGGCCTGAAACGAGTGGGGGGGAGAAGATGCACCCCATCTGTGCTAGAAATGTCCATAATCTTCCAAGGATATTAAGCAAAACGGGTAGGAGCGACGAAACCCGGCGCAGGGCGAGTTGACTAGTACTACAGAGGGCAGCCCCGGGTGGTAGTCTATCCCAGCAAAGAAATCCAGCGCTGCCCACCGCCTGGGCCAGGGTTCCGCGCGCCAGTGGTGTCCGGGTTTTCCCGCATGGTCCACACTGGTCACCGCCTCACGCAAGTGCAGACTGCGAGCACTGTGCACAAGGCCAGAAGATGCCACGCGCGTTGCCCTGACTGTGGCACAAGCCGCGGAACAGAATAGAGCCCACAGGGGCGCCCTGTGGTCTCTATGCAGATGCGCTCGGCGTCCCTCATGGCCTCGCGCCATCGCCCCGGCCGATAGTATAGCTGCGAGCGGAGAAATGCGGAAAGAAACCCCTCGCCGCCTAGACGCCCCGAGCGTGTGAGCCTTTGGCGCACCCTGCTCAGTCGAAGCAGGTGAAGACCGCCACCGCCTCCCGTTTGTTTGGTTTCTGCTCAGCCGTCTCCCTTTGTGCCACGTAGGGCGCCCCATGAGTGACCAATGCCCCACCTCTGTCCCTAGCATCTCCGCGCGCCTTATATCGCGCGGCACGGTAAGCCCCTCAGCTCTGCGCCCCTTTGCAGCTGCGTCACCTGCCACTTTTCCCAAGCCGGTGCAGAGCGGGATCGTGGCCCCGCCTATTTTCAACACAAGCACCCGCGCGCTTCCCCCCACGAAGGTCAGCAACGAACAGGGACGACCGAGAGAAAAGCGCGCCGGACTGTGGGCGGGGTGTGCCCAGCCCTCTGCGCTGCCTACGGCACGGGTGGCCTCTTGCATTGCACTGCCGGGAGGAGGCCCGGCCTGTCTGCATGCGTGCCGCAGATGGAGCACGGCCCCGCACGAAGGCCGAAGCAGGTACGGCCGTAGCCCATTTACTTCGGGGCCGGTTACTTAATCAGCGGCGTCGCGGCGGCCCCCGTACTTAATCGGCAGCGCCGCGGCGGCCCCTGGGTCGCGCGGGGGCGGTTACTGCCAAATTCTTCGGGATATGCCTCAGACGAAGAGCCGCGGCCCCCCTATTTAACATGCCCCCATAGTGCACAATGGCGTTTCAAGTTGAATCGAAAAAAATTCACTCTTCAGTACCGATCTCCAGCTATATTTGCCGCATTCGCTCTTTTCTCTAATTCGCGTGCCTCTGCCTCCATCGCAGCTGCCTTTGCGCTTTCATTAGAGCAATCCCCTTCAGCATCCATACAACCCACTAAAAAAAGACTGTTTTTTAAACAAAAGGACGCTCCTTCACATTTAGGATGGACGACGATGAGGGACCTAACCACGGGTTATACTGTATAAAACACGAGCAGGAAACGATGGTGAAGCCTTAATCTTAGCGTCTGCTGCCACTGTGTAGTCACGTGCGCGAACCTCCGCGCCCTTCATTTGATCGAAAAACGGCTTTCCCGCTTTTTCCATCGCTGCCGCTGCTTTCGCCTGCGGTGTGTTCGCCTGCTTCTCAGCATAAGCAGCAGCCGCCTGTGCCGCCGCAGCTTCCTAGGAATTAGAAGAAGGGTAGGATCTCATTTGGTTTCATACATTGCGGACCATTTGATATCTGAAACAATCGGTAGCAGCGGTGGATCATGTTGTCCTCCCAGGATCATTTAGTACACTTGTAGATCACTTTATTTTCCGAGAAGACCTAAAAAACCATCTTCAGAAAAATACTCAAAAATAACGACTCAAATAATCGTAACTTTCGCCAGGGAGTCGATGACCTCCTTTCCCGCTGCTACAGCGGCTGCTCGTGCCTCCTCTCTAGTCTGATCTAGTGCGTCCCTTGCTGCAGTTGCGCTTTCAGTGGCTAAAGTTGCACTCTTCTCACTCTCCTGAACCATCTTCTGCATCGCAACCTCCACATTTTCTTCGTCTATGTCCGGGTTACTGGTTGCCTGAAGTGGGTGAAGGTGTGTGCTTCGAGTAGTAGAGGTGTAGGTAGTGTAATCTGGTACTTTCGAGACTCCCTTACAAAGATTGGGGTACGACTAATTTCAGTACAAGTACTTTCAAAGAGTCTATCATATTGCCGCAGCACTCAAGAACATCGACGTGCAGAAAATATCATCAATACTTTTGAATTTTCTGCTATTCCGTGTGCTGCATCATGCGTTTTCTTCGCCTCCGCTGACAGCGATTCACTCGCAGCTTTCGCATCTGCCACTGGATTTCTTCCTGGTTCCTTAGAAATCAAAATTCCGCTTGTCGTCTCTGATGCGCCTGCAGTTTTGGCCTCTAAGAGCATAGGCATTGAGAGCAATGCTGGATCTTTTCCAGGCTGGAGCTTCCATACCTCGTCATCTTGAAGAGCGACGCACTGGTGTTCATACATTATATATAAAGTGTCCTCTTATGTATCATGTTGATTGAGAGTAATAAATGTCAAGAACATCTTGTTGAAGATAAAAACCTCCATGATAGATAGTGATATTAAGATATAATACCGAGAAAACTCTGATTGGTTTCATTTGATCATAACCTCTTAGGAGTAGGACATGGTCTGTATGGAATAATAAATTACAGCGCTCTGCAGCGGGCTCGTTCGTCCCTGCGACGGAAGGCACTCGTAAAAACAAAACCGCTGAAAATTCAATGCCGCACCAACGTCGCTTTGTAATACTGATTATTAGAAGTTCGTTGCACTCCTGCTTAGATTCTTATTCCTTAAGCATATCTTTAAATTCTACTTTCCATGCTATCATGAATCTCTAAATTCCTATCTCGGGAAGATAATAAATGCAGGTGGATACTTAAAAATCAGTAACAACAAGAGACCCATGCATAAGAAAGCGCATTTTGATTCACGCATTGGTCTGCCGATTGTTTCCTCGGTCCGCACTTGACCGTTACTGTGGATGACGTGCCGAATGTCATAATCTCAGACGGAAACCTCTGTCGGACACTGCAGTGGTCACAATGACAGATATTGTTGTCAACGCTCGGATTAGAAAAGGATCGTTGTAGGTGTTAGTACCAGAAAGAATAACTCAGTTTGCCTGGTGTCTTGGTACATGCCTCTTTATGTCTCCACCTAAGCATAGCTAACTACAGTACTGCACTCATCGTAATAGAGAAGAGATGTATCCCTCCTTCTGATTCTTCTTCAACGTTTGTTTTCGCATCGTCTCTTGTGGCACCAAATAGCAAAGACTGGAAATCGAGGAACCTTGTGGAAGAAGTTGACAACCCCTCTGAAGATGGTGATTGTGTCCCCGTTTGCGCCAGGCTTTGGCTAGTTGAAGAGGAAGTGCTTTTCGTTTTACCTAGACTTGTAGTTTCAGACGCGCTAGTACCACTTGATGTGCCTAGTACTGAGGACGTCACACTACTAATTGAACTGCTAGACGGGGTTTTCGTGCTCTTGGTCTTGTTCTTTTTCCCTTTCTTAGTCAAACCACGTACAAGACTCTGCGCACCTTTGCCTTGTACGGAACTGGCAGCTTGCTTTCCAGCAATTTCTTGTTGTTCCTGCAGTAGTGCTTGCGGCGCCAGCCTTCTCCCCTGGCCTAGTGCGATGCTATTCTCATTGAGGTCGGACACGACATCTTCTCTGTGTTTCCTTCGGATTGCGGAGCTCGGTGCCTTCGAGTGTCGGACGATGATGGCATCAGTTATGCTTGAATGCGGAAGCACGCAAGCGGCACCGAGCCATCGCATTCTCGTCGCAGTCGACATTTTTTCTTTCACGAACACTTCTACTTAAGTGATCGTCATCCTATGGAAGTTGGACATCATACAACATCGTGGTCGAGCAACCCGAGACTACGTGATTGTTAGGATAAACACTGTTTAGGAGGCACGCAAGCGGCACCGAGCCATTTTTCTTTCACGTAGGAAAAAAAGAAGGACTTAAAGGAAGAAGAAAGGCCTCCTTTTAAGTCCTTCCGTTTTTCTTTTTGTCTATCTCCTCAACAAAGAAGCACGCAAGCGGCACCGAGCTTTTTTTATTCGCATTTTTTATTCGCATTCGAGACTACGTGATTGTTAGGAGACTACGTGATTGTTAGGAGACACCATTATAGCATCGTGCTTCACATCAACTACGAAGTCGATTACTGGTCATGTATGGAATACAATGCCATACAATACAATACACCTCGCACAAAGTTCAGTGCATTCATTAGAGCGCCGTACGCACCACAATCTTCATCTACATCTTAGCATTTCGTTGCAACGTTCTGCCCTTTTTGTTTAGGTCTTTTTTGTTTGACACGTTAGGCATAGCATTATATCCAAGAAAAGATTGATTACCCACTTTTCTGTACACCGATGCTTCAATCTCCAAAGCTGTCGATCACCTGGCCTTAGACGGGGACCCACACACTCACTCTGTCTTCACGAGCACGAAGCCCGTATCTCTGGTTAGAGTGGCAGTGTCTCTGACACTCCTGTCCCTAGAGCTACTTCTGGTGATCGTCTAGCTGTACGAAATGTCAAGGCGAGCAAGAACAATAATTGTAGTGTACCCATCGGTTATCATGATTGTTTGATTGTAATATAATCCTGTGTAAGTTGAAATGGCAAGCCACTTTGCTCCTAGCTGTAGTGTCGTAGTCAATCGTGGACCTGCTTTCATAGCAAGCACAATAGCTGTATCGGCAGACAATCTTCAATACTGCAGCTGTTGCCTACTTAACTATAAATCGAAAATCAATCTTCAATATTCTCAAAACATACTTAATCGTCGTCCTTCACCTCTTATTTTTCTTCCCTCCAGGTGCGTCTGGGTCTGTATGAATCTCCTTCATCCTCGCTGTATACGGAACTGCAGATAATACGAAGTCTTTTGTTAGCGGTTTGGGGTGTCTTTTTTCTCACGTTGAAGAGTGAGGGTTTTTTTCTCAAGAGAATCTTGTTCTACGGGCTGAGCCTTCTTTTTGGGAGGCGCCGTTTTGAGTTGGAGAAACCCCGCTATTTTCTGTCGCTTATACACAGACTGTAATCAATCTAATAGATCTATCTCAGAGAGCTAAAAAGAAGACTCTGAGTCTTCATGTAAGCTCTTTGAGGTATTACATACCAGGCTAGAGTCTTCAATTAAGCTCTTTGAGGTATTATACATACAACCAGGCTCATTACTTACTATTACATACCAGACTCAAATCTGCCTTGATGATGATGTGAATCTACTCAAATCTGCCTTAATTCTAAGAGAACGATGTCGCGCTTTAATCGTGGATCGTACTCGCCCATGTTCATTTGTTTCCCAAACGCTTTGGCTCGGATTATCTTTCCCACACCTCGTATTAGAGAAGCAGAAATTCTGTGTCTGTGATGTGCGTGTAGTTTTACAAGTAAGTATGGTAAAGCAGAGAAAGCATACGAGAACCTGAACAAACGGCCACCTTCATTACTTCATGATCCGATCCTTCAGGTAATGATCTAAGTCTCCTGCAAGGAGTCCTTGAGATACGATAGGCTGTACTTCATTCACTCCTAACTAATTAACTTTTCACTAGTGCAGCATCGTCATAACTTTTCTCCCCATTCCTTTCCAAAACTATTCTCGATAAGCCAGTAGGGTGTTCCTTCTTCTTCGCCCCACCCGAGAATTTTCACTGCATGCAAAAGGGGCTCCTGCGACTTTCCCAAGATGGCCGTCGCGGTCGCCATGGGCGTGTACACACCAGACTTGTATACGAGAAAATCGTCGTAGAGGTACTCAGGTTAGAGGTGGGGAAAACTTGATTGATTAGTCATTCATAGAGAGATTCACTTCGTCGACCAAGTAGGGAAGGAACTATTTTTGTTTCCGTTTTCCGCGAGATGACATGATGTAACAATGAGTGAAAAGCTGCTCGACTCGTAAATTAAAGCTACAACGGGACCGTTCAACAGCATCTCACTCCGTACTTGCGCGCCGTCGGTCATCTGGTTGAGTGATAGAGACGTCAGGTTGTAAAGATAGAGTATATAAGAAAGTAGTGGGCGCAACAAGGAAGGAATAAGTGGCGAGTAAAAGAGAAAACAAGAGCATCAAGTAGGGCTATGAAAACAAATCACGAGGGCTCTAAAAACAAGAGCACTACATTGTAAGCACTTCATTGTAAGCACTACATTGTAAGAACCCGCTAAAAAAGTAGCACTACCACACAGTAGCTTGAGGTTCTATATCGTTTCTTATCGTCACACTGCATTTTCGTTTTACAGGGCAGTTTTCTAGCGTCTTTTGCAGCATATGGAAAACACCTCTCGTCCACTAGACCTGTGGTTGTTGGGAATGTTGTGAAGCTTTCAGTTCTCAGTAGTTGTAGTAACCTTCATTCGTCGCTTCATCATGGAATAAACTACTTTCTAAAATTTTTATACCATGCCCTTCCGTAAAATAGTAGACTTTGTCTAAATCGCCTCCCATACAACCCTTGTTTACATGCTGATCACAACTAAGCATGTACTGCGGCGCCAGCTGCAGTTCTGAATATAACTCTGGATCGGAGATGCAGAAACGATTGGCGTTAGAGGGTGGGGAAGATTACAATGGATCTTATCCGTGTTGACAAGGTTTATCGTGTCGATTCAAAAAATCATTTTTGTAGTTCCATGATTCTTACAGATGATCAAACTTACACGACATGGTCCAAATCATAATGCTAAGTGTCGTCGCTGTGCTTATCGCGTAACTGGCACTGCAATTTCCTTGGTGGTATACTCTGTCCTCTTGCTTCGCGAAACAGTCAGGCCACCTTTTCCTGGCATCAAATTCTGATGGAATCCCAGGTATTTCTCCAACATTACACTGCTGCGAATTCAGCAAACCACCTTGAGATACCTGAGATGGACATGTCGGTGTGCGCTACGACATTTTCCGTGTGTTGCATTCATCCAACAAACATGAATTTGAGACAGGAGACGGCAACACCATATCCATGATCTACCACGACCTTCTAGGGTATAATAATAATCTGAATAAGGATCAATCTATACTGCCTAACTATACTCCACTATATGATCTACTAGCCAATAAATTGAAGTATTCTGTCTAGTATTCTATCTAGCATAAAGACAGAATGCTCTGTAAACTATACTCCACTATATGATCTACTAGCCAAAAGAAGATACTTATACCCCCACAGCCGCCCACTTCTTCACTTGCTTGACTGTCCATCCTTCGAAGGAGCTTATCTCCCCAGCTTGCCAACTATGCGCGTTGTTATTCACGTGGGATATCAGTCCTGCGTCATTCACGAATATGGACCCTGGCTTCGGCGCCGGTGATAATAGCGGTACTACAAGACCGGGATTAGAAGGAGACGAGTGAGGGAGGTGTTGTAATTTCCAATTTTTGTACAGTAAGTCCTTAGAAGTTCTTCAAGTCTGTCGTTGTATGAGCGAAGTGCCTTCACGCTTATAAGCCAAGAACCCCTTAAGTGCCGCGCTTAAGCGGTGAGAGTCACTACTTATAAGCGAAAAGCCCCCTCAGGTGCCTCGCTTAGGAGGTGACAACCACCACGTAAGCGAGTCCCTCAGGTGCCTCGCTTAAGCGGTGACTGCCACCACTTACGCGACAAGTCCCTTACGTGCCTTGCTCAAGTAGTAACCTTCAATACTCAAGCGCCAAGTCCCTTAGGTGCCTCACGAAACACTTTAGCCACCCGGCCGTTAAGTGTCACACTTTGCATCATTTCCTTGCTTATAATGTTGGTGGAGCATTATATCTAACTAGAAAAAACAAAAACCGAAAAAAGAAAAGTCAGGCAAGAACTTATCTACTACTAGCTAAGCGCCGGCGCTGCCGTGGTCCTATCAGTATAATTGTAAAGCAATCAATTTTAACAAACTTAACAAAAGCAATCGCGGCTCCGACCACACCAAACGCTATGTGATATTTTCGATCTGGATCCACATCCTTCCTCCGGGAAGCAAGTGCCTTCTTCACATCCGGTGCAGAGCTAGAAGTCGCAGCAGTGGAGGTTACTTCCGACATCTTGGGTCGCCACGGACGTTGCAGATGAGAGATTACTTATGTCGCCACTAAGGTGAAGATGCTCTTGGGAAACCGAAGAGCCGTTGCCTCAGTGACAGCAAGCACTAGAAATAAGTCCTCGCTCTGGCAGCAAACGCACGAGACGACGTTGACATTTTAGTGGTCATCATTAGATTTAAGACATAACATTGACTTCTACGGTGTCGGTGTCAAATTAACATCTCGTAAGTACTCGTACCTAGAAACCTCTATCTCCTGGTAGTTGTATGTGATCCAGATCTTGTTTCCATTAAACACCACATCATCAACTACTCTTCTACTCACTGCCCGCTCATGGATCAAGTAACTCGGAACTCATGGTTTTCTCAAGAACACACACACTTCATTTTCCAGTGGAGAATCTCGTCAAGTAGCATGTCACGACCACTCACGGCTCACCTTATTCAAATATGAAAAATAGGAAGTGCTCCTCTTTTACTTCTACCTCTCTCTTCTTTTGAGAGTAACACAGTTTTTCCTGCTGTTCATCAACTCTCACAATCTGTAGTCCTTTTTGGTGGAAAAAACAATGATCGGAAAAAAAATATGTTCAGTCGTATCATAGTATTGGTCCTGACATTTGCAAAAGCGGAAGTCGGTTTTTCATTCCTGATCCGCAGGTGGACGACGGCAATGGCAGTAGCAATTACAGGGCTCTGCTTCTGGACACGGCGCCGTGCGCCAGTCTGGCGGTGGTGGCGGCTCGAAGTTTGGTGGGAGAGGGGTGTTAGAGCTTCATCGATATCTAATCCTTTTCAAGAGTAAAACAATAAATTCTTCACTACTTCTTCGTTACTCAAAAAAATAACCGTTGAAAAAATTCAACCCAGTACTAGACCAACGCAGGAACAACTTATTCTCTAAAAATCAATCTCGAAAAATAAAAAAAACTTGTCCACTCAACACTGTTCCTGTCATCCTTAAGAATGGGATCCTCTTCCTGGATCAATGCGATATCTTCTGCCTGTATCAATGCAGGTGGAGCCGGAGTCTGGTAAACGGTCTCCGGACAGACGCATTTGCCTGACGAAAGGTGAATTCGTTTAAAGAAATTAAAAACGGACTTTTCTAGATACTGCCCTTCCTGGTACTTCCAGATACCTCCAGTGCAATACAACATTTGTAAAAACATCTCGTCTTTCACTTCGTATAGTTCTAGCATGAAGGTCTTCAACGTCTCTAATCTTACCAGAAGATCTAGATCATGATAGATCGTGAGGGAATTCAATGTTAATCGCTGTCTAGAAATAAAATATCAGGACTCCCCAGGACATTACTACAAACTACTCCTGTGAATAAAGAGTCACTCACAAAAAATTCGTAATACAATTGCATGGTTGCGGTTTTGGGCAGCTTTTGCGCAGCTGTGCTCTCGCCCACAACTGCATCAAGGAAGCTGGTTTATTCTTCCCAACACAGCTTGCACCTGATGCTTTTCCGCTATCATCATGGTCCACTCTCGCCTTGCAGTTTTTTTCGCAAAGATCCTCGTTGACGTTTTGATCCCCTTTTCGTGTCGTCGCATCTTCTCGATGTTGAGTCGTTCTGCTTGTTACTCCAGTCGAAGTGGTACTAGTAGTTTTTACCTCTTGCGTCTGGTATTCGAGTTTTTCTCGGCAGACCAAAAAGCTGTCGGTAGTGCGGGAATGAAACGGACTGCATTGGGTGGCACACAATGATTCATCATTGGGTACCACGAATGCTGCAGCCCAAAGCGTTTCCACCGAGAATAGTAAAAGCTTCCTCCACATGATCTCCATCATGCGAGAATACTAAAAGCTGTTCTCACATGATCTCTCAAGTGAAAGAACTATAAGTTTGCTATAAAAATGGATCTCTAAAGTGAAAGAACAAAAAACTTTGCTATATATAAAAAGAGGCTACCTGACAGATCTCTAAAGTGAAAGAACAAAAAACTTTGCTATAAATACAAATGAGGCTACCTGACAGATCTCTCAAGTGAAAGAACTATAAGTTTGCTATAAAAATGGATCTCTAAAGTGAAACAAATATCGTTTTGTTCTCTCCTATAAAAATGAGGCTACATTTTCAAGCAGAAACTACATTTTCCTTTTAAGCAGAAACTACATTTTCTTCCTTGGTCTTCGGTTTGAAGTAGTTTGTCTGACTGATATTGACCTCGGCGGCGCTTGTGTCCATGTCACCCCTTCCTATCACAACTTTGTTTTTCCTCCGCTTGATTTCGTATGAGGAACAACACAGCCATCTTCATTTAAAGATGACGTGACGCTATTTCTGTGTTAGTGACAAATCTTGTTTTGTCTTTTCCGTTACAAATTGTGTCGTTTCCACTTTCATCAGTAATAGAAGTTGCTGAAGCCCTTTCGCGGATCCTGTGCTTAGAAGATGAGCTTTCACTGCTATTTTTCATCGAAAAGAATGCGAAGACTTCTGCGCAGGTAGCAGTAGTTCCAGTTCTACCATGAAAGAGTGCTGCACGGTCGGTCTCTTCCAATCCGCTTTTGTACAAGGGAAGGTCAAGAATTTAGAAACTCAAACTCCTAAATACTTAACTTTTACACCAGGTCCTCTACGATATCAACAAGAGTAAATCGGTGTAATAAAATGTTCTGCCTTGGACTTGGACAAAAAGCAAGTCCGAGGCAGAACATTTTATTACACCGATTTACTCTTGTTGATATATGTTCTACCAACAAAAGCAAGTCCTACACGAAAGACTCTATACAACGCCTGCAAGAGCGGCTGGGGATTAGAAGCGGTACAGCAGCATAGAACGTAAGGATTGTAATGACATCATCGATCAGTAAGATAAAGATTTGTAAATCTTAAGAAAAAAAGAAATAAACTCATAATTTTGCTCGGCATCGAACTCCTTCTGTAACAAGTCTTGCGCAGTTTCGTCGTTGGAGTTTTTGTCGCCCGTCTTACTCTTAGAAGAGAGAGTCCTGGTTCGTTGTTGTGCCATGACGACAGACCGGAAACTGCCTAGCAATTGTCGTGGACGACCTCTCGTTCTCATCAGAGGACGAGCACATGCTGCCATCATTTCGTGATGGCATACCTAGTCTAATCTTTACGGAAGAAACTACTTCACAAGGCTGATGGCCCCAGCTAGAAGAGACTACTTCTTTGAAGGAAGTATTTTTGTTATCAATAGATACTCAGATACCAGGTGGAAGATATCTTCAACGTGTCTGCTCTACTTCACTCGCATCATACTCGAAGTTCTCAAAACTAGAGAATTTTGCTACTCTCTTTTTCCAGAACAGTCTTTTCTTAGAACAACTTCATCATTTCGACAACATCAAAGGCGAAGGCCCGGTTGTTCAGGTTGTTCCCACATCAAAATATGTGGCGCTCAGCGGCAGACTTGGTACTTTACCTAATCAAACTTGGGCGTTCGGTCGTTGGTAGAATCAAGGGAAGGTGGTAAAGGTTAAGGACATAGAGTGAAGCGGAGAGGAAGTAGAGAGGGACAGCTGAAAAAAAATGCTTTTTGAACTTTTGAAGTTCTTAATGTCCCAAAAAATCAATAGTGCTAAAAAAGGTCAAAGTCGTCCTTTTTCGCAGGAGGCGGTGGGGCACTCGCGAACCCGTCGAAGAGCAAATCCGTTGACGACGTATTTTTACTGCCCTTGGGACTATCTCCGCCGAAGAGTAGGTCTGTATTTGCTACCTTAGCGGGCTTTGATGTTTGTGCGGTGTTGTTCCCTACTCCACTACTTGGTGCTCCTGTTCGCCCGACTGATGCTCCTACATTGTTCTGAGGTCCTGAACTATGTGCTCTTGCGTTTCCGACTGCACCACCAGGCCCATTCGAAGTCCACGATATTCGCAAAACCTGCGGCGTCATTACAGGCTTCCAGCCATCACACTTTATTCCAGAATTTCACCTTATTCCTCATCCTACTTAAATATTCTCCCAAATACTCAAGCTTGAGGTTCTTTGTGGTCAATATTAGGTCTTGATTCTTCTTGTTCTTCATCTTCATCAGATTCAAGGAAAACTGACAGCGAACAAAATTCGAGCTTCTTCAAAGATCAACATTCGAGCTACTTGCGTGACTCCTACAGATCCTCAACTGAAAATTTGAGTAAAGGATCGACGACTTCTACCACGGACCCGTAACCATAGCTACTGTAGTTTGTAGTACCTTGCAAATTATTTTGTCGTCATAGACTGGCACTGCAGAGTCCTCATTCGTTACGTCCATCCACACCGCTTGACTATCGCTCCACTTCAGCTTGAAACGGAAATTAGAAAGTCAAAGTCTTTAGATCAAACCAATAGATCAGCCTCTTGTTCTTCAAAAAATAAAGTGATAGAAATATTGTGTTTGTCCTGACTCGACGTTGTCTCGAGTTCAGAATATTGTCGTTCTTGTCGTGGTCAACAGTCCCCGTCACTTAAGAAAATGATACTGGCCTGGCAGTGGGAACTTTTCTCGGATGTCGCGAAGCTTGATGTCCCCACGCGCTTTCGCCAAAGGAAAAGCATTGGGGAATTGGGCTTCATCCTGGTCCGTCGGAATGTGATAGTACACCAAACTCACTGGAGGTCTGCCTCCTCCGTTAGGCTTCATCTTTTTTCAAGGCTATGCCTACCTACGTGGTGCTATTTCATGAATAGTCGTGCTATGTCTAACTACGTGCAGCTTGGGTGAAAGTATGCGAGCTTAGATGAAAGTAAAGGTATGAGTCTCGGTAAAAGCAGCCTAATGAAGTTAGGTCACTAGTTAAGACTGTAATTTGTACTGTCAAATAGAGCTAGAAGTTAGGTAGTTTGTACTGTAATAGCCTAATGAAGTTAGGCAATTTGTACTATCTAATAGAACTAGAAAACTTCCATAGCTGAGCGAAGCTCTTGTCCTTGTGGTCCACCTTGGTGTTATAGTTCAGCTCTCTTCCAATTTCATTTTATAACCCGCCTAATTGCATTTTCCCCTCAACATCTTTGGACCGGAAGAATGACGAACTCTCTGGCCTTCTCACCCTAGATAAAATAGTTGGTTCGGCTCTCCGACCACAATCTTAGAACTTGCCGGATTCACAAGAACAGAATTTTAAGTGGAACACGATCAAATACAAAAATTTCATTCGCTGCGGCTCTTCTTCCTAGTCGAAGTTTTCTTATTCAAAAGAATCTTTTCCTTCGAAGAGATTACAACGCCTCATACATCTTCACAGAACCGCCTGATAGCTCCACACGAACCCAATGTGCTGCGATCTTTACATCGGCAGTCCCAGGTCTGAATCGGATTGAAGTATTCTCAAGCTGTTGTTCATATCTGTCGGATGCTTTTCTTCACGGACCCGCATTTATTCTCCGGAAAATATTTCACTAAAAAACACGTTGAGGTCAATCCTTCCCGGGGTGATAAAGTTGAGAGAAGCGTTTTCTATAAATCTGAAGACACAGATTTTTGAAAGCGTGAGTGTTTCATTCAGGTGGGATTTAGGGTTCTTGATGCGCTCTGGTGTGTGCGTCAGTCATTGTGGTTTGTAGCTCTATTCTCACTTTTGTTGCCTGTATTGGCCACCTGACTTGACTATCCAAATTATATTCGATAAAGGTGAATTTGACATCATCAAACAAGCAGTAAAAGTTGACATTTCGTCCTCTTGTGCAATTATATTCAGATGATCTTCTCAATATGCTCTACAGTCCGAAATAAAGAAGACAACTACTCAGCTGCTCCTCCAGCCTCTGGAGCTCCTGCCATTTGCGCTGCTTGTTGTTGCATTAGCATCTGCTGCTGCATCAGGAGCATCTGCTGTTGTTGCTGAAGCTGTTGTTCTGGTGTCATCTGACCTTAGAGCTCAAAACAATTCATTTCTTCAGGAGTCTTAGCACCTTAGACACTCATCTTCATATTTCTTTGCAACTCTAGGTGGAGTCCACTGCTTCAGACATCCAAGAAGAAGGAAAAAGATCCATTCCATTCATTCGAACCACGTAGCAGCTGCGAGGAACTGCCTGGTTCAGTTGTGACCCTTGGAAATGAATTATTTTGAGCCTTAATGACCGTTGCCTCCCATTGCTGGCATGCCTCCCATACCTGCTGCTCCTGGCATTTGAGGTGGCATCCCCATTCCTCCTCCACACATTAGAACTAATCCATCTTCAGCATCACAATCGTCTTGATTACCGTTTTCCCTTTGAAAACGGGATCACGATGCAAGCGTCTTGACTACCGTTTTCCCTTTGAAAACGGGATCACGATGCAAGCGTCTTGATTACCGTTTTCCCTTTGAAAACGGGATCACGATGCAAGCGTCTTGATTACCGTTTTCCCTTTGAAAACGGGATCACGATGCGTTATCCGAAGATGCATTTATTGTTTTTAGCCTTAAAGGCATCATACCCCCTCCTGGCATTCCTGGCATCATACCCCCTCCTGGCATCCCTGGCATGCCCATTCCCGGCATTGGTCCAGGCATCATTCCCGGCATACCTGGCATGCCGTAACTACCATACGGATTCGGTGCAGCGAAGCCAAATTTGCCGGCATCCTTCCCACCTCCAAATTTACCCACTCCCTTGCCCTTGCCTTTACTAGGGTCGAAAGCGCCGCCGCCCTGAGTGATATTCATTTTCATGGTTGAAATTATAGGGAAAGGAGTACCTCCGTTTAGGATAGGATCACATCATGTCCGATAGGACAGGATTATAGGATATACTTTCGACACAAAATATCATTTATCATAGAATATTGAAGATTTCCTACGAGGAGAGAAAAATAGGGTCCTACACATCAAGTACCTTATTCATATTCTTTCCTCCTCCTGGCGCGCCTCCTTTGGATGATTCTCGCATGACGCGACACTCCTCAATTCTTGCCTCTACTATCTGGACAGCTTTTGCAACCTGCTCCGGCAGTGCTGGTCCAAGTTTCAGTTTACCACAAGGCAAAGTCGAGTCGCGTGCTGGATTCTGCGATATACTAATGGCCATGTTCACCCCATTCTCCGTCAGCGCACTCTTCACTCGTTCTATGCCGCTACCCTGGGAACCGATTATCTGGAGGAACAAGAGGTTAAGAAAATGATCTATATCTGGAGGAACAAGATGATATGGGATGTGGTCATCGCTTCAGCTTCCTAGTCAAAACACTAAAAATGTATGGGTACTATGTGCAGGGAGGAGATTACTCTAGTAAGCGTGGAACAGCATCAAAACATATTGAGCTGTTTACTGCAGACGCAGCCGCTATCCCATTCTGTGCTAGATGATGAAGTCAAGAATAGGCAATCAAATACCCACTCACCCTTCCTAGCCCAGATTTGATTGGAGAGAAAGGACACTAAAAAAATGAGTACCGCTCCCATAAGTTCTTTCGGCACTTCCACTTCTCTGCATTCCTGACCTGGCGGAATAACGTCCTGTGATCTGGTATTCGGTGCTCTTGGTTGCGCTTGAGGGGGCATAGGCTGACCGGAGGCGATATTTGCGAAGGTAAGTGGGTTTGTCCGCGGTCTCTGCCCAAGTAATTCCTCACTCTTGATTTGTATCAGCTCTTCGCACTTCGCAATAATATCTGGAGGCGCTGGTCCAACACGGAGCACGCCCTAGAAGTAGATGAAGTTAAGAATGTGAATATCACACCTGAATATCACCCTCGAAAGAAACTAGTCCGTCGTGCTAATCCATAAGAAAATTAATATGATCCAATGAATAAACTTCAATTCATCGTGAAGCTTGTTGGGGTCGTAAAACATTCTCAGCGTCAGGGTCGGTATGAGAACATTCATCAGTAATATCTGTATGTGTTATCAGACGAGCTTATAAACCACAACTACCCTGATTTTTTGTGCTTGAAAAATATACCTCAGATTGCACACCAGGCTTGGGCTGCGAAGCGATCTCTACTCTGACTTGTGCAGCCTTCCGGATTTGGGCTAGAGTCGATTGCCTTGGACAGAAATTAGAGAAAAAATGGTGAACCTTCATTATCATATTAGTTATTCTACATTCAGACAGAGCGATGATCTCCCCCATCAAGTTATTCGACATCATAATTGTGGCGGAGCCGACCTAACTAGAAAAAAGACAGACCAGAGGAAGATATAGAAGACATCTTCATAATAGAAGACATCATAAACATAATTATACATCATAATTAAATTATCAGACATCATACTAATTAATGTTCCTACTCCTCTTCATAACAATGATCCCCCCCATCAAGTTACTCGGAATCGTCAGCTCCTTTACAATGCCTCCAGGATAAGCTGGACCCAAGTCTTGTAGCTCCGCCAGTTGCTGTGCTGGATCGATCTCTTTCCCGATCACTGGAACAAATTGCATTTGCTCATCCACTAGAGATGGCGGAATATTCAGAGCACCTCCTGTTGCTTGGGCTTGGGCTTGACCTGTAGCGTGAGGAGAGGGGGATCTGGGGACTTGGGGTCTTGGGGTCTTGGGTATTGGGGGTTTGGGGACTTGGGTATTGGGAGTTTGGGGGATTTGGGGAATGGGAGTTAGGATTTAGAACTATTTAGGATCATTTTGGATTCATAATAGTGGTATGCAGGACGCATTTGGGAAATCTACTTGTAATTTTTTTGTTTGAATACAACGGCGACGTCACATAATTAGTATATTGCAAAGCATACCTTATCATCACGTTAAACTGAAAAGTACCTCTTGCAACATAGTCGAGCAATTTTTCGTTCACCATTCTGACGCATTTATCGACGCTCTCGGCTGCTCCTGGCCCAATATGCAATTTTCCAAAAGGCATCGCGGGGTTTGAAATCACCTATGAAAATGTAACAAGGAGCGGAGATCAAAAAACATGATAAAGTCGCTAAATCATCGAATTCGAAAGTGATAAAGAACATGAAGGTGGAAGTAGAGAGTGATGAGCATCTGTACCTGAACATGAACTCCCGTCGACGTCCTAAATTCTGATATTGTTTTTCCGCCAAGGCCAATGACGTGGCCCATCACAGCACTGGGTATTTCCATCTCCTTAGATATATTGCCAGGTTTATTCGACGCCGCTCCACCAGCTCCGCCTGCTCGCGCGGCTCCAGGTGCCGCCGGTCCTGTCGCATTGGCGCGAAGGGCCTTTAGGTTTATTCATTTGGTTTTGGTTTAGGTGAGGGAGTAGGAAATAGATGATGGAAGATGAGATCATTTCAGTATCGAAGGATGAGGTCGAAGATCAAATTCATTTTTTTTGAAATTATTAGAGGAAAATGTTCCTTCTACCACTGGATTCGCCATAGGTTGTGGGGGAACCGAGTAGAGTTCCTGCACCCAATCAGGTGCCGCCTCACCAGTGGTTGCTGAGTCGTCGTCGTTACCCCATTTACTCTTTCTGTCGCGCCTGCGACGACTGCGACTTCGCTCTCGTCTCTGTTCCTCCATTTTGATGTTTTGTGCGGGAGACAACCTGCTCTGCTTCAAGTTCAACCTGCTCTGCAACCTCGCATGAGCCGAGAGAAACACGTACTCGGGATAAAATTGCCTTTGGTGCAGGTGAACTGTGTGACCGTCGTCGATTGTTCCTCCTTGTTGTTGTCTTAGGAAATGGTGATAAAAAGACAGAAGGACAAGGTGAGATTGAGACACGAACGAATTTTTTGAGACTCAAGAGGAAGTTACTTTAAATCTATTTTACTTCGCGATGATTCAATCTATCTTCATGCACCTGTTTTCTTCTCTTTTCTTCAACAGCACTCGAAAATCATTAGATGTAAGAAATGTCCATAGAACAAGAAACAGCCACGACCTGGAAAGGATTTGTCGAAGGAAGAGACAAATGAAAAGCAAACCAGATGATATCGTTGTGAGGGGAAGAAGACGGAAATGAGTATGCTGGTACTAATGTAAAAAAGAAGACCCGAAACAGCAGGTCGGTTGAGTGCAAATTTTGGTTGTTTTGGATTAGATAAAGATCGGAAGGTAGCCACAACAAGAAGAAAGCTATCTAATTCTAATTTCCTCGTTTTTCGAAGTAACCTTCCCGTGCGATCCTTTTGTTCTCAACGAGTGATTTTTTTCGAAGGATTTTTGTTTCGAAGGATCCAGCAAAAAACAAGAATCTTTGGTGAAACACATCGTCCACCACATCATCAATTGTAAAACGACGTTGATTTTTGCGTTTCAATTTCCAAACCTCCTCGTCCATCATGAAAGATACAGATAGAGGTAGAAGATAAATGAATGGGCTGGCTCCTCCTGCAGTCTCCTTTTTTACCTCTTTGATGATCACTGCGTGCAGGAGAGATCACTACGAGAGATTGAGTGGGAGCATGTCGTGTATGATTTGTGATTTTAAATACTCCAAGTGACAAAGGATCCACGAAGATAAAGCGCATTCATTCACAAGAAGCAGGAGAACCTTTTTTGGCCAACAAGAAGATCGCTGAGAACAACAAGACCAATAACAAGCGTCAACTCTCTTGCTTGGTGTGTGTCCTCCCTGCTTGCTTCGAGTAGAGAGGTCCTGAATATGTTTGCTTTCTTCGTTTTTTTTTTTAATTCTTTTCTTGAGTTTCAGTTCATGCGATAGCCATGTGAATTCGTGAAATCCAGTAGCAAAACAATGACGTGTAAGCATATGATATTTACCTTAACCTATCGGTCTACAGACGGGAGAACGCACGGTGACTTCTGCTACGCATCGATGGGCCATTATGTGAGTGTGCCTAAGCCTATGCAATGGAAAATAAATTTCAGTTCTTTGTTCCAACAAGAAGTTCATACAACAGTCTGTCAGAATGAACAGATACACGTACTCGATAAGAGCCAAACATAGCAGTGTACATTTTATGTCAGCTCTGTACTGTCCTCTTCTACTAACCGCTTGTTGTACAACAGAAACATTACGTAGCAGCCGCGCGCCTCGTCCACAATGGTGAATGTATTCAGTTACGTTAAATATGGCAAGTATATCTCGTTTTTCTTACATAAGAATCTACGATAGTACTTCTGCGTGTCTATTGAAATGAGAGTCCTTATTTGCGTGTCTATTGAAATGAAATGAGAAGCTACTCTTGTCTACTTCTGTATGAATTAGTACATTTGGTTGAAATGAGATGAGAAATATGCACTGAGAAGAGGTACGAGTTGCTCCTCCGCTTCTCCTCTGGCGAACAACAACAACTAGATGGTTCTTGAGACCATCCTCCAACTTTTAGATGTAATCCCACGTTTTATCTCTTGTAACAGCCAAACTGCCGTCATCCTTACGCGGCTGAAGCTCAGGGTCTAAGACCACGTTTCGTTTGCCAGCAAACCTTTGTTCTGCCGCAGCTTTAAGTCTTTGCCACGTCATCTTTTCTGCACCCCGCTCTCGAATATCTTCCAGGAAGTACCTGCTCAAAATGGGTTGTACTCAAAAATGGGCAGGTTCTTCGGGCCTTGGTCCCTTGCAGTTGTTGCTGGGGTAGATGATTCTATAATTCTTCTTGAGGATATCTCGATCAAACATCAGTCGCGACATAGATACTAAAAAAATTCCATACCTCAACCTCCTTCCTCTTGGTTTTACGAATAGTTTTATAAGTCATATTGATCTCAGTGAAAATTCAATACCTCCATTCCACTTGATCCTGGAATTTCTTGTTCATGTCGTCTATTTCTTCATAGATTTTGATCATATAGAAGCTCTTCTTCATCAAAAAGTCGCTCCGATTCAGCGTCTGGCATATGCTATTGACCTGCGCGATGTGGTAACGAAATTTCACCTGGTGATATCGTTCACACCATCGTTTTTTAGAGATGAAGTGGTCATGATTCTCTACAAACTAGGGCATACATGTTGATGTAGTTGGTATGTCATGAAAGTGTACTAGTTGTCATATGTTTATAGGAGGCGAAGTGGAGACCCTCCTCGCCATGTCTGGGAGGATCAAAATCCGTTTGGGAGCCATAATCTTCATATCCATCTCCTCCTTTAGCAAAGCGCGAAATTTCTTTTTCGGGATGACAAATGCCGTGGCCCCTCCGTCGCCACGCGCGACCAAGTATATTTGCAAAAAAGCTGCGCCAGGAACCCAATCTCGGACTCCAGGCGCATCAGCGCCTCCTGGCATCAAACATTCTCCCATGCCGTAAACTAGACCTGATTTGAAGATGACAGCTTGCCTATAATACGGGTGGAGCCAAGCTAACTAGGAAAAAGATAAGGCTAGGCAAAGGGTATACAATTACAGAATTATAGTAATGGCCAAACAGCTTGCCTATAATTATCCGCGAGACCTATGCTAGCATAGGACCCTATTTCATAGGTTGCCTCCTTTGATAGCATGTGATAGACCTGATTTGATATCCGCGAGACCTGAAAACAGAAGGCTTGAGTGACAAAGTTGTAGGCGTAGCCAGAAACTGTAGCATAGAAGAGAATGCTGTAAATCACTCACAAGCACGTGAAGTCTAACTACACTGGAACTTCTACAAAGAAAAGACAATACCTGGCTTATCTAACTTCATAATGGGGACACGCTTGAAGCTCTTCCTTATTTTCTTCGCTTCGGCTACAACAGCATTTCCGTATTGGTCGTACCGGATTTGACTGGTTGACTCTGGCATATTTAGCTCGATATCTGCGAGGACCTAGAGGGGAGCAGATCGAGAATAGAAAATGATGAACCCAAGCAGAACCACTAGGTACTACTTGTAAGTAGATCTATGTATCGATCTCAATCACCACTAGAAAAGTAAGCGAGTGACATTCTGTTCAATCTCATCAGTTAAAAGCTAAGCACTTGTCACAGACACAAATACTTCAAAGCTGCCTTTTCTCGTGATGACCAGATGCTCTGCGCCGTTAGTCCCTGGATTTAACTCTCTGTCGCACTGTATGGTCCTAGGTTCCATGATCGCTGCCATTTTCCTCTTAAATGGTGGAATGTACTCCGAGAACGGAATGCAGTGATTAACACATGCGTAGCACTGTGCTTGCTGGATGGCTTCTTGATTCTGCTGCATTTGCGTAAAGGTGTGCCGTGGGAAATGAAAGAGGAAAAAAATGTAGATGATGTTGTACAAGAAGTATAAACTTTTAATTTTATAAGTAGGATTGACGAGTACTAAAAATGAAAATGATTCGTTTGAAGAGGCTCTATTTTTTCACTATATCACATTGAAGATCCCAGCAGCGCAAGTAGATATTACAACACAGTTAAAAAATTTCTCTGTTCCATTCTTAAGAAAGCAATCCGCAGAGCACTGCTGTCTTCGCTCTTACTGTGGCAGCACGTGGTGTGTCGTTTATGAGCGCTAATTCTCCAAAACTTTCGCCTGGGCCCAAACAAGCGATTGGCCTAGCACCCTCTTGCAATAATATGTCAACTTCACCAAGGAATAGGCAATAAAAATGATGACCTGGTCGTGGTAGTGGAGCAGAAATAGAAGGTAGTATACTTTTTTTGATTTTATCTCCTAGTGTCTTTTCACTTTGTAAGGAGTTACTCATAAAAAAGACACCTGTCGTTCCTTTCCGGAAGATGGTTTCGCCTGCGGTGAATTTTCTAACCTCCATCAACCCAGCTGTCCGTACCAGCTGCTTTAAACTCATTCTCTCAAAAAATTTGAAGTCCATCGCTACTATCAATTCCGCGATTACGTGGTGAATGCGCTCCATCTCCTTCTCCATCTGAGTTATTGATGTTTTTTTTTGGCTATCTGCTTACCCACAGTCGCTGTAATAGTCTGCAGTTATCGGGGTCTCCATCCGATAAAATACAGCAGTTTTTATTGACACTGATGAATGAGGACACAGAAGATTAGACCAGATGAGATATAAATTAATAGACAAAATAAGTTGAAAGTATTTTCTGGTTGCAGGAGGTGGATAAACAAGAAGGTCACTGCCCGACCACTAGTACCGCATCACTTTCCCGTACATTCCTTCGGTTTCCTGCAAGCTGGATCTTCTTCATAGAGGCGTACTGGTTCATTATACCAGCTACCTTGACCATGGAAACCACAGGCCTCCCTTCCGCCATGGCCTGGCGGGCCTTTTGGATCTCGCCTTTGGCATCTGCTGGAGCTGTCGCTGGACGATCCATCTTGCCCAGCTCCCTCTACTTTCTAGTAGGATGCACCCAAACTGCTCGAAGACGTGGGAGAACTTCCTCTATCAATCAGAATCAGTCTCCATGTTCATCTCCGTGGTCTGTTAGTGCGACTCCTCTCGCCTAAGCAGCAAGAGGGACCGGCAACGCTAATTTTTGAAGATGGGGTGAGGATCCACCAACATTCTTTGACATGAAGGCCTAAAGTTAATCAATAGCGAAGAAGGTAGCACTTGAAAAAAAAACTTATTGCTGTGTGTTCTACGAATGATTCACGTCTACATGCATTCTCATGTATGAAGAGGATATTGTGTATGTAAATCAAGGTATGGGTTGTTGTGCAAAGCAAAAACAATAGCAGTTATCTTAGGAATTAGTCGCGAACCATTATCACAGGTGTTATATTCATAGCGTGAAAGTCAACTTAATCAGCATCTGACCATGCTCATGCATGGTAGGTACTGGTAAAAGCAGTCAACCTGTAAGTAAGCAGCTGGGGAAAAGTCTATCCGAGTGGCAAGTCAGGGGTTTCAGGTGTGTAGATGAAGACAGATTCGACATCAAGGCCTGAAGAAACAGATTCTCGTTCTCGCGCTCGTTGGAACACCAACAATTCATAAAATTCAGTCACTCAATAAGCCCAAGCCTTTCAAGATCAAGACAGATTGGAGTATATTAGGTAAATACCAAACAAGAAATCCAATACCGATCTCCCACTCATCTCGTTCCCACTCCGATTGTTTTTGTCGTGTTGAAAGAACACATGGATACTTACTCGCCCATCAATTCACCCATCAATGTGTGCTCGACAACAGTCCTCGATTCTTTTAGAACGCTATAAGATGATGATGTTAGTCGATTCGGATTGGACCTAGTACGAGTACCACTTGGTGTCGGTGTAAGATGACTTGCGCTACAGAACAAATCATGTAGAACGAGTTGCTGTTTCCGTGCTCCACTACCTGCGCTCGAGATCAGATACACAACCCATTTCCACCACGGACGGTCCCTGGTCGCTCACTCGGGCTCGCTCTTCTCTGATAGCCTGCTGTGACGGGGTGCCTGTGCCCCTGTTAGCATGCCGTGATGTTGATCCCCCACTTCTGTCACCCTCCTGTGACGAAGATACACTTCCACTTCTCCTGTCTCCTCCACTCGTTTTCCCCTTCGACCTACCTTCACCAGGAGAGAAAAGGACCATGCCTAAAAGCTTCCTTCCAAACTTGCTATGGCGACATCATGCCCCAACTGTGAGCGTTACTTAGAGGAACCGGCAGCCCATCTTTTGGAACATCTTTTAGCACTTTTCAAGATGAAATTGGCTAAAAGATGGCGCAAAAAATGGGTTGACGGTACCCATAAGTTACGGTGAAAGCCAGCAGCGAAAAAACTGCGAGAAAAGCCGCATTACTTGTGCGGTCCAGACAGTGCACTGTCACGGCCATTGCTTCTTCTGCGCATTTATCAAAACATGAAACGCATATGCATTAGACTACGTCGTTGCGGTGTATTGCTTTTTTCAGACCAACATCCTTGGTGAAGACCTGCATTCTCTCCACTTGAAAAACGGCCAAGGGAGACGGTTCTTGTGAAGGATGCAATATCCAATGTCCAATATTCAATATGGGATGTTGAACCCTTAAAAGGAAGGCTCACACAACTGGCAACCCTTAGCACTCGATATCAGAATACTGCGGACAACTTTCGTTCTTTTCCCAGACAACCGTCTCTCCCCAGACAACCGTCTATGTTTCTTAGCGGACGATGCCTCACTGATTTAGAATTATACAAATAATGAGACATGTTTATCCTATTTGATTGATGTGCCTGACAAGAGGTAGATGGACGGACGATGTCTCTTCCTCGCTGACTTAGAAATACGAACGAGACGCATTCTCTTCCTCACTGACTTCGAAATACCATAGATAAAGATGCATCAGTCTCATTCGAGACTGATGCATCTTTATCTATGGTTAGTATCGAAGTGTCTGTATCTGACAAGAGGTTCGTGGTTGATGGTGGAATTAAAAAGGAGCGTCTAGGATCATACTAGAGGACCTGGAAAGCGAGATCCCGAGTACAGGTTCAGGTTCATGTTCTTCATTATAACATGAAATGTTTACCACAAGAACCACCTTCACTTTCGTCGTTTGCCGGTTTACTTGAGCTATGTCAACTCCTTACTGTCACCCTCTGCTTCCATGTCTCGTCCCTTAGAATCCCCTGGTCGTGCTTTTTAACATGTAGTAGAGTACCATCTTCTGCGCTCGTCCCTTCCTTTTCCAAAAACAGCATCTTAGGAACAGGGGAAAGCTGGACCTTCTCAACTTCTTCAACAAGTTCGCGCAAATCAATGCATACACTCTTTGGATTAAAATGCTATTTGTCGTAGATTTTTCCTGCGTGTGCTCGTTCTCGATAATAAGTAGAAGTCATTCACAATCATCCACCTAGTACAGCCGGTCTTTAGCTTTACTTGATGAGGTATGAACAACATGCAGACCAATAACTAATGAAGAAAGTAGAACAAGAGCGGTAGTAGACCCTTCTACTCAACACAAGAATACTTTTGTACAGAAAGAGTGATAATTTGTTAAGATGATTTAGATTTAGCGGGACTCGCGCCTCAGGCTCAGCCCTACTGATAGACGATACACATTTTCTTATACAACTACTTCATCTACTTGTGGCGTGACCTAATGCTAGTACGACTTCCGCCGTCTCTTATGGATATGGTCATCTAATTCGATAGCACGACGATGCTTCTCCTGCGGAATATGAGCAGAGCGTTTTGGTATAGACCATGGATTCTACGTCTACCGCATCGCCGCCACTATAATATTTTCTCGGAAATGGCCCTGGCAGCACAAGCGCGTTCTAGTAAAACTAACTTCTTCCATCATGGTACTTCTAAATGATGGCAATTAGATTGAGCATGGGTGACGGTAACAATTGATTCAACTGATGATAAGATCAATACTTACAACTACTGGAGCGTCGAGTAACGCAACTAGCTAGCTAGTGTTCATGAACAAGATGCGAACAGTTTTGATTTTCAACATTATGATTTTGATTTCTTAGTCTCTATTATGAAAAACTTGCTTATTGATGATCATTTTCGATCTCGATCATATGAGAAGATAAAACACATCAATGCTATGGATGTTGAGAACTGACGATCGCCATTGCGTACCCTGTGCATATAAATTAGTACATAGATTTGCTATTTCTGTACACTCATACTGATACTATTTGATATCTCACGACAACGAATTACGATTACCAGCATAGCCATAGTACATCATCGAGGCTACTGCTGGCGCTACAACTAGGTGGGAATTCGTTATTCAACCCAGCTGAGATATTCTTGCGACAAATATATTCTCTTCCACCAGCTTTACTTCTTTCATATGAGCAAGGTCGTGGAGAGAGATGGGAAAGCTGGCGGTGGTGAGAAGAAGAGAAGAAAAATGAAAAGCTAAACTTATTGATACTCGCTTCGCGATATGACTAAGATGAAGAAAGACATTGAATGATATCAGATATCATTCAATGGTGTTGTAGATATAGCTGCAATATCTACAGCACCTCCTTCTAGTCCTGCAGTCTTCTTCCACATCACTGAAGGGAGTGCCTATTATTAGCCTGTAAGTCTATAACAGCTTACCTTAAGGAGCTTCCTTAAGGAAAATTTTTCGCCTTAAGGAAAGTTATAGTAACTTTTTGTAATATAAAATCCCTTAAGGGAATCAGTTTCCTTAAGGAACGCACTTAAGGAAGACTTTTAAGGATTTCAGAAAAGTTGCTTACCCTATAAATACTAATATCTACAACACCTCCGAATCCTGCAGTCTTCTTCCACATCACTTCCGTCTTCACGTCGTCGGGTTCTTGTTCCTCGAGAACGGTGCGAAAAGCTTGCTCTTCATATTTCCGAACAGGTTCGTGACCCCTGTCTTGTAGCCCTTGTGCACAGTTGTTAGAAGATCTTACTTCCTATTGTGTCAATCTTCACTCGTCTCACACTTTCGCTCACCATCAAGAGCATGCTGGCTGAAGATGCTCCGACAAGATACGCAAAGATCAATTCACTCCAACATCAATCACGTCTTACCCGAGTCTAGGACTTGACGCTAGGTCATGGACGCTATCCACGTCGTGTAAATAATAAATGTGGTGGAGCAGACCCAACGAGAAAAAACAAAAACCGAAAGAAGAAAAGGCAACCAATGTCAAGCAAGTACTCATCTACTAGTAATTTGCTTGACGGGATACATCTACGTGACAGAGGGAAAAACTAACCGGTTGTTATATCAGAGCAATTTATAAGGTTTCACAGCTCGCATGGCATGGAGTGCATGGATCGCATGGAGTAGCATGCACGTGATGTAATCGCCTTAACATCCTCAAAGTATCCAACGTTTTAGGTGCGAAGAGCTGCATGCTTGGCGCGATGTAATCGTTCCACAAGACTTCGCGTCTTTCAGGATCTTTCTCCGACAAATACAGTTCCCATGTATCTTGTGCTCCTTGAGTTTTGCTCGCTCTTGAAAGCAAGCTCTTCTCCAACAGGTGAAATGGCGAGGGAAAAACCTCCGACCAGGGAACCAGGGGACCTCGTGTTTGGTCAAAAATGTCATAAATGGCGATAGTGTTGAGCAGAGGTAGAGGTAGTGAAGTATTGACAGGAGAATGCTTAACTGTTGTAGCTCATCACGATTGTCATGGAGGGTGGAAGCAGGCGAGTTAGAAATAAACATCAATGTTTTGTTGCTTCTCTTCTCCCTCGTGGTCCTCCTCCGGCAACCGAACAACAATAACAAGGACTTCTTAAAGGTTTACCTCCTTCCTTCATTCGCACGCCTTCAGGCATCTGCTTTTCAAGCATGCCCGTAAGAACTTTAGCCCCACACACCCAGTGCATCCCAATGGGTCGTAAAAACCCCTCGAAGGCCTGCTCCGGATCAAACACTTGACGGTGCGCGATAACCTCAGAAAAGGCCGCTGTGAACATCACCTCCGACAAATTGCCCTCGGTCACGGCACGGGGGTTAGAAGACGAGACGGGAATCATGGGACGAGGATTAGTAGTCTAAGTCTCTTGGGGGAGAGAAAAGTGCATTAGTTGTTCGCTGTATTTGTTACTATCACGACCACTATGTGTCCACGAACACGCAGTAAATCAACAGTGCCCTAGAAACATCTTCACACTCTACCAGTCCCCTTTGATATGATCGCTGACGGACCAGATGAAAGAACAAAGACAAAGACAACCCAAACTGCTCATAAACTTCACTTCCGACGATGCATCTAGATGCTTGATTTCGGTAGGTCCACTACTATTCCTGCTACTGCTCTCTTCCTCACCTGCTCCGCCACCTACTGCCTTTCCCTGCGCATCCTTGCTTAACTTTCTTTCAGTTTGTGACTCGGTCTGCTCAGTTTCGTTTAATATTAGAGGAGATCATGGAGGTGGTTGTAACGATAACGGCTCGATGAAAATAATGCTCAATATTAGAGAAGGCGGAGACGGTTGTAACGAAGATAGCGCATCGACGAAAAAAACTCGGCTGCGCTTCATACTGTCTACTAAAATCAGTGAGCATGATCCTCATACTCACAGCGCTGCTTCACATCAACAAACTAGTAGCCCGAGTCCGAATCTCCAACGAACTAACACGAACTAAGTATCCACTCATCTTACCCCCATTGCTTCATTGATGTTCCTGGCGAGAGGTAACAAGTGCTGGAAAACTCCTACACGACATATCCACTCATCTTGCCCTTTTCAGCCTTAAGTTGTCATCAGATGAAGATGGCTCATCTGCATCGACAAACAAGTCCTCATCCCAACCTTCGGATACTCCGTTCCTGACCACATTACTCACCGCGCCTGCTTCTTCTTCTAGAGCCGACGGCGGTGAGTCTTAGAGGACAAATTTACAGCAAAGTTGTAACAGTTTTTACATTTGCCGCGCATGGTCTTTCTACGTCAACATCATCTTCGAAGCGCTGTAATTGCTCTTCAGGCGGAAAGATTGCACCTGTATCCTTGAAGGCGTGACACGTTCATGTAGCACGCTTTTCTACTCAATCGGAAATCAATCGGGCCTGACGTCTTCAGGGATGCCAGACCCAGGCCCGATGCTCCCGACAGTCATCTCTACTAAAAACAAGACTCATCCCCTGCGTAACTCTCAGTTTCTGGATTCCGTGGCTTCAGCTTTCCCGTTTTGCGCAGCTTCTCGATACCTGCTTCGTAGTACTTATCCATCGCGAAATCTAACGCCTTCCGGATTTTCTCCGTAACTTCAGCTCTCTCAATAGCGGAGAGGTGATTAGAGCTAGTGCCACGTAGTTAGGACCATTCTTCATAGTTAGTCATTCACGTAGTTAGGAGGAGGGCCATTCATAGTTAGTCGGGACCATTCAAAGTTGGAGAATAAGTTCTTCACTGTTGGATAGTTTTGCTGCAGAATAAATCTAGGTAGCTCGTCTTGGTCTTTGTTTTTCCCCTACTCAGGAAACTCAAAGTCAAGGACTATGCTGATGTTGCTGAGAGCGCTCCCTTCGTGGTTCTTGCCTTAACTTCGCTGCGAAAAGGAAACACCTTCAGTATGCGTTCTGGCTTGCGCAACAGTGAACCCTGCATAAACTCGTACATCGGCTCGACCAGACCTGATCGTATTCAATAAATGAGACGAGATGAACACCACGGAGACGAAACTCTTCGAAAATACACCAGCGCGCGATCTATTCGTATTCCCACATGGTAAAAGAAGAGAATAGCAAGTAATACCTCCAGGCCACGCGTCTCCCACATGGTAGCTATTACCGAAGTCGATAAAGGTGAAGGTTTCACTCGCGTCATCCCAGAAGAGGTTGCCTAAGTGAGGATCCCCATGAAAAAAGGCGTTTTTCCGGAGGATCGCTATTTCCACCCACACATCGAAGGCATCCATGTAACTTTGCGTTAGAAGTTCTAGTAGTTGATGCTGTGGGGAAAAAGTAACTTTGCGTTAGAAGTTGTAGTAGTTGATGCTGTGGGAACAAAAAGGGAGAAGCAAGTGCCATGTAACTTTGCGTTAGAAGTTCTAGTAGTTGATGCTGTGGGGAACAAAAAGGGACTAACTTTGCGTTAGAAGTTGTAGTAGTTGATGCTGTGGGGAAAATAAAGGGAAGAAGTTGTAGTAGTTGATGCTGTGGGGAAAAAGTAACTTTGCGTTAGAAGTTGTAGTAGTTGATGCTGTGGGGAACAAAAAGCGACTAACTTTGCGTTAGAAGTTGTAGTAGTTGATGCTGTGGGGAACAAAAAGGGACAAGAAAAATGCGCCATTGCTTAGTTGCCAACAAGAAAAATGCGCCATTGCTTCTCCGAGGGTTATTTTTTGATTTTGAGGAACACGAGTTATTAAAAGAAAAAAGAAACTGAAACATAAACAAGAGCAGGATCTTTGCGAGATCACTATTAGGAGGACTAAGCGTATGCCTGAGCAGTCTGATGCTGATGCCTACTTTTACCTACATGGATGCCATAACTTCAATGCCTGATACCACTTACAGCATGGCTTGTTTACTGGGCAGGCAAGCTGCTCCGTCAGCAGACGATCATATGCTTTTCCCGCTGCAACCTCCATCACTAGAATGTTGTTTTCAGTCTTACTTCCCGCTCCCGAGGAGCGCGAGATCATTAGAAGTCGCTCCCCATGACGATGAGTTTTTGTTTAGTTACGTATAAGCAATCGAGATCGACGGCTGCACTTCTACATCTAGTGCTAACTTGTTCTACTTCTACAGTTTATTCACACACTAACGCAAAAGCTAGTCATTGTATTTGGAGGATATCTCTCTGCTCTATCTAATGGCTAAACACAGTGTGAGTTCTTAAATATGCAGTCGCGCTTGCGGCCGATGCTTGTGCCGGGGATAGTGGTCCTGAGTTCGCTGTAGCCAACGATTCACTTCGCAGCAGTGACGAAGCGCCTTCTGGTGTCCGCCCTTGTGCGTCTTCTCCCGACTTTTTTGCAGCATCTGAATCTTCCTCGTCAGCGAGGAACTCAGATAGTTGCGTATTCCGTCGCCCAGACGGACTAGAACCTCCCTTCTTGATGCTACTCCTAGATGAAGGCGAAGCTGTTGGACTTTTAACCAGTTCTGAAGTTCTATTTCGCGAACTTGTTGTAGATGTTGCACTAGGACTAGCTGCACTGGTTCTGGAGGTATTTTTAACCAAGTTCGTACTTGCAGCTGTGGAAGCACCAGCCGGGATCGAACCACTAGCAGTAGCGCTACGAGGACCTCCCTGATTCTTACTTTCGATGAGCGTAGTGGGTCGCGCGAGGACTCGTGGCACTGCTATCCGCATCTCCTTGTGCCGATGCGCCGCCTTCTTCGGTAGAGGCTTTCCCTTAATGCTGCACGTTGCGTAACGAGCACGGCCTTCATTCAGATACTCGCACTCTTGGTTGAAGTCGCATTCTTGCGCGCATTTGCTCAGCATATCCTGGTCCAGCGATACCCAGGCACCAGGCAAGTCCCTGGTCAATTTCCTCAGGAGTTCGCGCTCGCACATGAGCTTCATGCCAATGCCTGGTCGACGAATCTTGAGAAAAACCTCGCGAGGGGGAGGCAATGGCTGCTGCTCTTTAGATTCGAGGCTCTCCAGCTGTTGCTTCGAGAGGCGGCTGCCAGTGGTGCTTGTTGAGTCTTAGAACTTCTAGAAGACAAATCTCGATGGGATCGGGAAAGATAGTCGTAGAACTTCCATCCAATTTGATCCAACAAAACTCAAAGAGAAAGAGAGGCACGGAAGCAATATCTTTTAGCGTCAGGAGATGTTGATGGCGATGAACGAGAACAGGCACTTAGAATCCTTCACCTCGCTTCCTTTCACTCTTCAACTTCATCTTCTACTTCTCTACACTACTAATTCTACTACGACGCCTACGTCTAAGTAGAATTCCATACTTACAACACGCCATAACTCCCAGTAGCTGTTCCATCCCTTTGCCCCACGAGTGGAGACCCAGCGGCTGTTGTAGCAGGAGACGCCACTGTGGTAGTCGGTGAGCTCGCACTACGGTTACGACCCACTAGAAACGCGAGCTCGCCTACCGCAATCGAAGCGTTGTATCCCGGAACAGCGTTCATCGCGTAGACGCCACGACTGAAGGGGCCACCAGTTGTTGTTAGAAGTAAAGCTCAGAAAAGACAGAGAAGAAGATTGCTCAATCTCATTACTGGGAATGTTCCGCTTGGACTTGGGCTTCAAATTTTTGATATACTAGGCAAAGGCACTTCTACCTGGTGTTTTGAACGAAGAGTTCTTGGAGATATTAATTGAATATTACGAAGTTAATAAGCTCCCATAATTTTTCCATCGCCAACGTGCTACCACTATCTTTCTTCTGGTCTGCCCCAGAGGTGCTTTCTTCCATTTGCAAGTGCAGCTCTAGTGCGACTTTTTGTCTTGCAATAGCACGCGTCGTTTTTGCGTCGTAGTCTGTCACCACAAGGAGACTACTCTTCATCGCCTGAAAGGACTCTTCTGCGTCTTCGTCCTCCATCAAGGAGTCGTCGATATCATCCAGAAACTCACTCTGTTGTCCAGGAAATTCTCCTTGGGGTCCTTGTTTTTGACGCTTAGAGCAGAAAGAGTTGAACACTTGCTTGAAAAAGTAGAGAACACGAGATGGTGTTGGGGTGACGTTGACTGTAGTATCGAGATTGATTGGGATTCTTGAGGATGGTGAAGATCCATCATAATCATCATGGAATGGACCTATATTCCTAACATGAAGACCATCTCAAATTCTATGCTACGTCTTATATATTCAAGTTGCACGCTCAGGCTCACACAAGTGCAGGGATCTCTATGAGGAATGTCAAGAATAGGAATGGGAATAAGAAAGACCTTGAAATGGGAATAAGAAAGACAAAGAACAATAAACTGCTCCATAATATTAGCTTCCGCTGCCGCTTGCTGTTGCTCTATCACCTCGTCCTCGTCATCTTGGCCACTAACGAGAGAAGTAAGGTACTCCAGAATGCCTTGACTTCGCTTCTCTTTTCCCCCGTCTCCTTGATCGGATTGAGAACGCTCTGTTTGGAGTTGATTTTAGCGGAGTCTTCTAATACGAACACGAAGCCCAAGCCCTTCTTCTATGCAAGTTAAATTGCTGTTATTGTTCAACGAGAAATACATAGGAGCAGTGACAAGAAGAGACCACCGCCCTCACTATAAACGTTCCCATGAACAATAAGAGTTGCAGTAAGGAAAACTAGTGATGAAAGAGAGACGAACAAGAGTAAGGCGCACTCGCTCTCCTACCTAGTACTAGTGAAAATTTTAGGATGAAGCAAGGCCTTAAAAGTCTGAGCTGATGGCAGGTGGCGAAGCCAAACCCTCCTGCCTCATGACCACCGCTCCTGCATATGCGGGACCAGGTGTTTGGCCAGTTCTATCTGCAATCGATATGTTGGAACAGTTACACTAGTCATGGATGAGCTTCCTACTTGCAAAGTCATCTCAAAATTCTAGAAGGATGAACCCAGGAGACGAAGTCTCACCCTATAAATCTCTCCTTACGTTGAGTTCCCTCTTTATCTTTATGGTGGTAATTCACAGATGAACTACAACTACGGAGAAGTGATTACTGAGTAGATCTACTTCCCATAACCACCACCCCTCCACTTCTTCTTGCTGCTCTTCGTGCTGAAGCTTCTGCGATGTAACGAGCACCGTTTGGCGCCAGGCAATTGGCTTCGCGCAGAAGTTTTACTAGTTCCCTGCGTCGCATAGGTTTCAGAAACGACTTGAAAGTCGCAAACAAACTACACGCATGATCTATGTCGACGAGGATTAGAAGGGGACTGGGAAGGGAGTACGGAGAAGAGTCGGTGATGATCTGGCTCTCCCCGTCTACTTCTGTCGTTTGCTTTTTCCTTTCATTCTTTGTTTCTAGGCGGCGCGCTACTAGTCTATATGCTTTGAGTTTGATTCATTCATTGCCATAATGGTATGAAAAAGAAAACTCGCCACACAACAAAGATCATCTACTTTCATTAAAAAGTGCCACTTAGTGCTTGCTCCTCATCTACTAACTCAAGTCTTCGAGTTTCCCTTTTTTACTAGCAATTTGGTTCCATAAATTGTGGTGGAGCAGACCTAACTAGAAAAAAGAGAGACCAGAGGAAGATAGAAAAGCGAAAAGGGTAGTTATCATCAAGGATACTCCTATCTGCTAAAACTAGCAAGTTCCATAAAGCCAATTTTTGTTCGAGTTCCCTTTCAATGGTGATCTCTTTGTGCAACACCTTGTAGTCCGACACTGTAGGATCGCGCCTTGGTCCGTTCCCGCCATACTGCTGCAGCAGTTTGTGAAAGATCGGCCCCGCTTCGTGGAAAAGCTCTAAAAACTCGAAGTTGATCACTGTCTGCATATTTCGCCGGAGCAGATCCGGCCGATGCCGGACATGCACTGCAAAGGTCTCGATGAAGCAGATCTGTTGTTTGTCAAGAGTTGAATTGTTATGGAGACAATACAGAGGTCAATGATGATATAGAAGCTAATGAAGAAGATACGACCCCCCTGAATCTCTATCTCACAAAACGTAAATTTACCGTCATCCTCATCTTCAACGGCCAAGCGGCATGGTCGTAATAGTTCGCCACGAACCGTTTCAGAGCGAGACTGGTAACAGTCGGCAGCTTTCTGCTCTCGAGGTCGAGGAAGAAGGGGTCGGTGAGAAACGTGCTCTGGATAAACTTCGCAAACTGACTCTGCGGGAAAACGCAAGAAATTAGATGAACTGCTTAGTAATCATGATGTATCTCTCGCGTCATACTCATAGTTACAACTCATTCGCATACATTCCAACTTACTCAGTCTAAAGCTCAAGTAGAGGTAGAACCTAAGCAACATCGTTAGCGTTACTTCTTTGCCGAAATAAGTCAACATCTTGAGGAATCAGTGGCCTTGGTCACCAACAGAATCACTATGAAGTCACGCCTTAAACAAACGAGCTCTTGCAATGTGATCTGCGCGACAAGCTGAGACCCGATTGTCTTCGCCTTTAATGTCGAATTCGTTTCCATTTCCTCAGTCAGATCTGCGCGTAAAGCGCGAATCGCTTCGTCCGGTTGTCGGCACATAAACGACAACAATTCAGCCTTATTTGACAAACTGGAGGTACTCTTTCGAGGACCGCCGCAAAGAGGGTTAGAAGAAAAGCAAGACCAAGTTCTTGTAGTCGATATTGAAGTCAGAGAGAAGATAAGAAGAGGGAGATATGTGAGAAGTGGAAGATCAGAAGGAGGTACGTGATGTAAGGACTTTTCGTATCATCTCACTTCTGACTGGTCTCACACCTGTACTGAAGTAGTTTTGGCATTGCGTAGATTCAAAATTTCTGATGAAGCGATCCAATGGAAGTCGTGGTCTCGAGGTCGAGTGTCGAGCTGCTTCAACATCTTGAAGATACAACTCGTCAATCTTCATGTTGTCTAATTATAAATATTGAGCCATAACATTGCCCCCTGTTGCTGATTTCCTATTCGTTGGCGACGAAGCGCTTGCTCGTTTTGCCTGTGGCGATCGTTTGCCTCCATTGGCAGATGTAGTTGCAGTCGTACTACCCGAACCTCCACTGGAACGTTTGCCACTTTTCTTCGTCTTTGATCCTCCTGCTTGACTCTCGGACGCGCGTTTTTGGTCCTCGTCTGAGTCACCAAACATCCAGCCGATAATTCCAGACATTTTTTCAAATGGGTAGTTGTGAGTGTATGCATGTGAGGACTGAAGTATCTATTGTAGTTGTGTGTCGTGTTGTGGTGTGTTGCAGTTCTGACTCTGGCTCTAGGTGGTATTGGTATCTAGATACAGTAATTTCAAAATTTATCTATGTCAAACTTACTAGATTTGAAGCTGTAGTCTGTTATGTCTTCGAGCTTCTTTTCAGAAAATATGAATCATCATCGTGTAAGCCATGCAATCCTCGAGGGCGAGATGATGTAAATTAGGACCTCGCCGAGGAGGTATGATCCAGAATACCACCTGACCTAAAAGGCCTAAAAAGTTTGCTGGAGTTGTAGAGGATGAAGAAGAAGAGTTCGCTCTGTCGATGTTCACTGCCTACTGTTCGTTGTAAGTATCATTCAGTATCAATCAGCAAAGCGATGGCTTGTGTTTGAATAGGCATGATTACGATATTAGTATTTATAGGGTTAGCAATAATTTGCGAAATCCTTAAGAGACTCCTTTAAGTGGCTTCCTTAAGGAAAACCCTTTTCCTTAAGGAATTTCTATTACAAAAAGTTATTATAACTTTCCTTAAGAGAAAAAAAATTCCTTAAGGAAGCTCCTTAAGGAAAAGATGTAATAACCCTTGGCTAATATTAGACCCCTCCTTAAGGGATTCGCAAGGACTCGCAAGGCTCTCTAAAGCCCTTGCGCTGCTAGTGCTACGAGTTCAAAGGCACCGCGAACATGTTAACGCGTTCACGGCTGTTAGTTTGTAGGCTACTCACGTACCCAGCCACATCTGCAGCAGGACACTACGCGACCCCTAGCGAATCGCCCCAACGAACTTCCAGCCGCTACCCTTGTTATTTATCGCCCGGCGCCTCTAATTTTTTCCAAAAACTTCAGGGAGGTCATTCAAATACAGAGAAAACGGAGCGACCTCCCTGAAGTTTTTGTAAAAAAGTTAGCTCGCTCCCCTTCCGCGACTACCTTCCGCGCACAGCAATCGACCACAGGAGCGCGCGGCAGCCCTTGGAGATGGTTAACCAGTATACTTCTAGTTCTAACCAGCTCACCAGGGTCCACCCTTCAGCCATGCAAGTCCTCACGGCTATCATTCCCACAGACATCGACATCCTCAACGGCTTCGACTTTCACGCACAGCGGTGAATATCTTTCTTTGGCCTTCTCATGGATATGATGACGCTCACCAGGGTCCACCCTTCAGACATGCAAGTCCTCACGGCTATCATTCTCACAGGCATCGACATCCTCAACGGCTTCGACTTTCACACACAGAGATGTATATCTTTGGCCTTCTCATGGATATGATGACGCTCGCAAGGGTCCACCCTTCAGGCACGCAAGTCCTCACGGCTATCATTCTCACAGACATCGACATCCTCAACGGCTTCGACTTTCACGCACAGAGGTGTATATCTTTGGCCTCCTCATGGATATGATGACGCTCACCAGGGTCCACCCTTCAGACATGCAAGTCCTCACGGCTATCATTCTCACAGACATCGACATCCCCAGCGGCTTCGACTTTCACACACAGGGGTGTATATCTTTGGCCTTCTCATGGATACGATGATGCTCACCAGGGTCCACCCTTCAGACACGCAAGTCCTCACGGCTATCATTCTCACAGACATCGACATCCTCAACGGCTTCGACTTCCACACACAGAGATGTATATCTTTGGCCTTCTCATGGATATGATGATGCTCACCAGGGTCCACCCTTCAGACATGCAAGCCCTCACGGCTATCATTCTCACGGACATCGACATCCTCAACGGCTTCGACTTTCACGCGCAGGGATGTATATCGTTGGCCTTCTCATGGATATGATGATGCTCACCAGGGTCCACCCTTCAGGCATGCAAGTCCTCACGAAGCCGTTGAGGATGTCACCTCCCCAGCCTTCCCTTCCTTGACACAGTGGGAGCCACCTTCCCAGCCTTGGCGAGCAGACTTGGCGACTTTTTTCCTTTGTCTTTCTGTCTCTTAGTAGTCAATCCGTCTAGTTGTTAACCTATGCCCGGCGCAGCGGGCCCTTGATGGGCCCGCTTTCTGGGCATGTATTGATATCAGTGGCGATCCTGCGCCTCAACTGACTTATCATTTCAGTTTTCACTACAACCGCTAAGAGTGGCAAAGTAAGAGTATTTATAGGCGGGGACGAGGTCACGAAGCTTGTTTTTTGATGAAGATCTCCACCAGAGAGTCAGATTCTGATATCGTCACAAGATGAATCTTCTTCCTTACGCCACAGCTGCATACAGAGACACGCCAGCAAAACAACCGATCAGCAGCTTACTACCCAGAGACAAGACTTGAGCGAGACCGAGCAACCTGATTGTATCGTATATACCGAGTCATTCCTCAACATCTTCCTTCTGGTAGAGACCGACCACGACCACCGAAACAACTAATCGTCATAGATACTGTATGCCCTTGCCACCTATGACGAAGCTTTTCGCCCTAGCGCCGCGACTGAGTAAGTAACTAAGAGTGGCGTCTATTCCATCTGGCCAGGGCATCGCGGCTACCCTTTGCCCCTTCTGACGTGTTGGAATTGCCCACATACACACGGTTCCAATTTACTGATAAGTGCAACCGCGCCCCTTCACTACGTCCAGCACGAGTTCTAATTTCGTTGCGACTCGTTGTCTATTAGCATCGATAGGTGAATCGGAGTCCTGTCTAGTAGTAGATAACTGGACTTTCAGACTAACACACTTGCCCCCAATTTTCGACATTTTTTATCATGCCCGTAGTTTCTGACTTGTTGATTGATTCAAGATTATGCTGATGCCTGAAATAAATCCTTCTCGTCTGTTCTAGAAATCTTCCATGCACCAACGATTGTGCTTCAATGAAAATCAAAAACGTTCACATTCTAAGTTTACGAGACTTGCGTGTCACGATCCAGCTTGTCCAGCTCCCTCTACTTTCTTGTAGGATGCACCCAAACTGCTCGAAGACGTGGGAGAACTTCCTCTATCAATCAGTCTCCATGTTCATCTCCGCGGTCTTTTAGTGCGACTCCTCTCGCCGAAGCAGCAGGAGGGACCGGCAACGCTAATGTTTGAAGATGGGGTGCAGGTCCACAACCATTCTTTGACATGAAGGCCTAAAGTTAATCAATAGCGAAGAAGGTAGCACTTGAAAAAAAACTTACTGCTGTGTTTTCTACGAATAATTCACGTCTACATGCATTCTCATGTATGAAGAGGATATTGTGTATGTAAATCAAGGTATGGGTTGTTGTGCAAAGCAAAAACAATAGCAGTTATCTTAGGAATTAGTCGTGAACCATTATCATAGGTGTTATTTTCATAGCGTGCTGACTATGCTCATGCATGATAGGTACTAGTAAAAGCAGTCAACCTGTAAGTAAGCAGCTGGGGAAAAGTCTATCCGAGTGGGAAGTCAGGGGTTTCAGGTGTGTAGATGAAGACAGATTCGACGTCAGGGACTAAAGAAACAGATTCTCGTTCTTCCCGCTCGTTGGAACAGCAACAATTCCTAAATTCAGTCACTCACAATAAGCCCAAGCCTTTCAAGATCTCAAGACAGATTTGAATATATGAGGTATACCAAACAAAAAATCCAATACCGATCTCCCACTCATCTCGTTCCCACTCCGATTGTTTTTGACCTGTTGAAAGAGCACATGGCTACTTACATACTCACCCATCAGCTCAACCATCAATGTGTGCCCGACAACAGTCCTCGCATCTTTTCGGCCAGTGTTCTCTGGCGATGACGTTAGTCGGTTCGGAGTGGACCTACGACTTCCCTGAATCTCTGTAGAACACTATCTAAGATCTTTACAACAGCACTATTGGGTCACGAGTGCAACTTGGTGTCGGTGTGAGATGACTTGCGCTACAGAAAGCCCAAGTGATTATTAATTCTGCAGAACGAGTTGTGGTTTGCGTGCTCCACTACCTGCGCTCGAGATCACCTACACCACCCATTTCCACCACGGGTGGTCCCTGGTCGCTCACTCGGGTTCGCTCTTCTCTGATAGCCTGCTGTGATGGCGCGCCTGTGCCTCTGCTAGCATGCCGCGATGTTGACGCCCCACTTCTGTTCGTACCCTCCTGTGACGAAGATACACCTCTCGTCCTCCTGTCTCCTCCACTTGTTTTTCCCTTCGACGTATCTCGTCCACCAGGAGAAAACAAGACCATGCCTAAAAGCTTCCTTCCAAACTTGCTATGGCGACAACATGCCCCAACTGTGAGCGTTGCTTAGAGGTACCGACGGCCCGTCTTTTGAAACAACTTTTAGCACTTTTCAAGATGAAACTGGCTAAAACATGGCGTAAGAAGTGGGTTGACGGTACCCATAAGTTACGGTGACCACCATCAGCGAAAAAACTGCGAGAAAGGCCGCATTACTTGTTCGGTCCAGACAGTGCACTGTCACGGCCACTGCTTCTTCTGCGCATTTATCAAAAAATGAAACGCATATGCATTAGACTACGTAGTTGCGGTGTATTGCTTTCTTCAGACCAACATCCTTGGTGAAGACCACTTGAAAAACGGCCAAGGAAGACGGTTCTTGTGAAGGATGCAATATCCAATCTCCAATATGGGATGTTGAACCCTTAAAAGGAAGGCTCACACAACTGGCAACCCTTAGCACTCGGAATCAGAATACTGCGGACAACTTTCGTTCTCTTCCCAGACAACCGTCTCTTCGCAGACAACCGTCTGTGTTTCTTAGCGGACGATGTCTAGTTGACTTAGAATTTCAAATAATGAGGCATCTTTATCCTATTTGATTGATGTGCCTGAGAAGAGGTAGATGGACGGACGATGTCTCTTCCTCACTGGCTTAGAAATACGAATGAGACGCAGTCTCTTCCTCACTGGCTTAGAAATACGAATGAGACTGAGGCATCTTTATGATCTAGGGTTAGTATCGAAGTGTCCGTATCTAACAAGAGGTTGATGGTGGAAATAAAAAGGAGAGTCTAGGATCTTACTAGAGGACCTGGACAGGTTGTTCATAACATGTAATCATCTTTACCAGCACAACCACTTTCGTCATAACATAGAGATTCTGATGATCTACTTCGTGTAGTTGTCGTTGCATCGTTTTATCTTGAACTAAGGCTACAACTGCATCGCTTGCTAGTTCTCGAGGCTGCTGCCTTTGTTCTCCCCCTCCATGTTAGAGGTTTCCGCATTACATTCTTCAGAACATGTCCTTTGGCCCAAGTTTTCTACTTGAGACCAAAAGGTCAAGGATGCAAGCGCAGAATGCAGTTTGGAAACCCTTAACCATGTGCTTGATCTGCTGCATGTGCACCGTTCTCGTCCACCTCTAAAGAAGGTGCTATGTCTGAGAGATCCTCCTCATCCTCGCTCTTCTTTTTTACAGACACGCATAGACAATTGCAGATATTTCCAACGTCAGAAGATGTCATTTTGTTCATGTAGTTCGACACCTACGTACTGGAATAAAATACGTGTCTCACAAGTGTTTCTCAGAACAAGTGTCTTTCAGAGATTAACTGATAGCATTGTGGTATACCACTTAATTGAATGATAAATACGCGCACAAGTGTTTTTATCGGAAGATGGCTACCACTAATGCATTTTCCTGTTGTTGTACTAGTATGAGCCTTATCTAGCACTTCTAGTACCAGAGTGACGTAAATATTTTTCTTTTTCTATCACTTTCATTCGGCTCCCTGTGTTTCATTCCTTGCAGGAGTAATGTCTTGGCCATGGTCATCTACTTCAGGGGCGACCCTTACTGGCCGTTTACGAAGCAAAACTTACACAGAGGTGACCGATTCATTCATTCATTGGGAGGTGACTCCCTCTTTTTTTTGTTACCTGCGTCGACAGTTTCCCGCTATAATTCCATTTAGTTACCCCGCGGGAAGCCTGAAGCACGACGGCCAGGCACTAAGACAACACAAACGGTTAAGCACGACGGCAATGATGAACAATTCTCCGTTCTTCCAATCGCCACAGACTCAGTTCTTCCACTCGCCACGTCGTATATGTGTAGATGGTAAGAAAAAGAAAATGGTCTGTGTCTGTGAGGAAGTGAGAGTACAGTAGTTACTTAGGACTCCCGAGCATTGCGTTGTTTGTTGAACACTTGATGTCCCTTGATGTCATATACGGAGATCGCTTTCAAGAAATATAAACAACACCTCTTAATATTTGCAACAAACAGTAAACCCTTGTTGTTATCGTAGGAACACACCTTCCTGGAGATTCATGAATATTTATTCTTGCTCTGGAGGTAGACAGTTAGTAGTACCGCATTCATAAAGTGCGACATTTCATTTTTTTCAATAATTCATAAAGTGAAGTTTTCTCATGCTCGTCGCGGCTCACTCTCGCGAAGCGAGTATCAATAGTTTCCGAGTCACAGTTTCTGCTGCTGCCGTAAGACCAATCACTCAATCAATGGAGTTGCCTCCGCAGGGCACCGACCTCCCCGCAGCTGCTGCGACTGCCGCACCGTAAGACCACTATGCAAAGTAAAAAGACTGAAATCTTATTGAGAGGGTCCCCCTTCTCAAGCTCGTGAAAGAACTTTTTACAACCACACAAAATGGCACACAATATACTGCTAGATGGGAAAAAGTTGAGAGAAAGGTAACCGGCTATGTACACAAAATGACATGTACTTGTATCTTTGGTGCTTGAAAGTCACTCACAAGCTAAAGAAGTAGACAGAGTCAGTCCTCGCGAAGTGATTACAAGTCATAAAGAACTTCATGCGAAGAAAAATCTTCTTTTTCACTGGAGAAGGGGAAGTGGCGAATAATATAATTTTTGTAAAATTGTTACTTGTAGGTGATTGGGAAAATACCCAGCACCTACCGCTACCACGAGGCGCTCTATCCTCTTCTATCCTATGTCTTCTCTTTCTCTCTCCTTCCTCATCTCATTATACTATAATTGCATGCGGGGATAAGTCTAAGGGTAGAGGGAAAACTAACCGGCTGTCTTACTTTTGTGCTTTGAGCGTCGCGTAGTATACGATAATAGGATGATCGACTCAAAGGCGACATGTATCGTCCTGCTATGGTAGAGCCTCTCGACAGAGCTAGTGATATAATAAGTTTACGTTTAAGTTCAGGGGTCTCGGGAACACGAAGCGAAGATACAAGTAGGTGCACTTGAGATGAGTTCTCAGATTGTCCAGTCCTAGTTTCATCTCGTCAAATGGAAACATAATTTTGTCCAGGATATCCAATACAACGTGCTCTTCATAGTCTGAACGCATTCTGACCTAAAGTCTTCGTTCTCTTCTTGGGAAAAAGTCTCGTGTTTCTTCACTGAATAATACGCTATTTGAGGAGCTGCAGAAACAAATTGTGAACCAAGCTATGAAGAGAGTTCTGCTAGTGGCATAGGTATCATGAAATGCATTAGAATTAGTTACATTATTTTTATCAGTCTGTACAAAAACACGATCAACAATAAAAGACTTCTCCCCCAGTGACAGAAATCTGATGGGATTAAACTCGTGTTGTAGCGAAAATCTGGCTATACTAGGTTACCCTGGTGCAGATCTGACAATCATAGTACCGATCCGGCCGAAGGGAAAGAGCTGGATGGTGTACTTGTACTTGTACTACATTTTAAGACGAGGTGATAAACAATAGATACTATCTGATATTGGACGGCGACTAGTGTCAGTAATCATTTTTCTCATCTGTGTATAACTGGATGTTCAATTCATTTTCTATTCTCATAAATATCATCTTCAATCTTGTCCTAAAACATAACTTTTGGTCTATATCACTAGCTTTTTCATGATCGAGTAACGCCGATTTTCGGTTCCGTACATAATGAGCTCTCAAAAATAGTTAGCGTCTCCCCAACGTCTTCGAACCGTCTTCATCAGTACGATATAATTAGTCGAACGCTCCTTATAATATCATATAATTAGTCGAACGCTCCTTATATATAATATCAGTGTATCCCCATCTTCGGTTTTGGCCTCCCAAAGCAGCAGTTGCGCAGTCCTATGAGACACATTTGTCCCAACTTCGGTAGACACATGACACCGAAGCCGAGCCAGTGGAGTGCAAGTACGCCTACGGCCACTCCCCAAACCCAAGGTTTGTCACAGGATGGAAGCCGACAACCACGCGCAACCACTAACGCGGTCCCGCAGAGAAGCCATAGGAAACCAAATGCCGATAACGTCGAAGCAAAGGAGCAGCGTCGGTTGCAATACGCGGAGGAGATTAGAATGAGCAGACGAGATTTGAATGAGTTTTTGGATGAGGTCATGAGAGTTGATGTTCTAGAGAATGTTGAAAGTGCTGATCACCTAATCCATAACAAATAATACTTGGACACCGTCTTCAGATGCAAACTCGCGGGAACGCTCCCGAGGACACCTACAGACAGCCACGACGCCAATTCCACCTCTTGCTCGCAGAATGTGCCACTTGTGGCTTTGTACAGCATGACAGGAACTGCGAAAACAGCGACAACTGTGGACCAAAATGCTGTGCTCCAGAGCGTATCGTGACACCCAGTTGTGAACGCTTGCAGTTATTCTTAGAAGGTCATGGAGTAGACAACGAGCTACAGAATGAGGATCAGACGATTCATTCATTTGTTTCTTAGACAGTACTACTCCACTGCCAGCAAGACAAGATAGTAACGAACGGTCTGTCTATGGAGACGGCAGTACTTGGCTAGATATCAGGCCGACAATTTGAAGGCCGCTAGCTGCACTTGTCGTCCAGTTCAAGAATTCACCAATTGCAATTTAATACTCATGCTCTTCAGACCACTTGTGGCCTCGTGGATCGTAGATGTTCACAAATACCTCTACTTCAAACATGTGATCTGCCCTAAGATGAACTGTTCTTCGCGTTTCCGGTCCTCCAATTGGTTGCGACGCCAGTCCTGCTTTGCTGAGAAACATCCACAATTCTCGTAGTCTCGCCAGTTCTGTGAGCAGCATTTGTATTGTGTCCTACTGTGCGCGGTATTAGAACTGTACACGCGCCTGGCCGTGAGCCCGAATTCTTCCGGTATATTACAGCCCTGATTAGCATATCCCCCCACGAGTAGTCTACTTTTTAGTGTGAAAGGATAGGCAGCTCAAAGACATTAAAAAAATTTAAAAGTATTCGAATCCTTCTTAGTAAACAAGAATAGCTGTTGTACCTCAACATAATTCTATAAGTGCTCTACTACTTCCATAAGGTGACCTCTTCTGTTGCTTCGTCTTCGTCATCAGTGAACTCCTCTTCGGGTTCGTACGCATAGCCTGCCGCAACATTAACCTCAGCCCCGTGGTGCTGCTGCCATCTAGGATGCGCTACAAGAGCGTCTCCCTCTTCATACTCGTCGTAGTATTCTTCCACGTCATGATGCCCAGGACGCGTCATTTCTGTTCTCGCTTTGCTTCTGCTTCCTCTGAGGACCAAGTGATCGCAATCGGACGCTGCGTCTTCAAGTAGACCAGTGTCTTGGTTGTTCACGAAAAAATGTAGTTGAACCTCCTTCGCCTCGCAATCGTAGTCAATCGTATTTACAGGAGGTGCAGCAAAAGGGAAAAGGCTGCACTCCTTGATCCTGGTCCGACTGCTTCCTGATTTTCAAAAGTAACAACAACTTTGTCTACTCCTTCTTCTTGGATGTTGAAATCGGTGACTGCTAGCGTCTAGCGTGCTTCGGTTCGGCACTGCTACTAGTGGACATGCAACTTATTTAGTTTTAGCTTTATTCTCGCCTTATTCCAAGCTTTATTTTCGAACAAAGAGATTATTCAGCTCAAGCAAGATTCTTGCTTCCGCTCTAACAAACAAGCTTTTTGTTCTTCCAAAAAAACTAAGCTTTTGACCTTTTGATGTAACTCCTAATCAGAGGTCGTAGAGTTGTGAAGAACTTGATGAACTCGCTTCCCGGGCCTACAGTTGTTTCAGTCGAAGAGCTCGATGCGACCATTTTTCAGCGACATTTTTCCAAGATACTCAAAACTTTCGCCGTTTTCAGCATAAATATTGCGATTGGAGTTGATTCCACTTTTTCCTTTTTGTTTGAGGTCAATGTTGACTTTTTCTGACAACTTTCTCGATTCTCAACATCCAGTTCGCCTACTCTCTCCTTCCTTCAACACCACGACAGAAGTTCGTTTAAACAAATTCAACGATTCCGAAGATACTTCCGTTTTTACGAAAAAAAAATCGAGAACACGAAAAAAACCACGTGGGTGAAGATTCCTCAAGGAGTCAAAGGACGCGGACCTATGCGCCTTCAATTGGAAAAAAATCATTAACGAATAAGTACTAGCGACCATTTTCTGTTCCTTGTGCGGTATTGTTTGAAGCCCTCCCATCCCCATCGCCGCTACTCCTGCTGCTCTTAGAATGGCATCAGCGACTACTTGTGAAGAAGACTCGTTTTACTTCTACTTTTAGCGTTGTTCTGTGTAGTACTTAAACTCACAAAGGAACATGAAGCAAGTACGAGAAGCGAGTAGGGTAGTTGGACAAGCAATTATAAATAAAAGGTGCCGTAATTTTTGTCGACCCTTCCCGCATGGAGGTTCTCTGCGTCTTTGTAAGTGCGTCAACGCGTTGCCGGATGGTGCTTAGAGGAGAATACAATATGCAGAAGCGAATAAATTAATGACCTAATGATTCAATGTCATAGCCTATAATGATTTCATGTCATGCCTCTATAGGATAGAATAGGATATATGGCATATGCTGGAATTTTGGATCATGCCTTTACTAGGTTCTTGCTTAAGAAACCGTATTACGTAAAATGTAAATGTTGAGAAGGAGAGTCAATCACGCTCATAAAAAATCCCTGACGTGCAGAAGACAATCCTTTTCGGGCATGTTGTTGTGCCCTGCACCAGGTACCCACAGAGGCGTTGCTGCAAGTCCGCGCTTGGCTAGTTTCTCGTTTGCATTAGAGAAGTACCCTTGCAATGATTATGCAGTTAGTGAGAATGTGTAAGAGATACATTTAAATAGAGAAACAGAAAGGAGGAGGGAAGGGAGAAGAAAATAGGTGGTCAGTCCCGGAGCCAGAAAGACCTGCAAAAAGACAAGTAGACGTTTAATGTTTATGCGGTTGCGAAGTATGAAGTGCGGTTGTAGAAAATGGATCATACCGAAGATGAAGAAATGATGCACTACGAAGAAGACGTTTAGAAAAAGTACTAATCTTAAGCAAATTTCGACCGTTTGAGAATGGCACAACTTCGTCGGCCATTCCGTGTATGATACACGCGGTAACCTGGTAACATTTCGAAGTAATCTGAGAAAGATCATTCTATACTTGAATTGAACCTTTGATGTAGTCAAGATCTTCATTATCTGAGAAAGATCATTCTATACTTGAATTGCAACTTCGTAGTCAAGTAGATCTTCATTACTTCTTGCATTCATTAGTTATAATGCACTAGCTTTTGACAATGCTGTAGAAAGGCCATCCCGAAGACTTAGTACTTGAACTTTATCGACTTTATCGATATTTCTGAAGATGTCGAGCATGCTGAAAACCGCTGCCCCGCCTTGACCGAGAACTGTGGTAGCACCAGATTCTATTGGACTCTGCAATATTAGGCCTGCGCACTCGCGTACTTCACAGCGGCTCACCAAATCGGTGCTTGGGCCACTTCCTATGGAACGGCCGAAGGTTAGAGCCGCTACTGTGGAAGAGCTGTAGCTTGCTCCAGGAGCAAGCTACAGCTCTTCACTCATTCGGCTTGTCGGCAGAAATTTCTGAAGGGAAAGCTCGGACTAAGAAGATTTCACTGGTAAATAAGAGATGAAATGAATTATCGAGAACCGCCTTAAAAAAACAAAGATCCGCTGACCTGGTATTCCCCTCACCTTCGTTAAATACTTGTAGGCTGCGTTGATACTTCGGTAACAGCCTTCTTCCGTTGGCTCGCCATCGCTCAGAGAATACCTGTAGACGGTGTGGAGGATGCCACAACATCAAATGTCATGCCATATGTCTCCGATCCGACCTATTTCCCTGACGAGTTCTACCCGCAATCGAATCCGCATCTAAGTATTAGTCCCAAAACAAACTACGAAACTGAGTACCCTTCGTATTCGTAGGCGAGAATAGAGCAGTCGGTCACTTTCGCTAGTTGTTCGAGGTAGGGTAGGGCTAGCCCAATATCCTCCGCGTTTCCGTGACTATACAACACGGAGATTAGAACGCTTCTCCATGACTACACGTTCCAAGACCGGGTAGTCTAAAGCGAGTACTTGAAAAAGATATCCAGATCACATACTTGTGAGCGCTCTGGCAACCAGCCTGTTTTGGAACGTCCCCGCTCCAACGATCTCTTATTGGAACCCGTCATAAGTAAAAGTGTTCCCCATTATAGGCCGCTCTGGATCTCGTTTCGTTTGCCATATCTACCGCAATAACAGTAGTGCCCGGCTTCGACTGAAAGCGTACTACATCTCTTCTCTGAGTCAGAAAAGGCTGAGAATAGCGCGGATCGGGCGCTGGAAAAGCAAGCTGGTTCACTGCGTTTCCCATGATCCTCTACTGTCTCTCTTAAGACTTTTTACGATGTCGTGAAGATATGAGAACCTCTCCCAAGAGGATCAAAGGCTTATTGATGTCAGAGGTCGTGGTGGAAGAAGTCGGAGTTGTGGTCTAGGCGAGGCTGGTCATTTGCTCTTTTCGTGGGAAGCAACGGTCTTGACCATGCGTTATGGTTTACAGTCGCCGTCCGCTCAGTACTCGCCCAAGCCCGCCATGCGCTAACTGCGTCCTTAACGCCGAGGTCCAATTCTGCACAGCAAGTCGTCTCGCACCTCCATCATGTTCACGCGTCGCCCGTTCAAGTTTCCCCCAGTGGTAGAAGCACTCATTTTAGTAGTCTGTAGAAGAAATTCATACCGACTAGTTTTATTACTTGGTATGATATCAAAACCGTTTGATAGTATCTTGTTCTTTGGTTATTATACTTGTAGTCGCTTCCTACACAAGAGGACAATTATCACTAAATTTTGGAATTTTTTCATAATGTTGTGTCGGAGTCAAGCTTCCGAGTTTTTCATTCATCTTCACAGTGAAAACTTCGTACGTCAAGAACCCATTTTTTTACACGTATCAATCATCGCCGCCGGAGGAGATAAGATGAGCGGGAACGTAGTCGTAGCACTAGAAGAGCTCATGATCACCTGAGGACCGATTTTCACTCACCGAAGCAATTCTACCTCATCTTCTAGACGCTACCTCATCTTCTAGTCGTTCTCTGTCGTGGGATAGGATCGCAGCTCCTTAGCACCAGATCGTTGGAGATCCTCGTTTGGTCGTAGAAAAACATATTTCAGACTACAACTGATACACTGCTGCGTAGGTTCATCTGGTAAGTACATCGGGTTCTTAACAAATGCACATCGGGTTCTTATCAACTGAGGCATGCTATTTCGGTCCCACATCATGTGGTTGCCCTGTTGGGACAACAAGATGTTGTCATTGACGTACATGATCATGGTCTGATGTACATGTTCTGGAAACAAGCTAGAATATTAATCAACATAGCGAGAAGCCTCTCCTCCTATGTCGTACAGAGATCGTAACCTTCTTGATACGAAGCCTCTATCTCATCTTCTTTTTCGACGGTATCAGGAGTCGAGGAGGCGATACTGTTAATATGATCCAGTTATTTCTATGTGTAAATGTTGTTGATGTAGAAGAAATATCACGTGAATTATATTCAGATATGAATCTTAATGTATAGGGAAGATCTTCAATGTGGCTTCTTATATGGAGAATCCTAGTAGAAGGAGGAAAATTTTCATCGTACTTCTGATTGATTTTTGTTGCACTTTGATTCTCACCCAAGAATTTAACCAAGAATGCGATAATTATCTTCACTTCTGTGTCTAGATGTAGTGGTGGTAGAAGTGATGGCACAAGATAAGTCGCGAAATCATACGTTGGAGACGTGGTGGTACAAGAGAGAATTCAGATGCACTTCATCTCCACGTCCTGTTCCTTCTTACAATCCCGGATGAGCTTTAGCCGCTTTTCTTCTTACAATCCCAGATGAGCCTTAGCAGCTTTTTCGACTTCCGGCATCTTGCCGACCTCTGACGCTGTGCCCTGAGCACGTTGGGGATTGCCGCCACCCTTGCCATTGCAAACTGCCATGATACCTGACAGCCAGTCTTTGGCAGAAACTGCGTGTCCCTTCGGCACTTGGCACACAGCCAACAACTTCTCTGAGCCTGGCGCTAAGACGCAAAGAGGCAAGTCTGGGAATCGTTTGGCCAGAACCTTTATTGTAAGGGATAATTCATATTTCAAGGTAATTGATGTAAAGGGATAATTCATATTTCGAGTTAAATTTAAAATCATTGTATTGAAATAATTGAATTCATCTCCTTCTTGCAAGAAAAACTATTTATTACTACAAGCGTAGTTGCAAGAATTTTTATAGGTTTACTTACAGTGGAAATCGAAAAAAGTCTTCTTATCATAGTTCAGTACTTCCAAAGCCGCGCCCGCAGCCTTGATATCCCCATTGATGTTTGAGTTAACGTGTACGACACCCTTGTTCCCAGACAGAGGTTCCGCACTTTCCGCGGAGCTCTTCGCTTCCGCCAACACCTTCTTGGCATCCGCCTTTCCGGCATCTACCGCCGCCTGCTTCAACGCTTCCACGTCCTTCAAAATCTTCTTCTTCCCAAGGAGAGAAATGTCATGGGTCTCATTGAGTCTTTGCCGCAGTTCACTGCTCTTGGCGTCCAGCAATGCTCCCTTCAGGGTCTTGCACTCGTCGAGTTCCAAGGTAAGTTCTTTGGCGCGCAAAGCGGCCATACTGACAGCTTGCTGACCCGTGCAGCAGGTGATACGGCGCACACCCTTGGCCACTGGCTCTTCGGAGAGGACTAAAAGACGAAAGATTTCGTTGGACTTCTTCACATGGGTTCCACCGCAAAACTCCACAGAATGGTTCAATCCGTACGGGACTTGGAGATTAGAGGAAGCCGATTTCGAGTCATCAACACAACTATGGATGTGGATCTCACTCGTGTACAATAGAAATATTGTCCATGACGATTCTAATGAATAGGTTCATGTCATTGTAATCCCTGTGTTTTGTTACTCTGATGCAAATCTAAATCTAGATCCTACTTCTGTTACAACAACTGTAACACTAAGTACTTCTTAGCGCTACAAGAAAAATGTTAGTGCCCATAATAGTCGGATCCTTGAGCATCTCCTCAATCGGCTGACCGACTGACACGACTCGCACTTCCGAACCATACTTGGCACCAAACATGGCACGGAGACCCTCGATTTTGAGGGCAGTATCCTTCGGACATTCTTGGGTGAAGATTTCCCAGTTCGTGCCGATCACTGAGTTCGCGATGTCCTCGACTTTTTGCAGCTCTTCCTCGGTCATCTTGGCGTTGCAGTTGAAGTCGAAGGTGAGGCAATCCTCCTTGACGACGGAACCCTGCTGGTCGACTTTGGGGCCAAGGACCTTGCGAAGAGCGAAATTGAGGATGTGCGTGCCTGTGTGGTTTTTCGCGACTTGGGAGCGACGGCCAAAGTCGACTTCAACGGACACTTTGTCGCCGACTGCCAAACTTCCGCTGGTCACGACACTACCCCTGTGCACCACGTAGCCAGCGTACGCTTTCGCCGACGTGACCGCAAACTCCATGGGCACTCCACTAGCAGTTGACAAGCTCTTGACTGTAGCTTTGTCGTGCACTTGGCCGCCGCTCTCGGCGTACACTGGCGTTTGGTCGAAAATGACGCCTACATCGGCATCTGCGGAGGTAACCTTATCTGCGAATTTCTTGCCGTCCCAGATGGCCAAAACCGTTGCCTCCACACTGTTCCCCGCACCACTGAGACTATCCCACGTGTACTTCTCGAGATCATTCGTCTTCGCGAGTTGCATCTTGCTCTCCAAAGCATCGGTTTGCTCAGCATACAAAGTGAGATCCTTGTCGCTTTCAAGATCCTTCTTGCGGGAAATTTCCGCAAAATCCTTCATGTGTTGCTGTAGTGGGGGGAAGATGAAGGTCGTCGATCTTTGTTAACATGTTGCTTTCCTCTTCTGGAGAGTAGAGGTAGAGCGAATTGGAACATTTTCTGATGAATATTTCAACAAAAAGACACCTGGCACCAAACAAAAGTCCGACACCTGGTTGTACCATTCTGTGAACAAAAAGAAACTACTTGCTGTTGTTTTCATCTTCTTCACACCTAATATTATAGGGCTATACGAGGAAGTACCTTGAATCCCTCTTTATCAATTGAGAGTCCCTTTTCTTCGGCCATGACCTCGGTTAGTTCCATAGGGAAGCCGTAGGTAGTTGCCAAAGTAAAGGCTTCTTGAGCCGGGAAGGTCTTCTCGCCTGGCGCCAACTTGGAGCAGTACGCTTCAAACTGTGCCTCGCCCTTCGCCAACGTCTTGAGGAATTGTTTTTCTTCGTCGGCGATGCATGCTTTCACGTCATCGGTGTTTTCTCTCAGGTGAGGGAAGGCGTCGCCGAGGGATGCGACTAGACAATCGACCAGGCGCACGAAGAAACCGTCTGGGGCGTTGAGGAATCTGTTGTTGTAGTTTAGTAGCTAGTTGGGAATATAATGAACAATGGCGCCATCTTCAAAGAACCTCTTTTACTCGTCTATTCATTTTCCAAACATGATGATCAACTTGTTCTTTCTACTTAATTATAGAAACAACATGTAAAAAAGGTTTCTAACAATAAGAGAAACTAAAAAGATCAATCTTCCATAGTAGCTAGTTCTCTGTACCGCTTTCCGTATCGGCAAGCGCGTCTCAAGATCAACCGCAAGACCGATCCGCGTCCCTTGCTACTCGGAATAGCTCCATCACTTAATGAGATCGTGATCGTACGGATGTGATCCGCGATCACTCTGTACGCCATATCGACGCCATCAGTGTCGTCAGCACCTACTTTTCCGCTGTACGGCTTGCATCCGCATACCTTCTGGATCTCCGCAAAGATCGGTTGGAAAATGTCGGTGTCGTAGTTCGATCGCACGTCGTTCAAACAGGACACAACACGCTCCAAACCCATTCCGGTATCCACACTGTTCTTCGGCAACGGACGGAGAGACCCGTCTTTCTCTCGGTTGTACTGCATGAAAACCAGGTTCCAGATTTCGAGCACATCAGGATCATCCATGTTCACCAACTTAGAAGCGTCACGACCGCCAATACCTCAGAAATTGGAGAAAATGTACTTGGGATAGGAGGAACAGAGGGCCTCTCTACGTCTATGGGACGATAGGAGAGGATTTCATCGTTGTAGTAGATTGTAAACGCTAACTTTTTGACTCATTCTGCTACATCTCTTGCATCTGTATGCAGTAGTATTCTTGTATAATGTGTAAGAAGTGAAATACGATCAAAGTGAAGTTCGCTGCACGGGCCGCATGGTCCTGTGTCACCCATCTCCCAGAAGTTATCCTTCATGCCACTCGGGAGGACCTTATGTGGTGGCAAATATCGTTCCCACAACTTTTTGGCTTCCATATCAGCCGGCACCGATGGCTGCTTTGGGTCCCCACCATAGTAGGTCGCATACAAGCGGTCTTTCGGGAGACCGTAGACCTGGATTTATCAATTTCAAAAAAACAAGACCTTGACCCTTGACATTATATAGAGTATCAATTTCTTCTTCTAACGGACTATTCTCGAATAAGAGCCAGCCGCCTACTTGTTCCAAGTTGTAAGACTATGCCGTATAATACCTCCGTCAGCAATTCCCAGGCCCAGTCGATCGCTTCCTCCTTGAAGTAGTCTCCAAAAGACCAGTTTCCCAACATCTCAAAAAAAGTGTGGTGGTACACGTCTTTACCCACATCATCCAAGTCGTTGTGCTTGCCGCCAGCACGAATACACTTTTGACTGTTGGCGGCACGCTTCAGCTTCGAGAAAGGGTGGGACGGATCGATTTGCCCGACAAAAATTGGCTTGAACTGATTCATACCCGCATTGATGAAAAGCAAAGTCGGGTCTTGGTGGGGTACCTCAAAAAAATGATTGGGAAGTAGAGAGTTTGATTATGAGATCGTGGGCAGCTTGTCACTGACAGGAGCTTCACTGAATTCCAACATCGCAATAACCAACACAAATGCAGCATTATGGTACTATGCAGAGAAATGTCTTTCAAATTGTAGTAGAGGCAGGAAAACACAACCATGACCAATAAACAATTCAGAGCAAAACTTGAATCTTACCACTGGTGAACTCTGGATAAAGGTGTGGCCCTTCTTCTTGCAGAAGAAGTCAATGAAGGTCGATCTGACCTTCGACACTGGCCATTCACTCTCAATAGGTGATTGTGCAGCCATTTTGTCGCTTTTTTTGTTGCTTCCGGAAGAAGTTGAAGAAACTTTGGTATTCGAATTGTTTCCAGACTTGTTGTTCGTCGCTTCTCCTCCTCTAGTACTAGACGCAGCTTTACTAGTGCCGAACTCACGTACTTCCGCAGTTGTAAGTGTGTATGCGGGCTTCGATATAACTTGGAGCCCCAATCCACGAAGATAGGAATGCTCCATAGCAGCGAGACGAGAACGTCCAAAGATTTTCAGTATATTTTTGGGGTAGCGGTTGCAGAGAGAAGCAATATCTTGTTCTATGGTACAATTGATGTCGGTGCGTGATGTAACAAAAACCTTGCTTTTTCTCGAAAAAAATGTAGCAAGAAATAAATGTAGGGATTCAATCCTGATGCTTTTTGGCATGCAAGGAAATATACGCTGTAATGAGCATGGCTATCCGGACTAAGCATTCATTGATTCACATATGTGTCAGTAGATCTGGCTTCCAATCTTGATCTCGATCCATATCCATTGAACTGGCCTAAAATTCAATGTGCATGAGACCTGCTGGTAACTCTAAGATCCTCGAAGGTTGATCTTCCTTCCACTCCAGTGATCTTGATCTTGATGCATGTTCATTGAGATCCATCTTCATGTGAGGTCCAGCACCCCAGAGACATTGACAGAAGAGGACCTTGTTGATCATTCTATTTCATTTTCGACATTCACATTGTTCGGCATGGTGGGATAAACCTAAGAGCATTGTTCTATCTTGTACTTCAACATTCACATTGTTGGGTCTAGAAGTTGTTTTAGAAGGTGTAGTTTGTTGAGAAACGGTTTCCCGTTTGCAAGTTTGGAAAGTAAGTTGTCTTCAAACAGGGACACCCCTCAATCTGCCTTCTGAAAACAGGACACAATAACCTTCAGTTGCTAGGCGGGACAGGAACATTCTCTTGATAGGGGCATTCGAAAGGGACAGGGGCTCTACGTTTCCAGAGAGGTAGAAAGAGAATCTACTATGTGGGTATCAAGTCTTGAAACTACGTTTCCATAGAGGTAGAAAGAGACTCTACTATGTGGGTATCAAGTCTTGAAACAGGATGACAATCTTTTTGGAAATTGTGACTCGGAGTTGAGGCATGACGATCATGATAATCTCCCCCAGCAAGCAGTGCAGACACTATGAGTTCAACAACAGCAAAGAGGGCGGGAACTAGGTCGCCTACCTTGGCCCTCGGCGCCCCATACAGCATTCGTTCAGCGACAAAAAGCAGTAACGATCGACTCAGGCAAAAAAAAATATGAAAAATTTTAGTTCCATAAGGGCATAATCATATGTAGTTGATGGGGAATTAAAATTATGGGGACACGGACGTTCTTCTCTATGTCGTGAGTCGTGAGGACAGGGGAGTATAATATGTTGCAGCTGCTGGCTAGCAGCAGCATTCAGCAACGTCTGTGCAAGATGCAATTTATTCAAGCAGAAACAAAGTCAAAACGCAGAAACAAGATACCTAGAAGTTCAAAAAAATCTTAATAGAGCAAGTAGCTCGACTACGCAATGAGAGGTATAATTAATATATAGTGTTTAACATTATAAGAAGCTGCCGTATTTCTCAAAACTACAAATAGTTCCTTCTTGTCCGTGTTCGGTGGTTGATGGTATATACACGTTTCTGTTTGAAAAGTCTAGTCTAATTTCAAATTTTTCTTGGAGGCTGAAAAGAGCTGCAGCATCAAATTGTAGGTTCTAGAATAATGAGTTGAACCGAAGAAGACCAAAATCTTAATATTCTCTTGAACAAAAAAATCATATGTCATTAGAGCCAGAGCACTAGGTGGTTTCCGCTCGGCGTTGATAGTCACAGAGGTGACAGAAGAGATGAAGCGACATTTTTCCGTTCTATTTTTCCTTTGGTGGTTATTTGGATGACCTACAAGGCTTTCATTGAGGAAGGAGAAGCTTAAGTAATTAAGAAAACGTAGGATGCTAGTATGCGCATATTAGGGACTGCTTCTGCCCCTGAGGTCCTTCTTAGGTTAAGGAGCAGAAAATAGAAGGTGCTCGCAATGAACTACAGACGGCCTTGTGGTAGTACAGCCGCGGTGCCGGCTCACTACTACCACAACTGTAGAACATTCGGAGGCAATTAAATAGCCAAAACAGTTGTCTTAATGAAGAATATCCATAATCTTGGCGTCACCGTGGGTATGCATGCATGCAAGCATAGAATGGAAGTGGGGTAACTCTATACTAGGAGGGAGTGAGTATAATGTTCTAGGATAAATATTGAAAGGTCGGAAAATGAATAAGACTCTTGCAGGCAGATGCTGGGTGTCTGTCTTTTTCAAGCAACGGATTGAGAAGAGTGCACATTGAAATTTCATACAGCAGAAGTTCGTTGAAAATTTTCCAAAAAAAAAGTCCAAGAAAGCAAGAACCCATCGTTCTTCAGAGCAACCCGTCATGATAAGTATACGACTCGCCGCGGCGCACCGTGCAATAGCTGAGTTCTGTCGCTCCCGTAGAAGAGTAAATCTTCAAAGTATAGAAGTCGTGGCCTTCTTCAGCGAGATGGATTTTTGCATCTTCCCGTGGTCTGATTTGCGTACTTACTACTGGGACGAAGAAAACGTAGTCTCGTGGATTAAAAATCTTCGCACGGATTTCGCGCACTGACCGGTTGCGGACTTGAATTAGAACTTAAAAAAAAGACTAGCACGATCCTTTGTTTTTCAGCCAGGCTCGACATTTACAGCTTTTTGAACGCCAGAATAAATATTGAAATTCCACCCAGCCTTAGCTGTATAGTATTTCCCCTGTTTGGAGGTGAATCGTAGCCACGCTTGCCCTTCGTTCGATGCGCCCTAGAAATGCGCGCCCTAGCCGAAGTCGCGCGATGTTTCCTTCGTGGCGCTGTTGTTGTGGTCACTGAATCCGACACGCCTCGTGACCTCAGTCCCGATGCCGGTGAGAGGACACTCAATAAAACCGGTGACGCGGACGCATTCCTCAGCAAAGACTGAAAGTTTTCCAACATTCCAGGTGCCAAGGATGAAGAGGTTGGTAAAGGAGCAAGTTGTAGTGGAGAAGCTAAGCCCTCTCGGTCTTCTTGAGCGTCAACGCCTTCTCCTTGATCGGCAACGTCTTGATCTTCCTCATGAGTTGTAACGTCTTCTTGAAAGTGGCTTCGAGACCTCAGCATCATCGGACCTGAAACATGATGTTGTGGCCCTCTTCGTCGTACTAGTCTTCTCGTCTTGTGGGAGAAGATCATATTACTGTCGGAACGCGATTCTTGTAGAAGTATATTACTCTGTACCTCCCAAGAACAAGAACGTCCCTCACCAAGACCGTCAACTGACCGCGCCCTTCCAATAGTACCAATGCCTCTTCCCATAAATGTAGAAGTCGTACTAGTCTCTTCATCATGATGCTGGGAAAACGGAATCGGAGCACTGGCAGTGCTACGAGGTGGAGAAAGCTGCAAGCCACCAAGTCCAGACCGCCTCATTGAAGCCGATCTACTCCCTCCTACGGCTCTCCTGAGTGCTAGCGAAGTTGACTCGCCATCGCTAGAAGAGACGACTGAAGAGTGGTATTAGAGAGATCTAAGAGGAAGCAGATCAGTAGTAGGGTACATATTACGACACAAGGAGGTTCAGGGGCGGCGAACAAGAGTATCATAAATATATCAAAGTATTTCAATTTTGAAAACTCCTGATCCACAACCTTGCTATTTTTACGACAGGAACAAGCACGCACTAATTCATAACTAGACGAAGAGGAAGAGTCATTGAGACCCCCGCCTAGGGACTGCAAATTGTCAAAACTGGCAGTCTTCGAAACTTCCGCTCCATCCGCTGTTCTTAAGCTGCCAGCCGAAAGGATTAGACCGCAAGGACTATTTAAGTGTTCAGCAATCATAATATCCCAAACCCAAGCCCTAAGCCACAACATAAATCTAATTCCCTACCCAGTGGAATCTGAAGATTCTCCATATGCCACAATTCTGTACCGTTAACAAGACGAAACAGTTCCTGAAACAGCCATAACTGTGACTTATTCATCCCAGACACGACTCGCCATGTCGCCTCAAGACCTCCTGAGCCATGAGACGAGCGTCTCCGAATCCTAGTACCCCGAGCACCACGCAGGTGAGGTGCCAGAAATTCGCTTAGCCCAAAGCTACTGGACGCCGAAGACTTAGAGGGATGCCCTTTAATAGCTTCAAGATGCTTGTTGGGGAGATGGCTTAAATAAAGGAAGCCTTAAAAGACGCTTGCTCATCGCTACTATCCCTTCGACTTCCACAAATGGCCGCTCCAGTACTCCTGTATAACTCTGCGTCAGGGGAATTCTGGAGGTTTCTAGTATTGAAGCCACCCTCATCGGCTTCTTCATCTTTCGTGCTGTGCGAAGGTTTGTTTTGATGATGCAGGTGTTCCTGCAATCCAACTTCTAAGAAACTGCGACTCTCGAAGCTGTCGTCTACTTTCTCATTCCCAGAGCACTGCCTAATAAACGCTTCGGGTCTAGAATGATGTTGACTGAAATTTAAGTCCACTAAGCCTCCGCGTCCACCTCTTTCTGGACTAGACAAACCAGAACTGCTACTTGGACTAGAACAATCACTTCCGCCTAGAGGACTAAGCAGGCGATTTGTGAAGATCTTCTGGTTTACGTTTACATCATGATGATCATTCTGGTTTCTATAATTTACAGAGTTGCTGTGTCCTTCTCCTACTACTGGCACTAACTCTAAGTCACCCCCACCTGGACCGAAAAGTGACGTTGAGGCTCTGTAATCGTCTTTGCTGTTCTTGTTGCTTGCCCCTAGTTCTTGGGTTCCAGAAAAAGCTAAAGGATTGCTACTACTTGTTGAACTACTTGATGGCTCCGCTAATGATGAATTTTCCATCTTCAATACGGAATCATGAGTACTGCTGGAGGGTGAGACTGCCTCCACCAGGTCGCCTGAGCGATCGCGCGGGATAGCGCCGGCAGCACCAATGCCCGCTTTCTCTACTGTTCGTTCGTTCGTGTGGGAGGAACTGGCAGCACCAATGCCCGCTTTCTCTACTGATCGTTCGTTCGTGTCGGAGGAACTGGCACTGTGAGGCGGAGACGGCGTGCTCCTGCGTGGCTTGGGCTTCTTGTCACCATAATTATACTCGGCTGGAGACGGCGTGCTCCTGCGTGGCTTGGGCTTCTTGTCACTATGATACTCTACTGCATTAAGCATATTTCTATCTGAATAAGTGGGTGGTGAGAGTGCATTAGGTTTTCTATCTGAAGAAGTGGGTGGTCTGAGAAAAGTTGCCCCGCCGGGTTGAGCTGATGCTGATGAGGACTCCAGTGCTGCTATTTGATTCGAAGATGCTTCTTTTTTGAGAGCGGTAAAAGTAGCAGTGCCGCTCGTAATTTTGTTGGCGACAACGTGCGTACTGCTGTTGACGACGCTAGTACTATTGTTGCCACCAGTAACACTAGCAAAAGAAGATGTCTTCTCCTCATCATGTGTACTTGACGAACTTGCGGCTCCTCTAGGTGGACTCAGTACTCCCCTACTTGTGGTTCCGCCCTTAATAGGACTTGTTTCAGCGAGCCTGCCTCCCTCAGGACTTGTCGCGCCATGTGTTTCTTCCCAATGCAGTCTTTTCGCCTCCTTCTTCGCAGAACCTAGAGCTACCTTCGGCCTAGAGGGACTTCCTGTTCTACCAATTCCACATTTTCTATCCGCCTCCTGTATTGGTGCACAAATACTGCGTTGTAAGAAATTTTGTTGTTCTGCCATCGAGGAACCAAGAGCATCTTCACTATCGAATTCTGAACTTGTATCAAAGCGTTCTACGCGTTTCCGTTTAAGACTCTTCGCGATATCGACAAACTCGAGAACCATGCCTCGACTGCAACGACAGGTTGCGAGTTGTCTGTCGCAGAACCCCGGAGCAAAAATCTTCAACCGGTATTAAAGCTCAGCATTCATTGGTCACTGATGCTGAAAGAAAAGGGCCCTTTACCCCTCTACTTGTTCTCCCTGTGTTTTCCCCTGTTTTCTAAGGAGAGCCTCTCTGCGATCCCAGTGACCAACCCCAATGACCATTGAAAGTTGAGCCTTAACGGTATTCTGACTTAATCACCCCACTGGGGCCAGAGGAAAGTGGAGGCGAAAAAGCAATCACGTCCCCTGCCTCAACGTGCTCGACGCAGCGACCGCTGATGCCGGACACCGGTAGCCAGTTGAAGAGGTCCTCGACTGCGTACAGCACTGCCTTCACGTGCTTCAAAGTCTTGTTCTTGATGAGAATAGGTCGACTGCTGTTGTAGTCGTCGTTGATGGAGGACGAGTCGTCATCGAGAGTAGACTGAAGATTATCAGTGGCGACGTTCATACGCATGTAATAAACGTTGATGTCAGTAGTCGAACCACAGTCCCTTGTGCGTCGCGTGCTGTCTAGAATGCGCGAAAGGGAGTCCCGGAAAGATGAGCAAAAGTCTTTCGCAGAGTCCACTAGCTTCCTCGATACTGACGATGCTCCATTTCGGTGAGCTGGAATAAAACCAGCACTGGTTGTACTACCACTAGGAAGACAGTTATCTCTAGTAGGCGTACTGCTGGAGCAAGATGATGACGCTCTAGTATGAAAGTAACCGTGATGGTTATCATCGTTGGATTCTACCTGTTTCCAACCGCCAGTTGCCGCTCCATCTTTTACGTCACTCTCCTCGGAAGCATGGTTCTTCTTGTCTTCCTCGGCTTCTTGGTATCGTGCGTCTTCTGTGGCATCATGTGGACCTCGTCTAGGCTCTTCTGCACTGGAACTTAGCCCACCTTTTAATTTCAAAGCAGAAATCCATGATTAGGCTCTCTTCAACATCTGCTTCTTTTCATCAAGTAGTTCATCAAATAAAAGCAGAGCCATCTTCTTTCGCTTCAGACTTTACTTATTTTAAGAAGTCTACTTTAAATTACAAAAGCGAACTGTGATGTCTTTCATACAAACCTCGCCAAGCCTTAAAAACAAGCTTGCCTCGTCCCGTCCTCTGCTCGATTCCTCTGCTAAATACTCTGCGGGAAAGAACTCAAAGTCGTACAAGCACTCCAGAGAAAAAATCCATCTCGCAAATCGGAATAGCTGAACTATCGCAGATTCTTGGTCCTCTATTCGTTCTGTCTCGGAACACGCGTCTACTACTGTGTGATCGGAGAAGACTAGTCGTATGAACGGGGAAAAGTGTACTGAATCATCTGTCGCTTCTGACTTCCGATCTGTCGTTGCCTCCCTTGACATCAACGACAGAAGAAATCGCACTTTAATTATAGAGTAGCCCTGCAAAGGTAGCTCTCCTATTGCAGTCACTAACTCGCTTATTTTCAGTTTTCGAGAAGCCTGTCTTCTTCTGGCCATATATTGTATCCGATGTTTCCGCACATCCTCTGTGAAAAGAAGCGCCTTGTACAAATACGCGATCACCGCTAATATGACGCCCATCATGCCTAGGAGTGCGGCTCCTTCCCAAAAATGCGGAAATGCTGCGTGCACCCGTTGTAAAAGGCCACTCAGTGCCAATAGCGCTAACCTTGTTTAACGCTAGTCGATCACTATGATCCCTGGCTGAGTGATTCCCCCTTGCGTTCCTCCTCCCTGAAATTGCAAGAGAGGAATTGCACTCAGAATGGATACCTGAGCACATCATCGTCATGGCGTCGCAGGTCGTAGCCATCCTAAGCTACTAGCAAGACGAAACCCAACACCTACATAGTGACCACTGCTCATTAGCCTTAACATGTTGTGCAAGCAACACCACCAAACGCAACTATATTCCAGAAGTCGAAGTCCCGCTTTTTCACAAACACATGGATCGCAAAAAATAAAATCGTTGCCACTATTAGAGATGACGGAAGGGCATATAGGACAAAGTAAAAGTTTTCAATATAAGTATGCGACGGCATGCCTAGGGGCAATCGTTTGCCATACGTAGTTCTTAAGAAGATAAATCAGATGGAAGAAGAGTTTATAGGAAGGGAATATAGGACAATAGGTCGTGGTAGGGAAACATCATCATACAAAACGGAAGGGAATTTATAGGACAATAGGTCGTGGTAGGGGAATGAATGAATGCACCCCCTCCAGGGGTTAAGAAGAGACCACTAGCAACTACTTCCTTCTACATCTTGCTTCATGGGATCGCATGATTTCCACTCTCTTTGCGCCAGCCATGAGCGTCATGTCTTCATTGTAGTCTAGGGTCCACTTTTTGCATTTTCCACATACTGCATCCCAAACGACCGTACGTAAGTGGTAGGGGAAGAGCTAGCAACACCAACATATTGAAGAATATACTACACATTATGAACATCAATCATGCATACTTATAGACTTTGCACCTCCCATCATGGGAGCGTTAGGTCAACACTTTTTCATAAGTAGAAAACGAATCCCCAAACGTAGACGGTTGCCGTAGACCCTATGCTGTAGACCAGAAACGCGAGGCTACACCCAAAAAGAAGCCCCCCGAAGGACGACAAGAGCGGTGTGCAGATGGACACTCCCTTTCGCTCCGCAAATACCCTCTGTTCGCCACACACAAACGCGCAAGTGTACGAGGCCATTTTTTTCCAGATTGGTACTTACGGCATTACGTCATAGAAGTGTAGTGGATGGCATTGGCAACTTCTAGGAGTATAGCTTGAACTACATCATCAATAGCCAGATGTCATTACTTCTATCTCTATGAGAAATCGAAAAACAAAAGGAATGGGTTCTGCATAATAATCTCTTGGAGTTGGAGGGAAAGCCTTCATCTATGTCTGAGGGATGAGCAAAGCCTAGTCCGTTGGTCTAACGAAGTTTCGCTTGTTGTCTCTGTTCTTTAGGTTCTGCCGCGTTCGCTCGGATACTTTATTCGCTTCTCTTTGGTGTCTTCCTGTTATGCAACGCTTCAGACTCGTCTGATTTTATTTTTTTTTTTGCGTTAGGACTATATGCCACCGCCCTTTCAATCAATTAATTAACCTATATAAGATCCAAATTACATACTGGGGGCGCATAAGACCGTACAATCGGCCACAAATCTACATCTATCGGAGGAGCCGTACATTCGACTCCTGTAGAAAACCTCCTTTCGCTTCTCTTTTCGTGTGGCGCCGCTGTTGCTCTTCTCCCACGCGCAGAACCCAAAATTATCGTTCACAACTCTTCCTGTGTAATGGTTGCGTTGACCGGCAATTGTGAAGCGTAATGTGCGAATAGCTGACTGCGTTCCTCTAGATATCTATTCGCTTCATCCAGAGACGACCATTGCATCGCTACGTCCTCGTTTACGATGAGCTGGACGCAGAAGGCGTTAGAAAGGCTGTGGCTGGTTCATCTACTTCGATGAACTAGCATTACATGAAGCGAATGAAAGTCTGAAAATAGATATCCTGATAGAATTTGTGAGCAGTGTAATAGAAATGACCAAACTATGCTGAAAATGAATTATCAAATCGAGCTCCTTAAAATCGGGTGATGTCTTCTCGGAAGTATCGGCAGAGCTGTCGCCAGAGCTTTTCCAGATGAGGAAACCAACGTTAGCCGCGAATGGCGCTAAGGCAGAGGTTCGCACTTCATCCTTTAGTCGCGTAAAACTCGGACATCCACATGATTCTGAGGTCTTCTCCACTGTACCCACCGTAGGAGTAGGTGGTTGTGCCAAGAAATAATCTTCGATTTTTGGCGGCGTCCCCCGATAGACGCCAAGCCATGCCATGAGGGGCAGCACAGTTTCCGCATGGCCAAAACCAAATCTCACGAAAGGACCGGTTCCCCCTTCGTCCTCTTCATTCTCTGCGACCTGGGTAGAAGTTTGTGTAGAGGTTTGTTGAAGCTGCGTGAGCCTGATTGTCCCATTCACATTCTTTCCCCATGCAAAATAATAAGAGTTTGAGCCTCCCCAGCAACATACTTTTAGTTGTAGTACGCTTCCGTTCGTACTAAGTAATAAACACTAAGTTGAAACACGACGAAGTTCGTATAACATCCATTACTTGACTCAGCAGTCGCGTCCATTCTCCTAACATTGAAGGGGCAAAGCCGTGAAGCGTTGCGCCTGCGCCCATGCCGTTTTTGGTAAATTGCGCCATATCCGCCACAAGCTCTAACCGATCACACAACGATGGGGTGGCTTCCTTCGTACCAATTACTTAGAAAACAATTCGCAGCAAATGTCCGAAGTCCGAAGTCGAATTTTTTTCTAAGCGGAACTGCATTTCTTGTCAGCAGGCCGTACGAAATTATTGCTTACCAAAAAAGAGGACTATATTTGATTATAACAAGAAGACGAGAAAAAAGCACAAGAAAGGGAAACAGCAAAAAATTCTGAAGTTAGCTAGGACCTCAAATTTGTAGACATAACAACCATCGCCGAGTAAGGCGTCGCCCAAGGTCGATCCACCCATAACCGCGTGCTCCATAATAGCATAGTTCCACAACTGCCACAATTCTTTGGATTTAAATTTTTGACTTGCTTTTTTAGAGAAGATTGTTCGAAAAGGTTGTCCTTGCCCTTATTGGTCTTAGAAACACGAACACAGCCAAAATTATCTTATTGATCTGCCATTTTGAGTATTAATATCTCAGTCACATGTTGTGAGCCAAGTCGTCATAATTCTGTAACCGTCGAGCGCTGTCAAGTCTTTTCCCTCATCGTCTTTCCGGGATGCCTTGTGCAGATCGAAAAAGCGCAGACGTGCATCATTCACTCGCAGTCGACTCCCTAGGAGCTTGTTTTTCTTCGTTGATTAGACCTATTTGGTTCGAAAACTGAAGCTCGAGGAGTTTGGGTTTTTCTGCCATGATTTGGTGTTGATGTTGTTGCTATTTATTACTGTTACAAAATATTTAGAGAGCCACTTGAGAGCAGCAGCACTTCGTATTCAGTTATAGGCTCTCTTCATAGGCCAACAGTTCCTTGCTGTCAGCTGTCGCTGTTTTCATTTGGCTGTCTTTCTTCTTCTTGGCTTCCTTCTTGCCTTCTCCACCCTCGTCATCGCCTTTCTTGACCCTCCTCATCGCCTTTATTTTGTCACTCCCCTCGTCATCGCCTTCTTCTGCACCGTCTTGCAGGGTAAGAACTTCATCCATCTTCTTTGAGTCTTGAAAAAAACCAGCCTCGAATGCGCGACCTGAGGCGATGCTACGAACTTTGAACGATGTCTCCCACACTTGCAGCACGCTTGCATTAGTACTCTGGTCGCAGCGAAGTCGCTTCCGCCATCGTTGCCCGAGGCCTCGTAACTCATGCCACCCACGAGGGACCAGCACGGCCGCAGAAGTGTTGGCGTACAGAGATGTAAAGGGACGTTCGCTGGAATTTTTAGATGAGCACGTGGCAAGAGCTCACTTTCATCTTCTTATCTGAGTCCCCAATGCTTCGACGTCCCTTGGGGATTTCATAGGAAGCCTAAGGCTATGCCGGAGACATCCAGAAAGGCCTGTGACCATAATATAAGAGCCATCATCTACTGCACCTCCAGTGCCTTTGCCATTTTTCGTCCCACCTGTAACACTACTACTTTTTCCTCCAACTATTTCAGACCATTTTTCTTTTCTATGACAGGAGAGAGTGTACTCATACTCAAGAAAAGAGGTCTTTAACCTGCTTAGAAAGTGCCTACTTTTTTGAGGATGAGTACACTTTTTCGCTTCATATTTCCGTAGTTTCTCCCACTTGCGGAGCTTTTTTCCGTCTGGTGTGCGCGTTCCATGTCGAATGAGCACGTCAGCGACCTCAAGACCCCACTTTTCTTCACAGCAACAGGAGGCTTCGTCAGGTCTTGCCTCTATTGTTAGAGAGTAATATTTACATTATTTATGTATGAAGAGAGTTTCGGAATAGAAGTAGCTGAGAAGCGTCGGTCTGGTTAGTTTCTTTTCCAACGTGTAGTGCAAGTCTAAACGAGCAGTTCTACTTGTAAATGAGGAAGGCAAGAATTCTCTACTAGAAATTGTTATGTTCAGTACAACTACAATCACGTATCAAGTATCAAGTAGTACAATCGTTTCTCAAGTAGTACAAGAAGTGCAATAGTGTCTCAACTAGTACAAGTAGTACAATCAGGTAGTACAATCGTATCCGTATTGCTATCGATTAATATGGAAATAAACTTTCAAGTATGTCCTGTATTTCGCAGCCATAAGAAACCATGTTGGGGGGCGAGTCGCTCGTCGTACGCCGTTTTCGTTCCTGCGCGTTGGGACCAAGGGTTGGGACGGAGGTTCTCAACATTTTTTTGCTCTTCTCCATTGACACTGAGACACTTTCCCGAAATAGACAGAGCAGCAAACGGCCTCAAAATAGCAAGCCTCAGGCCTACGAAGTTCCGAGGAGGCGCGGGAATGTCACGGCAGCTTGGCGGCATTTTTCTTTACAACGTGATAGAAAAACGATGGATGCTTGGCACGTACGTGTGCAATTACGAAATAGAAAGTGTATCGGAAAAACTAAGACACCCTTCACATACTCAGCACCAACACAGAAAAGTCCTACGCGCTCTTCAAGATCACAGTGTGCCTGCTAGGCAGTGTCGATCACAATCATCGTGCGCTGGAGGCTGGACATGTGCGCTCGAAATAGCTAAGTCCATCAGATCTATCTCACTTCACGCATAGACGACTCGGGGCTAAGCGAATACGCACTCAAAAGTGTTGACGCCTGTTTTTGGAGTGCCGCACGGTTCCAACCGTGTCGAAAGGATAGCTTTGGGTGATGACGCCGCTCCCCACCGATTTTCAATTGGGTGACGGTCGGCAGGATCGTGCCTACGAAGTCTCGCGGCTCCGTAGGATTGATGAAAACGCGAAACAGACACATTCTAAACTAGTAAATGCTTCAGGGCGCTCCACTTTTTTTGCGAAGCTGCGAGCGCCCCTTTGGTGACGGCGGCGGTTTGTAATGCTCGGCGACGGCAGAACCCGATGCGCCTCGCGGAAAAGTGCGCGCCGCGCTGAAACTCCACCGCTTGTGTACGGCTCGGGCGGCAGCGCGCTTGCGAGGACCAGGCGGGCGGCGCCGAGCCGGGGGGAGCGCCGACGGCATACCGGGCGGGGGCGGGCGAAGGCGGCCCCGGCGCCGTCGGGGGTGCCCGTTTCCGGGGCGCTGAAGGGATTTTGCCTGGAGGGCGGGGCGCTTCCAAGGGGGCCAATACAGGCCCGGAGGTGCATCTGACGCCCAAACAGGTTTCCGCGCCACCGGAGGGCCCGGTCGCTGCGCTCTTCCACCGGTGGGCAAGCAACCTGGATATTTACTCATCGCGGACCGATTGCCGGGCTTTGAGAACCGGGCCCACGGCCGGGCCCGTGTGTGCGGGCTCGTGGCGGTCGCCCTCTGCTCCAAGGTGGGCCTTTCTCCGCTTTTCTGGGAGCTCTTCCACAAACCCCGCGAAGGTCCAGGGCTGAAGCCCGGCGACGGCGATCCGCACAAGCCATCGACTCGGCGCGAACCGGCTACCAAGCTTGGAGCATAACGCCGCTCGGAGCATAACGCCCCAGGCGCAGCCGATGGACCCAAAAAAGAGGACCCCCGCAGCCCCCCCGCAAAGAAAGAGGCAAAGCTTTAGGAGGAAACGAGGGGAACGCTCCGCAGGTTTCAAAGGCGGAGCCAGTGTGGCCAGTTTACAAGGCCGCCACATCGTTAGCATAACTCTGAAACAACAAAGCGCGAGCACAGAGAAGGAAGCGCCTACAAAATTAATCGGCTGCCTAAAACAAGAAACATCACGCGCGTCCTCGGTTTCTAGTGCCCCCGCCCGGCGTTTAAAAATTGGAAGCGGGAAAGCCCTGCGGCCTACCAATATCAGACCAGAAGCCGGGCGAGCCCAAAACGAAGCAAGCCAGCTTCTTGACATTGAGAGGACTCCACGGCCATCTGCTCAAACATCAGAAAGAACCGCGACGCCGCACAGCGTCGGCGTCCGCTCTGTGTGTAGATTCCTCCACCGTCTAGATGTAGCCATCTGTCTGCGGCTGATTCTAATGCTTACGCCTTCGCCACGTGGTGGGGAAGAACGTAGCCCCGCGCAAGGCTTCGGCGGCGGCCTCTTGCGAGCCTGCCGGAGGCTTTGCGAGGCGGCTCCCGCGGGCTCTGCCCCAGCCCCCCAGGCTTTCCGAGAAGCTTGGAGAAGACTCAACCACGAGCCTCGACCGGGCTGCCGCAAAGGTCTCGGGGCGGGTCGAGGGGGGCCCGCGGTCCCGCAGCAGTCCGGTGCCCGTTCTGGTTTTTTTCTATGTTCTTGCGGCAGTTTGGAGCCGTCTCTAAGAGTCTTCAAAATGACAGACGGACACGCCTCAGATTCAACCAAATTCGCACAACTTCGACCCCTCACCGGCAAATCCCTCAGCGGCTTCATTTCGTTAGGGAGATGGGTCTTCTTCTCCTGATAAACGAAACCAGAAGCGACTTCGGCCGCGTGTGGATTCTAGTCGCGAGGGCTTCCCGACTCCGGGAGGGCTCGCTCCTCGTCTTGAAGCAGTCCAGAGTCCGGCTGGGTGGAGCTTTCTGAAAGACAAAGGCGGGGAGCGCACTGCACTCGCCTCATAGTCCACCGCCAGCCACCGCGCGGCGCCCTCGAATCTCAGGAGCGAACCAAGCACGAAGAAGACCGAGCGGGGCACACTGCGCACGCAGTGCAGCCCGCCGCCAGCCACCGCAGCGCGCCCTCGAATCTCCTGGAAGAGAGGAAAACGAGAGGGGAACAAAAGAGAAGACGAAGGCAACACAGGCGGGACCATGTCGACCGGGTCAGCACTGGAGAACCACGCGCAGCCAAGGCCGCAGCATCGTCATGCCGTCCCGCCTCTTGCCTCTCTTGTTTCTCTCCCCGCTCCTCGAGGTTCGAGGGCGCGCCGCGGTGGCTGGTGGCATCGGGCTCCCTGCGGTTCAGCAGACCCAAGAAAAAGAAGGGGGAAGAGCAGAGAAGACGCACACGCAGCGCGCCGCAGCCTGCCCCGCTTGGGTTCCGCGCCCAGCGTAATCCCCAAGCCTGGCCCGAGTTTCGAGCATGCTGCGAGTTTCGGCCCTGCTTCGAGCTCCGGGCGTGCTTAGGGCTCGCCTGTTTGGTTTGAGGTCGGGCGGGCTTCCGGCGGGTTTGGTCGGCTTGCGCTTGGGTTTTGAATGTGTTCGGTTCGCGTTTCCGTTTGGCGTGGGTTTGGTTCGAGTTTGGCTGGAGTTTGGTTTGCATTTGCGCGCGGGCGTGGTTCGGGCTTGGCTTGAGTTTGGTCCGGGCTTGGTTTGCGTTTCGGCCCGGTTTGCGTTTGGCTCTGGTTCGGCTCGAGGTTGGCCGAAGTTTGGTCTGCGTTTGGTTTCCGCTTCGGCTGCGCTGGGGCTCGGTTTCGCTCGCGTTTGGTTTCAGTTTGGTCACGGTTTGGGCCTCGCTGGGTTTCTTTGGTTTGGGTTTGGCTTAGGTGGGTTGCCTAGGCTACCAGAAAGGGGCGCGCCTTTGCACATCTTTCGGCCTGCTCCTCCTGGTCTTGGGCTTTTTCCTGGTGGTGACTGCAACAAAGTAGGCACAAGCCAGCAGCTTCGGGGCCGTTTTCCGAGTTGATCTCTCAGGCCTTTGCTTTTTTTACCGGTGGCGTTAGGGAATTCCTTGCACGGTTAAGCAACTCCCGGGCCGTTTTGTAACTTGAAGCCGGTAGCTGATACCCGAGGGAAGAGGATCCAGCAGCAGCCCAAAGAAGATCAAGGAGAGAAGTTTTGTGCGTGTATCAAAAAGGTCTATTTCTAGTAGGGACCGATAACCCAGAACAGCCCGAACAAGCAAAGAACTTTGACAATTTCGGTTGGATCTTCAATGCACATTGAGGGCATTACACCTGTGCACTTGAACAAGCAGAGCAGCTGTTGGCCTGCTATAGGATAAGGCAAAATCTTTGAGCAGCCACATTAGGGCCATTGGATGGCGAGAGAAGCACGATGCTGAGCCCGTTTGGGCAGTTGAGGCCCAGAGTGACACTTTTCACACAAGAAGCAACCCAAAAACTCGAACCCAAAAGCATGGGCGTTCTTCACGTTACGCCGGTGCCCTCCCTCCGGCATGCTAGGGGCAGCGTGCTCGAGATCCGATCAGTAGTCTCGGACTTTTTCCAGTGGTGGCCGAGTTTGTTCCTGCACGATGTAACAACTGTCCGGCCATTTTTCAGCTTGAAACCGTTAGCCCTTGCCCGGCGTTTAAGCTTCTAGCGCGACTAGAAACCGCGCACGCGTTCGCGAGTTTGTTTCTTTTCCAGTTTTTTAAGTTTTTAGATTTGTTATCATTTTTGGAATTTCTGGAGCCGTAGGGGCTCACACTGCGAAGGGTTCGAGATTCATAAAATTCAAGCACATTGCTGCAAAAATTGACAAAAGTGCAAGCTTTTCCAAATCGACCAGCCAACGCAGCCACCAAAAAAAAGGCGGCGACTCTGGTCCCCACTGATATAATTTTTTTGCCGTGCAGCGACTCCCAGCCAAAAAAAGGACACCCCTAACTTTTTTGGCTGGTGGTGGCTGCGCGGCAAAAAAAGTATCTCAGTGGGGATTGCTTTCGCCAGTCCGAGGCACTTAAGCGAGGCAGGTAGCGGATGCGACTTCGCCCGCATGTGTTTAATGTGTTGGCCCGCGCAATGGCAACACAACCGGCTGTGCGTATTCTAAAACGTGCGCCGCTAGACCCGTGAAGCGTGAATGTGCACTGTATAACAATTTTTTTTGCGTTTTTTTCGTAGTGGTAAATTTTTTTGCCCACTAGTTTTGGCCGATTTTCTACAAATTCTACCTCCGAAAAGGTTTTTATAGATCTTAGATCTATAAAGACCTCACGCGCGGTAGAAAAAGTAGAAAATTTGCTCCTGTAGTGCTGACTAAAATTTTACAAGGCTCAAAAAATTTTAAAAATGTAGAAACTCAATTGCCCGACCCTGGGCCATTTGGCGCCAAAATCCAAATTGGCGGGTAATCCATTCGCGCACCGCCCAAGACCAGTGCTCCTAGGTCAATTACCCACACACTGAAGCTAGTGATCTTCTCCGATATTAGGTAATTGTGTAAAGGCTTAGCGTCGAGGCAAAAACGTGGGAGCGGGAAAAGTCCGCGGCAATACTGCCACAGATCATTCCCTTGCCATGTGCGGGAAATTGCGTCGAATTCTAATCACCGTTGCCGATATGTATGTCATCCGCAACAATTTGACTACAAGCCAAACCGAATGGCCATCATCTCGCGACTACGCGATCTATGAATTTTGTCACGATCACGGGATCCGGTAATCGCCTAACCGTTTCAGCTCGGGAACTGGGAATCGATCCTATGAGGTCGTATATTCGTTCCCAGTGGGCCCAAGGTGACTGGCCGCCGAATTCTAATTATCGGCATCGCTACGCCGTGAGATCCGCGCCTGAACAGACACGCTGCGTCTCAATTACCCAATCTCGTAATTTCTCTGAAGTCCCATGATCCGGTAATGTGTATCTCATGTCCCTGTGGTGTTGGATCAAAAGGACTGGCGCCGACGTTAAAGCTGGGTCAGTAACTACGGACTAAGGCTACCGCGCCTTCGTAAGTGCAACTATACTGCGGCCCCCAATTACCAGTTGCCAGGCCTAAGGACTCAGTGTTGATATGTATTATGATGCCCAGGAAATTGCAAAACTGGCACCCACAGACAAAGCCGCGCCACGTGTCCCCTGCTCTTAGCGACAGGCAGTGATATTCGCAATACTACAGACTACAACTTAGGCAATTGCTCTCGGTGTTATTTCCCTTTATTGCACCATATCAGCCGAGAAGTCCTATACGCTGTTAGATGCTCGCGCGATGACTCTACCCGCTCAGGCTCTACCTGCTGCAATGGCTACGCCAGCAGTAACTACGTCGCAAATCCTTGCACTTTTGTGCAAAGGTGCCTGTAATACTTTAACGGTAGACCAGTTATTGGCAACGGCGCCTAGAACCGTGGACGAAATACAAGCCGCTACTCATTTGCCGCAGGACCGCGATGGTGATTTTTTACTAGATTATCTTATAACTTTTTTCCCCCACAAACGCCAAAAAATCAAAAACCAGCGCAAAACACGTTTTTTTTTTTGGGCAAAAATAAACGCGGGGGAGAATTGACCGGCACCAAAATGATGGAGCTGCCTTTTTCACTCAACAGAATTCGAATAAGATGAGGCCCATCACCAGAAAGAGGCGAAAAGGCTCCGCGGGCAGTGTCAGACACTCTGCGGAGCTGGTGGCAAGAGGGTGGGGCAGAAACGGCGCGGCGCATTGGGTGGGCGTCTCTGGCGCTTGTTCAGTCAATGCGGTCCGTACAGATGGCGTAAGGGTGGGCAGGCGCGCCCTAACAAGTGAAAGAGCGGGCAGACACACAAGGACGGCACCCACATAGATACCCACTGGGATCGATAAGCAGACGCGCTGACCCGTTTCCTTCCTGGGCTACGCACCTACGCGCATCAGGCAGATTGATAGACCGACGGGGGGGGAGTGCATATGACTGAAAGAGAGAGACCGACGAGCCGCAAGGACTGACAGACCTTAGATGGCTACTCACATACTACGGACCCACGCACCCACACTCAGTTTCTGACAAAGTGGGAGCCGCAGAGAGAGGGGCCAGGACTGGCTCACGCTCTCGCCCCCTCCCGCACTGTCTGACAGACCGGCTCCCTCGCTCTCTCACGCACTGACAGACTGACTGCGCCACTCAGTGAAAGAATGGATCCCGCCACACACAGAGACTGACAGAGCGAGGCCGACGCATGGATGAGGGCCCAACCATGTGCACCCACGCACCCACATGTTGAGTCTGTGTCTCACTTAGTGAGCATCGCGGCGAAGCTGGTGACGAAGAAGCCCAGAGCCAGACTGCGCCTGCAGTAAGTCTATGTATAAAACAGAACGAAGCAAGGACCACAGACAAGCACCCGCGCGACCTGTCGGCCCTCCCGAGACATTCGTGGGCAGCTAGACACTACCAAGACAGCAGAAGCCTGTGGCACTTGGCTCGCTGCGTCGTCCCACTCTCAAATACTGCGCGTCTCCGTTTTCTTTTTTTTACTTACTTACATAGTTAGTGGGTGGGCCACCGATGTTTTTTAGTTTCTTTGTTCCTTACATACCAAGCAGCCTACCTACGTGCAACTCAAGCGAGCCCGCAAGCATGCTACTAACTACGCACAGCGAACAGAACACACGCACACACTCACGAGGGAGAGCGAGAAGAAAGTTTCTTGCTCTGTATCTTCTGAGCAGTCGTCGACGGTGTTCCATCCTTGCTTGCTTCGTTCCTTCGGTTCGTTCCGTGAGGTGAGCGCTCGCTCCCTCGCTGGCTCTGTCTGACTTTGTTGCGTCTAACTATCTCTATTAATTTAATTAAGTAACTTTCTTTGGCTCGCTTCCTTCCACCTCACTCAGTGGATACATAATTAAACGAGGCAAGGCGGCAAGCTACTTAGTGCGTAGCCAGTAAGTTTGTTGCCACTTATTTTGTTATACACTGACACGCAGGCACGCACAGAGTGAATGGCTGACAGACAGACGCAGGGGACTGGCGCGCGGGTCCTTCGTTTCGTGCTTAGTTACTATTTGCCTGCGGAGCGTTGCGCGTGACTCAGATGGTTACTTACTGGCAAGTTAGGTAAAGAGTGAGAGTCCCAGGGACGGAGACAGAGCGACTCGCGCGCCCTCACAGACTAACGCTGGCGCATGCCTGCTAGGTTGTTTCTTCCCGTCGTTCTTGAATGAGAGGCGCCTAGCGCCGTCACCCTGTCGCGCTCCTTGGGTCGTTGTGCCTCCTTGGTTGCTTGCGCGCTGCCAAGAGGTAGACCGGCACACTCTTCGCGCGGGCGCTCGTACCCAGAGCGAACAAGTGCGCAGTGTGTTAGGCCGTCCAGTACTCTACTAGATGTGCGGTAGTGCGTTCCTTGCCCTCCCTCGTCGGAACGATCCGGGGGACTAAGCTGCCGGCCAAAGGCTGCCTGCTTGCTTGCTTGCTAGGAATGTCGGGAGCGGGGACACGTAGATTGATACTCACATTGATCGAGGGATGTCGTCGATGCTTGCAAGGTTCGTTGGATGGTGCGTGGCAGGGTGCCGAGCTCCGCATCTATTGATTCGCTACACCTGCCTCGTAGCAAGGTAGTAGGTACCAGCCAACCACGCACCGGCCTCAGGCTTGCTTCCATTTTTTGCATCGATCTCTAGGTACGTAGGATAATACATAGGGCTATCTTCATAGAATACAGTGAAGCCCCTTTCTACGTCGAACAATGAATGCGCATGCAAAGTCTCTGGCTGGTACCTACACAGATAAAAGAGCGTAGGCCGGCATGTGGTACCCGGTGCAAGCGTCTAACTATCAATCTATATTTATTTATACGATGGCACCACGACAGCAAGATCGGCGATAGATTGTAGATTAATTTTCCAGACTTCCAAACGGGTATGCGATCATAAATAAATAGAGCACTTGCCTGCAGATCACAGGCACACACTGGACGACATACATACTGCGTCGCGTGACACTTGCCTTAGGAGAAAAAAGCTCTCTCGTTCAGTATTAGACTTGGAGAGCGGAGGAAGTGCTCTACTATCAGGAGGCGAGGCTAGGTAAGGATATGCCGGTCGCTTTCGAGCTCACCGCTCTCATATCATTCATTTCGACCGATTTGAGCTTGGAGATGGATCGATGGACACCAAAGTTGACGCGTGGAGAATCATTCATAGGCGAGACTGTGCTTTGTCACGACCGACCTCATGGATGTGCTCAATCCTTTTTCCTCCGCGGGAGGCCTACATGAAAGCGCGCTTTTTGAAGTTGTCGCCTTGATGCAGGAACGTCGGGAACAATGAGAGCTTTTGCAAGTGCGTTCTTCTGATTTTTTCGTTCGTGAGTGAAATGGAGATCGAGTGAAAAAAAGCTTTAATAGAGAATGTGCCCCGCTTCTTCTAAAAGTTTTTTGCGAGCGACGGACTGATCAAATACGAAGAACTTTGCAGCTGCATCTACTAAAAGCAAAAGCCTTCTGCTTTATAGATACCAAAGTAAGTCGAGAAAGGATCGCGCACTCTATCAAGTCTGTCAAGGCAAGAATCTCCACAATTCAGCCCTCATCTGTTTCTTCGTTGTATAAACTAAATAGCGATACTTATTTGAACTCTGGTCCCTTTTATCTCCCAACCGGTGCAAGTTTGGCCAATCAATCACGATGAGAAAAGATGACTGAAAGGTTTAAAACTGTGAGCGCTTTCCCCAAAGTAGTCCTGTAACGCGCAAGAAGCTTTTTATGCATCTAGCGAGTGACTGACGTGAGAGAGTCCCTATCCCCGAAAACGGAGAACTGAAACCGACATAAGAAGTTGAAGTCTGAGCCAGCAGGCTGGCCATATTTATCTATGCCAAATCAGTGTGCCGATGAGCGACCTAGAACTTTGCCACATTGATCTACATCTAGAGTGTCGCGCACGAGAGAGGGAGAGACAAATGGATATAGAGATGAATGAAGATCGAAGGCATTCACGCAAAATTGCTGAAGAGGGCCTTGCTTGTGAGATCTGCCCTTCACTCGGAACTCGGTCTGTCGTCTAACTATCACTTCTTTGTGAGAAATGCTGAATTATATTTATATTGATAGTGTCTCTTTAGTAATAAACTTCCACGCTTATATATTTCATCACGATTCATGCTGTGAAACCAAGAATATTAAAAATACATCGTAGGACAAGGACAATGGAGTAGGATCGTCTACACTTGCATAAAACTGCTTGAAGAACATACTAAATAATATGCTATCTATTTGGATTTTGGTTCCTCCCCGAAGTGAGTGCTCTTATTCATTACTTAGGTAGCGTTCAGTGTGGAGGAATGTGCGGTAACTGTTGTTTCTTTAATACTGTATTCGAAGACATGCCGTGCGCCAATGCATTTTACTGAAACGACAACGGAGCCAACCTATTTCGTGACGCGAAGATGATCAGCGACCTCCTGCCTATCTCACTCAGTGTTCCTCCACAAGAGAGGGACCGGCGGAAAGTCAAGAAGCGGAGCGCCGCTGGGGAACTTGGCACTTTCTTATATCTTCCCTTCGAAATACAGGACAGGCTAGTCTGCTTCACAATAATTCGCTCATAGATGTTAATCAATCTCGTTGCTATGGATGATGGCGCACAGCTGAGCTTTCGGCCCCCTCGACTGATCGATTTTTGACTGACTGATCAATTGAGAGAATTGGTGAGGGTGCTTTGTATGCATAGCATCGTAGACTACATGTTGCTTGCTTTTCGTGGGTCGATGTTTCTGCTAGTTCTATTCAATAAATCTTCAAGGGGTGAGGCTTCCCGCAGATATTCATACATTCGTGGTTGATTGTCGTTGAGGGGTTTGTAGATGTACATCAATTTCTTCTCCGAGAAATTTAGACAATTCAAAGGCGCACGATCGTCAGTAGTTTGTAGTTCAGCATAGGTGGGCCAAAGTATCAAAGTGGAATAGACTCGAGCTCAGCATGGTTGATCAACTCAAAATATCAAAATAGGACTAGGTAGGCGTAGATATGGACTTGGATCCATCGGTAATATAGACGTCACCACAGCCACCACCAAAAAACACTACCTACGATCACAGTCAGCGGCGGGCTCTAGTGCAGTCCATCTGCGCTACGCCTGCCTGTAGATCGATGGCTCTCTTACGATTGTGCACTCATGTTATTCATTAATTTGGTGGTCTCCTCAGTCAGTATGTGTGCGACAGACGGCATATTTTCTTTTGGCTAGTTCTGTCCTTAGCATTGCGACGCAGGCTCATAATGAAATCAAGTTTAAGAAAGACCCTGAGAAGCAAGCTCCCAGACAGTGTAATACGACGATGGAGCTACTCGGTGTCATAGTGTCCCTGATTCTTGCACTTAATAACGTATGGCTATGGCTTGAATGCTATTCTCCATCCTGTTGCTTGAATGCTCTCTTTCCCAAAACAGACAGCAGCAAAATTTTACCCCACATGTATACCCTACACGGCCAACGTCAATTGTATAAAAGACCACTTACTGTTTCCATATGTCAATGAGTTTGCTTTGATGGCCAGAGTCGCGGAGTCAAAGAATTGCCTGGCGACGAAAAGGCCAGTAAGAGTTATCCCGTGGAATACACAGTGAGTCTATCTCAATTTTTCCCCTTATTGTGTTTTCTGATTCATGAATCCCCCCCACATGTGTTCTCCAAGTATCTATGGACGTCAAGGTGGCCACAGAGTAAGTTATTGGTAGTCTTTTTATTAGAAGAAAAACTGTACATGCAGAAAGATCGGATAGCTTGAGTGGGATGCAGTCACGCATACTGCGCGCACTGAGCTGAGTAAGTAGGTTTCTAATGGATCACGCTCCAGGAGTCCCCGACTTAGTGAACCAACTGGCTCTGTTTCGTATTAGTTGATGAAAGCATTGACTTAGAGTTTTGTTTTATCAGATTTGCTGAGATAGGGCGCATGTCGTGAACCTGGTTACTTTCCGTGGCTCAGGTAGATCTGTTTAGATGCCATCTCGTAGCAAATGAGTGATGCACTTTAGTCCCGCTCGTTTGATCGTTGTTTCTTGCTAAGTAACGCCGATCCATCCATCCACACAAACACGCGCTGCTATCGATCTAGCTTAGTTTTCATGAAGGATGCTGCTTGATGAATGAGTGTGGTATCTATACCAAATAGATCTATCTGGATTGAAAATGAAAAAGGAGTTCGCTCATATGCGAGTGGCTGTGTACTACCCGAATTAAATAATTACTGCTATGTATACCATTCACATGCTCTGTGTGTCCGGCATCTTAGTGAACTCATAGTAGTGCTTCTTGATGCGGACCAAGAGAATTACTTATCCAATTAGTTATGTGTCAATCAAAACTGAGGAAATAATAAGCAGGCAGCTTATCAATAGTTCAGTGCCACTAGCACTCCACGGGCTCCTTCGCGGGGCGCGGGTGTGCGAGTACGATATAGATACAAAAAGTGACGAAGTCTTCCATCCTGTCGAGCTCAATTAACTACTGAACTAATCAGTGAGGGATCTAACAAAAACCAAGCAAGATAGCAAGCTCCCTCTCATTCTCCTCAGGAAGGGAATCGCTGGCCATCGAGAGTATATCAAAAAGAGACTTCGTTGAGGAGCAGAATTTGTAGGGTACCTGATTGGGTTCGTCATTCATAGACGCTAACTCCATCTAGCATGTGCATTGCTGGCGGTGGCCTTTCATTTTCAGAGGAAAGCTAAAGGCAAGATACAGCGCCTCTCACTTGGTTAGAAGCGACGACGGCCTGGGTGTATCGGGTGAACTATTTATTATTATGAAAGAAAGGCGCTACCTAATGTCGCCTGTATACCTAGTCTGGTTCCATAGAAAGTAGATTGATCTCGCATCTCAAAATTTAATCACATTCATACAAGATTGATAACTTTGCTTCGTTCGAGATTGATTCACAGACTATCTACTGCGACAGCCTGTCGCCAAGCCAGACAGCGGGGGCTCACTGACAAACAGGCAGATTAGGCACATAGGATAGTTAGTAAGAAGCTGATAAATATGAGTGTCCGACTCTGAGGGCTTCCTCCATAATATTACTTAGATCCAACACGGGCGATTTAAAAAAACAGATCGATGAGGCGCCAAGCTGCCCCTTGTCACCTGTAGCCTAGGTATGCTCGAGAAAAGTCAATTATCGATGGGAGTCGTCTCTTGCCTGTGTATATGTAGACTAGAGTGACTTCTGACGCATACCTATGGCGCAGTAACTCTTGATGGCGCATGCTCGTTAACTGCGAAGGTTAAGAAACTGGCCAATGCGTAGGCATAAAGGAGGAGAAAAGGCTCTGCCAATACTCATAGAGTCTGCAGCTCGTAGCTAGCGGGGAACCAGCAGCCAGCGTTTTTCTTGAATAACAGAATAAACCTTATCAAAGGATGCAACAGGGGAGATTTAGATGAGTCGGGGGACGGGTGCTCTTAGGACTGACGATGCTATTGATACATACATTTACATAGCAAGGTGCCCACATCCTCTACGACGAGAAGTGAGCTGAGTTCTGACAGCGGAGAAACCTCACATGAAGCACCTGCACTAGATTGATGAAGGCTTCTCGTTGTGATGTAGGTCACAACTTGTTGTCGGGATAGCAAAAGCTCTCTTGTTAGTGGTACGCCACAAAATTGCGAATATCTAAAACAACTCCTGTCCTTGGAAGAAGTCAAATAAATTCATATATAAATTGATAGATCGCTACTGCCTTGGAATTGATAAGTAGTATAATGACGAAGGAGTAGCAGACCCATGAAAGAGTTGGAGATCAAAGCAAACCTTAGCTCGAAGTGAAGAAAGCTCCCACACGACAGCGGGAGTAGTTCTGGACAGACTTTTCTGTGAAGAGGTGCCGACATCGTGGCCCTCTTCATACTTCCCACCTTTCCCTTACATTTCACCACTCACCTTTTCCAACAGCATCAGCGGCTTTTCTGCGGTTTTCTACCACGCGGTCCGGAATGCTGTCTTCACCGTAGATATCCTCCTCCTCATCTTCCTCTTCATCCTGTTGCCCCTCCTCCTCCTCCTCCTTTTGATTATTGTCTTGCGCTGGTTCTTCGAGTTGTTGTTGCGATTTCGTGCTATCTCGACTGCCCTTGCTGCGGGTCGCCCTTGCTCGGCGGAGGACGGGATCTGTTTGGGTCACATCTGGTAGTAGTCCAGCTCCAAGGAGATGATTTGTAGTTCTACTAGTTCTCTGCTTTTTTGCAGGTGCGTGCGAGTCTTCTCTTATCGCTTGCTCATCATCGAAGATTTTGGCTTTGTCATCGTCATTTTGCTTTCCTGCGACGGCAAACACACCAGCGTGCTGTTGTTCCCCATTGCTTTCTGCGCGACCGCGCTTGCGATACGCTGCGTTCTTCGCCTTCGGTTTTGGTTGTGGCTTGGGTTTCGGGCTCACCTTCGATTTCGCCTTCGCAGCGCCTCTTTTCGGACGACCAACGCGCTTTTTCGTCTCCCCAGAAGCTCCTGAGACGATGGACATGGAGCTTGAGCGCTTGCGAGGAGGATCTGCAGAATTGTCAGTCAGCTCTGCTTCGGGAGGTACTGCGCCATGTGCAGTCTGCACGGCTTCGGGAGTTACTGCGCAATCTGCAGTCTGCACGGCTTCGTGAGTTACTGCGCCATCTGCAGTCTGCACGGCTTTGGGAGGTACTGCGCCATCTGCAGTCTGCACGGCTTCGGGAGGTACTGCGCCATCTGCAGTCTGCACAGCTTCGGGAGGTACTGCTACTGGCCCATCTGCCGTCGGCACGGCTTTGGGAGGCAATGTTACTGGCCCATCCGCCGTCGGCACGGCTTCGAGAGGTGCTGCGCCATCTGCACTCTGCACGGCTTCGGGAGGTGCTGCTACTGACCCACTTGCCGTCGGCACGGCTTCTGGAAGTGCTGCTTCTGCCCCAACAGCCGTCGGCACGCCGGCTTCGGGAGGTGCTGCTCCTGGCCCAACAACAGCCGTCGGCACGGAGACGGGAAGTACTGCCTCGTCAGCAGTCGGCTCGGCTTCGCGTGAAGGTACAGGCCCAGCAACTGTTGGCTGCTTTTCGCCAGATTCTGCACCAAGAACGGCAGCTGACTGCTTTTCAGCAGATTCGGCACCAACAGCAGTCGGCTGCGCAGCAGAAAGTTCTGCAGCATCTGCAACAACAGCTGGCTTGGGTCCGGAGTTCCTCGCGATAGCCATTGCTTTCCGTAATGAAAATGAGAGCAACAATGAATAAGTAATACTTCAGTAAGCAGTTGTACGGGTGCATAGCTAGGTATAGAAAAGGAAAAACTAACCAAGCCAGAAAAAAGCTGCTTGAGTGTTGCTGATATTATACCAAATTGATGCTCCGTTTCACAATTGCAATCGACTACAAAATGAATAGCACGCGAGCGCATAAATCCAGATGCTCTACCACTGCTGTTTGTGCTCCACCTGCATTCGAAAATCTCACCTCTGTGATCTTCTTGTCTCCGTCCTCGTCAACAGCTGCTGCTGCTTGTTGGGGCACTGCTGCCTTGGTCTCTTCCTCTTGCTCCTTTCCTTCGGCAATGGTGGGAAGCCTGTTTGCTCTTAGTAGCTGATGTTGTAGCTTCTCTCCGTGCTGTTTTAGATTCACCGGCTTGCATAGACCTGGATTTTCTAGCACGTCGTCACCCTGCCACATCTTTCCCTCCATCCACGGTCCTTGGAGCTCCGGCTTTTCTTGAAGAAGATTTTGGAAGACGAAGCACTTGTGCATGTAGTCAAACTCACACTGAAAAATTTGGCGTCGCTTAAGGACGTAGTCCTCCGCCACTGCTCGCCAGTACAGGTCGACCTCATTGACGAACGCCTTTCGCACATTATCCACTCGCACTTCTGGGTCACTGTTGTCGGGGAACAAGTTGATGCAATGTTCCGCAATGCCGTTCAGCCAGTCGAAGAACATTTGTGGTAGATCAGTTCCTTTCTTTCCTTCAGGGTTCTTGATACACAACGACACCTGCGGAGGCTTCTTCTTGTCCATGCAGTAATCGAAATGCTGCTTGTTCACCATGTACTCTGTGCTGAGTAGGTCTCTGTTCATGTTAGAGGAAGGCTGCTCAAAGTAGGGCTTGCATTGTTCTGAGCTACCCAGTGGAGATTGATAGGTCTGGCATGCCACCTCTCCATTGGGATGCTAGGCGTAACGATGCAGGCATATGGGGCCATAAACTTGGACGTTACAAACCACTTGTCTAACATCCACGGGTAAGAGTAGACCAAGAATGGCATGTACTGCCCTTCGGGGCCGCAAGGGTACTCCGGGTAGTCGTATCTGCGTAGACGCTTGTGGATTTTTTGTTCCTGCTTCTTCTGCTTCTGTTTCTTGGTCTGCTTTGATCTATCGCCATCATCTGCCTGTTCGTCCTTTTTGCATTTTCTAGCGGTTGAGGATGAAGAGCTTTCCTTGAGGCGATTAGCAGGCGGAAGAAGAGAGCTGGAGCTAGAAGATGACTTGTTTGTTATTTTTTGGCCGCTCGACGTCGTCGAAGTCGTGGTTTGTGGAGGCATCTCAGATGCTTCTTCACCATCATCCTCTTCATTGTGCTCCTCTACCATCTCCTCTTCCTCTACCATCTCCTCTTCCTCTACCATCTCCCCTTCCTCTACGAATTCCACCTCCTCCTCATCTTCATCGAAGTTGAAATCCTCCATGAAGTTGATGTGTTGTCCTCCTTCTACATCTCCGCAATCTTCCTCGCCCGTGCTCTTCGGAAGAAACGTGCCATCCTCATCCTTTCCTTCATCGTATTCTTCAGCGTCGAGCATGTGAGCGTCACCGTTTTCATCTTCAGGAGCGGCGCAAAAGTCTTTCATCAAGTCGTTTTTAGCCTGCGTGATTCGCTTCTGCTCACGTGCTACCTCCGGGTCCTTGTTAAGACGAGTGTTGCCTAGAGGACGCGATGTCGAGGAACTCGAGGTCGAACCGGAAGTGAGAAAAAAGTCGTTAAGGTTCGCGTCATTATCAGCATATTTAGCGCCTTGCATGATGTAATCGCGGTCATTGGCACGTGGCAAGAGATACTCGCTTCCTTGCCTGCTTTCCGTGAGAGAATCGCCATGGTCCTCCAAAACACCCATCATTTCCAACTCGGCTTGGTCTCGTCCCAATTTTTTGTCTCGGGCAATTTTCTTCGCAGCTTGTTTCGACGTCTGTAAAAGGTCGTTGGGTGGACAATGGTGAATCTTCCGTGTGCAAATACTTGGTGCTAGTTGCGAAAGGGGTTGGTAGATGAGAGCCCGTCTCCAGCCAACAACAACCAAAGTGAAAAGAATGAAAACCAAGCATTTGCGAAAAATTAGATTCATAAGCTTCAATGTTGCACTTCAAATGTTGGACAACCCAAAGCCGGCTACTTCGAGGTGAATCATGAGAGAAAGGGCGCATGCAACTTTTTCAGTATAGTAAGGAAAGCCCTTGCTGTCCTGCAGTAGAGTCCGTCGGTGACAACAAAGGCAAATAAAAGCCCGGTCCTAAATAGATGGGTCTCACATGCTTGAAATCAAGGATGACTTAGTTACCTTGTCAGCTGCTTGCGCAGATTTCTCGCCTTTTTGCATTCCTTTAAGCAATGCGACGCTGGACGCCATTTCCTCTTTCTCTTTTTTCTTCTTCAGTTGCACGTCAGCAGCCGACTGCTTTTTGCTTGCGGCCTCAATCCTGGAGTCCAATTCGGTTACAGTTTTGGCAGCGAAAATAGGATGCGCCTTGGCAGTAACCCACGGCTTCAATACCATCCAATTCGCGATCGCTTGAGAAAGGTACGACGCTTTACCTGTTGCAAGATTGAGGGGTTGTGCTTGTGGCATAAGTCAAGGATGTCCTGCACGCTGAATATACACTTTAGTATATATGTGTCTACGTATAAGTCAGCTGATGCATGTCGCAGGCAAAAAAGTAACACCAAAGTCCCCTACGATAGCTTCGACAGGTCATCTGAAATGCACAGTGTGCACTCCCACTACGAGGAGCAGTAGCTAGCTAGCTAGACCATATTTGTCTTGTCAGGTCGCTACAGGACACATGCAGCGAGAGAAATGTAGTATATGATAGTAAGATAAAGGGTGGAGATATACTTTTTGGCAACGAAACTTAAAAACAGTGACTCTATCTATCTAACTATACCAGTCATGTCATAAGTGTCGAGGTTGTTGCTGATCTGCGTCAAGCGCTCGTTCGTGTTTGCCATTTGGTAATATTCCAGAGCCCGGAAACCGACTCCTTCACTATAATCGTTAACATCGTGATTTTTGTCGATGGCATATTTCACCTGGTAAGTAAAGAATGACCCATGACCATGAGAGAAGCTGCCCAGGACTGAAGCACGAAACTAACGAGTCCAGTTGTAGATTTTTTAAAAAAATGCCACGCAGTGCTGTCTGTAAAAGTTTTTGACCCTACAACGCGAACCTATAGGGAAAGGCTACATATATAGAAAGTGGGTCTTCGTATCAAAGGTAGCACCTTATAAAGTCGCTCCATCAGCATCTTCTCTCCGAAATCCATGAGATCCCAATCGGCCAGGTAGTTACTCGTGAAATCCTCGATCAAGTCCAGAGTCCACGGACCCCGAAATTGGTCTAAGAACTCGTCCACAACCTCCTCCTTCTCATGCGCTTCCTCCATAACTTGCTTGTGGATGAGCCGAGCTTTCATGGGCCGCCCTTGTTCCATAGCTGCTATCACTGCTTTGGTCATGTAGCGTTTACGAGCAAGGCACTTCTTCTCCCCTATCGCTTCCACCTCACGCTGATACGCACAACACGGAAACAGTTGTTAGAAAGGAGTAAGCATGTAAAGGTAGGTGTGACTGTCTACTCTGTAAAAAATGAAAGGAGAGGTGAGAACAAACGAAAAACTAGAGTCGCCATAATTTGCTTTGATTCCCTCCGGCATATCCAATGGCGTAGGCCACCTGGAAAGGAAAGTGAAGAATTGCAAGAAGTCTCAGCTCCGTGAAGTACGACTATAACTTGGACCACAAATTCACGAACAAGAGAAAAAAAATCAATCGCCATTATATATGATAGCTGAATAAAAGGAATACGTTTCAAAGAGATACTCTATCGCTTTATCGTTGAGATCGTCCCCCTCCGTGAAACAGCCAAGCATCTTTATGTTCAGATCGTCACAAGCTTCACCTAGTTTTTTCCGCAATTCTGCGGCCTTCACCTTGCCATCTCCAGAAGACTTGCAGCTGGCTATTTCGTACTCATCTTGGAAGAATTTGACTGCGTCTACCTGCTCTTTGATGGCGAGCAGAGCCTCAGCGCCAGTATTCTCTTCACGTGTTAGCGCTTCAGATTCTTTTTCCTTATGTAAGATGGAAAGTGAAGATGTGCCTCTCATGGAAACAAATCACAAAGAAAGTAGAAAATTTCCTTTGATTCAAAACGTCTGCTTAAGCCATAACTCCATTTTTTCAGCAATGCTTTGAAAGCATTTCCACACAGGTTGCCAGACCGTTGACATGCATTGTTGCGTTTGCATAGAGGGGATTTGTGGCTCCTGCGTGAGGGTTCCGGACTGCAGCTGTCCTTTTCTGACAGTATCGTCACCAGTCGCCAGACGCGCCATTTCAGAGTTGGAAGTAACATACTCGCCGGCTCTCTGGAAGTTATGGACGTTGATCACGTATTTCAGAAACAATGCAAGATGCAGGGCTGCAGCGTTTTCCGGTAGAGCCGTTTCTTTTTTGAGCCTCAGCTTGCCTTCCGCTCCCAGATTCAACAAGTCAACAAACGCCCAATTCCTGCAGTATAAATGTAAGTAGAAGATTTGAAGAAGCAGAGTACTGTCGAGAGGGAACAGAATTTCGCTAAAACAAGATAAGATGGTCGTTGTGGTCCTATACATAGCGAACCCATAGCTGCACCTGTAAACTAAAAGAATGCCTACCTACTTTCTTACTTACAGTGAGGGCCATTAAAAATTTTATCTAATCGATCCTGACATTAATAGCTTCAAACTGCAAGCTGTGCTGGTAATCAAGAGACTGGTAGGTTGGATTGGTACTAGTATCTATCTGGGAAAGTACCTCTCTAGCCAGTTCGTGCCCGTTTTGCCCATTTCAGTTGCCAAAGTCTTCGCATAGTGTGACTGAAGTTGCGGAACGTAAAGAATGAGCTTCAGCCAGCTTTTCCCGCTGTCTCTGGAAAAAGATTCCGGCTTCGGTAGCTGGCCCTGTGTGTGGAGGGAATAATAGGAAGGAGATTAATTGATAGATAGAGGAGACTGTAGATATGGATCACCAGAAGAGTACTCTATACAAAGACCATCTTGCATTTTTGCGCACGTCTGTTTTGAAATAGTTGGACGTTCGATCTACCGTGTAGCATCTATGAAAGCAAGTTGTAGGTCAGTAGCGTAGCAGTTTTTCATATAGAAAAGTAAAATAGCAGATACTGATACCAAGAGCAAAGATATCTCCTCGGGTGTGAGAAGTTTGTTCGGGTCGTCTTTCAAGTTCTCGTGGATTTTTTCTGGTTGGGACAGCTGTTTTCTTGTTAGAGCTCTCAGCCCAGGCCGAATATGGCTGATTTTCTGCAGCTGCTCGTCTTCCAACTCCACGCCCGTGCCGACTGTTTTCTTGCCGAATGTGATAGTAACTGTAGATCCGTCGTCCTCAGTGATTGTAGCTACTATTTGCTTACCCTCCCGCAAACATTCAGCCTCCATGTAGGCCTCCCACATTTTCCTCCATCTGCCTGCCATGAAGTGGTACTTCGTGGTCCTCGTGTGTGTCTTGTAGTTTTGTGTCACAATTCGTGCTACATGTTGTACTAGACCTTTGTCGTCACTGCATGCCTTCTTGAGCCAGGGCACTCGGTTTATCACGTCGTTGATGTATTCCTTCACTTGTCTTCTACCAGTACCCGGCACCTGGTTGGAGGAGGATCTCAGGCGATTCTGGTTGTTCTGGTTGTTGCTTTGATTGCGCGGACGGTTCTTGCGCATTTCGGCGGCTGAAGCCGGGGCTATCAAGCCCGCATATCTGGCCACCCCTCCGCTGGATGCCAGGTTCGGGCCGGGGCTGGGACCTCTCCCACGAGCAGGCGAGGACACACCCCGCCCGTCCTCGTGGGAACTGCTCTGCATCTTCTGCTGATTTGCAGAAGAAGAGCTGCAAGAAGCAGAAGATGACGACATAGTGATCAATCGAGCAAACTTTGAAACTCCCAGCTAAGTGCTAAAACTTTGTAGATAAGTTCGTTAGAAAACTAGGAAGGGCTCTACTTGAGTCTATGAACTTTGAGCGACTATTGGCCAATATATATGTTCAAGACTAGTAAGTTAGTTGTAGGAGCAGAAACGCTGCGTGCTAGTTCGTCGATCTTATGAAGAAGGGTAAGCTAAACAAGTAGTTCTCGATAATAAGAAGCAAAAGCTGTTGTTATGAGTCGTTGCTATTCGTCAGAAGTGAGTGTTGATGTAGAACAAGTAAAATCTTACTCAATAAGTACTCGCGCCTGCATGAGTATTCAAATTGAGTCGGTCTAGATGACTTCAGCTCCCAGAAGCAAACGCGCGCAAGCCACCCTTACGATACAGAGGGCCTCGCAGTTCAGAGTAGATACGAGGTAGATCTGATTTACGAATGCAGATAACAAGTTGAAAACTGCTTAAATGTTTTGTAGATGTAATATTCTTACTACACTGGTACGAAAGTTTCCTAACAAATTCCGCGCTTCCTTGGTCGATACTGTGGCCTATGACTTCAGAATATATAAGCTACCCAGATACAAATCCCGAGTTGACTCCGCAGAACCTTACTCCGATTGAAGATAGTAGTTAGTCTTTGTTTCGAAAATATGAAGTCAATTTGCAACTTTTGGCGCTTTAGACAAACAAAACGATAGAGGTGATAACATAAGATATATACTCAGCTGCGTGGAGATGAAGCTTGTAGGTGATAACAGACGAATGGGTCTTACACATTAAATTTTTGTAGAAGTTCTGCTTAGATACTAACAGTTCAATGTCGATAATGGAAAGGCGGTCAAACCACTCGAGAGAGCATAGGACTAAAACGCAACCAACAAATGTATTACAAGCGGTTCTTCGTTTACGATCAGACTCCTGTGGATTCGAGGACTGCTGTAGATAAGTTGTGGCTAAGTGCCTAGTTTATAATGGAACAACTGGTAATAGTTTGGCTATTGGGCGTCTTATAGATAGAGCGTTGACACTTAAGCCGATCACTCTACTAGATGCTTGCGGTCGTGTCGCGGGTTGGAGTAGTTCAGTTAGATTTTTCAATGATGAGTAAGCACTCCTATTACAAACTTCAGCAGAAAACTTGCCACAGTAAGGTAATTAGGGGTGGCAATTAACTCAAGGCCAGCAGTAAGTTGTGACGTCTCAAGAGTGTTCGTGTACTATCAGGTTGTATAGTCCTACTTTCTGGAATCCGTTTGAAGACTGAGTGCAGGGGCTTCTTGCTCAAAGAGTTAATGAGAATTAGATTAGCCGCTGACAAAGACAAAGCGGGGGCACCTTGCTATAGTTAGTTCTTCTATCGTTAAAAAACAATGTTACCTCTCAGATAGTGCCTACTTGAGTCTTAGCGCACAGAAATACACAAGACTATTCTTCTTGGTAGTGTTTATGCGGATTCACTTTTCTGAGGGAGCGAAAGGAAGTTCGAGCGTAGCTAGTGGGAGACTTCCTTGCTATCTATACCGCGACCACCTAGTTACAGGGGGACAGGCGTGATAATTCACTTGGTTCTGTGTTTCGCTGTTGCTTATTTCCTCTAAAGTTTGATTGGGTGGGAAAGTTGATGAATTGTCAAGAAGCAAAAAAGTAACACTACGGACAAGCTACAGGGCTTGGCTGGGAACTAGTCTCGTTGTTGAAAGAAAAGCATGTCTTCGAGGCTCCAAAAAAGTGCGAGATGCAAGAGGATGACCTCTATGGGCCAGTACGTAATTACATGATCATCAAATCTCTTCCAAGATAATGATAATAGAGGACTTGTCAGAGCCGAGCTGTATCTTTGTCTTTTTTCTAGGCTATTCTATGGCAAATTTTGATGAGGAAAAAGCAAGGCGGTGTTTGCAAAATTGTGGGCGAGTGGGGGATAAAAAAAATCACGACACCATGCGAACGATTGCGAAATACCGATATACCGAGGAAAAAACGGACTGTCACATCAGAAGTACATCAGAGGCGCACGCCACTTGCTCAAGACAGTCGACAATAATCGATGTTGACGGTTTAGGCGATAGAGTCTCTCTGGTGAACTCAGGCCAAAAAAACATACAGCGACTGCGTTGCTTTCTTTCCGAAACAAAGTCATCGATCATTCAAACTTGCCCGCCCACTTGTTTTTACAAGCACGAGAATGTGGCGCGCCACATATACCCTGGGGGTTGTGAAGCACGAAGTTAGAAATTGCGAGAAGAGGTCACTCAGTCAGCCTCCAAAGTCAATACTAGTTAGTTAGTTTTAGGAGCAGAAACGCTGCGCGCTAGTCCGTCGATCTTATGAAGGGTAAGCTAAAGTAGTTCTCGATAATATGAAGCGAAGTTGTTGCTATGAGTCGTCGCTATTCGTCAGGAGTGAGTGTTGAATGATGTTTGTAGAACAAGTAAAATCTTACTCAATAAGTACTCGTGCCTGCATGGATGAGTATTCAAATTGAGTCGGTCTAGATGCCTTCAGCTCCCAGAAGCAAACACGCGCAAGCCACCCTTACGATACAGAGGGCCTCGCAGTTCAGAGTAGATACAAGGTAGATCCGCTTTACGACTGCAGATAACAAGTTGGAACTGCTTATATATTTGTAAATGTAATATTCTTACTACACTGGTACGAAAGTTTTCTAACAAATTCCACGCTTGGCCTAGACTGTGGTCTATGACTTCAGAATATATAAGCTACCCAGATACTAGTCCCTAGTTGACTTTGCAAAACCTAACTCCAATTGAAGATAGTAGTTAGTGTGTGTTTCGAAAATATGAAGTCAGTTGGCAACTTTTGGCGCTTTAGACAAGCAAAGCGATAGATGTGATAACAAAAGAGATAAACTCAGCTGCGTGAAGAAGAAGATGAAGCTTGTAGGTGATAGATAACAGACAAATGGATCTTACACATTCAATTTTTTTAGAAGTTCTGCTGAAGCTTAGGTGCTATCAATTCAACCTACTCTGGCTACACGAGGGGCGTTGCCTACTCTGGCTACGCGCGTTTTTGGTCGCCCCAGGCTCTATGATTTACAAGCAAAAAACGCAAACATAGCGAGCGCGCGCGCTAAGTCGAGGCAGCCGGAGCTGGGCGCCTTTTGGCATGGAGCCAGCGAGCACATGGGCGACGAACATCAGCCAAGCCTTTGAGTTCAATCGCCGACAGAACCCGTCGACGATCGTAGAGAACAAGCACCAACACAAAGAACACTACGCACACCCACACGGAGCGGCCTGAAGAATTCGGAAGAGGCTTACCCGGGCGGAAATTCAGCGCGGTGGAATCGGTCGGCGCTGGTCTAGTTTGTTTCGCTCTTTCTGCGCCGCTCTTGGCGCTGGGTTCCGTTTTATGGCGCTGGGTTCCGTTTTGGCGCTGGGTTTTGGCGCTGGGTTTTGGCGCTGGGTTTTGGCGCTGGGTTTTGGCCCTGGGTTTTGGCCCTGGGTTTTGGCGCTGGGTTTTGGCGCTGGGTTTTGGCGCTGGGTTTCGGCGCTGGGTTTCGGCGCTGGGTTTCGGCGCTGGGTTTCGGCGCTGGGTTTCGGCGCTGGGTTTCGGTGCTGGGCTTCGGTGCTGGGTTTCGGCGCTGGGTTTCGGCGCTGGGTTCCGCGCTGGGTTCCGCGCTGGGTTCAACGCTGGGTCTGGCGCTGGGTTCCGCGCTGGGTTCCGCGCTGGGTTCCGCGCTGGGTTCCGCGCTGGGTTTGGCGCTGGGTTTGGCGCTGGGTTTGGCGCTGGGTTTGGCGCTGGGTTTGGCGCTGGGTTTGGCGCTGGGTTTGGCGCTGGGTTTGGCGCTGGGTTTCCCGCTGGGTTTCCCGCTGGGTTTCCCGCTGGGTTTGGCGCTGGGTTTCCCGCTGGGTTTGGCGCTGGGTTTGAAAAGACCAAACAGCCAAGAACAATCACACAGAACACGAGCCCAGATTATCAGCCCAGAACACTGCCCGACCATGCTGGCAGACAGGGGACAACCAACAGACGCAGCCAAAAACCAAAAACAACAAGCAAGAAAAAAAGCCCACGGCAGAAGAATACCAGCAAAAAAAAAAACACCTGCACACAAATACCAGCAAAAAAAAAAACACCTGGAGGAAATTACCAGCGAAAACCGCGCCGCGCGCTGGGTTGTTTGCTGGGTTGTTTGCTGGGTTGTTTGCTGGGTTGTTTGCTGGGTTTTAAGTAGAAAATAGAACGCGCGACCGGTTTTGCGCTGGGTTTTGCGCTGGGTTTTGCGCTGGGTTCTGCGCTGGGTTCTGCGCTGGGTTTGCGCTGGTAAGATTTTGCGCCTTTTTTTTTTTGCGCTGGTATTTTTCTGCGGTGAAAAATACCGGCGAAAAGTGGCGGCGAATATTATCCACGAATATCATCCGCGAATATTATCCCCGAATACTATCCACGAATATTGTCCGCGACGACTATCCCCGAATATTATTCCAGAAGACTATCCACGAATATTATCCGCGAATATTATCCACGAATATTATCCACGAATATTATCCACGAATATTGTCCACGAATATTATCCACGAATATTGTCCACGAATATTATCCACGAATATTATCCACGAATATTGTCCACGAATATTATCCACGAATATTATCCACGAATATTATCCACGAATATTATCCACGAATATTATCCCCGAATATTATCCACGAATATTATCCACGAATATTATCCACGAATATTGTCCACGGATATTATCCACGAATATGACCCACGAAGACCGTCCACGAACACTGCCCACGAATACCACCCACGAACACCACCCGCGGACACTGTCCACAGGTATTGCTTAGCCACAGACACTAGCGGGGAACACTGCCCACAAATCTGCCAACACTGCCAACGGGTGTCACCTCTTTGCCCAAGCATATTGCCCGCGGCCGAACGCTGTCGACGACCGTGGCGGGCCTTCTCTGCAAATATTGCCCAAGAATAACATCCGCGAACATTGTCCGCGAATACCATCCCCGAACAGTCTCCCCGGATGGTATCCACCGACCCCTACCGACCCACGAAGACTCGGAGACAGGAACTATAACAAACACCACGCACGCGGCGGCGCCCGGGGGTGCGTGGGTGATCTGCTTGTCTCAGACCAAGAAGGCAGAGGGAGAGCGAGCACCCACGCAGGCGCCGCGCGCTCTTGCCACTGTGATGCCAACACATAGCCACACACTTGCGCACTGAAATTAATACACACGCGCGCCAGTTTATCTATGTAGGCACGCCCGTAGGTGTTTGCAGCTGTCCGCGCCTATGGCGTGAGTGTGGCTTAGATGGATAGACGGCGCGCGAGAAAGAGACAGAGAGAAAGACAAGGCAAGGGCGTGCGCGTCTGTGTGTGTCGCGATGAATTTGCACGAACGAAAACCGAGCAAGCCCAAAAGAGGCCAATAAGCCACCCTTCTTGCTAGGGTGGGCGCCAAGAGTATGCGTCAGTATCTATAACTATGTGCGTTTGTATGCACATCCATGCTTTTCTTTGGCTAGGTGGGTGCTCAGTGACACTCAGTCTAATATATAAATGGCGTAGGTCCTACCTACGTCGTCGCGCCTATGTATGTAGTAAGTAAGCTACGCAAGAACCCGCCCTCTATCTGTATGAGTTGACTAGAGGAGTGAGCCCGTCAGGCTGGTTGCCCTTTACTTAGTTTACTTAGAGCCCGCGGCCCTCGTTATAGCTCTGCAGATAGATGTACCGCGTCGGCAGGTTAGCATAGTGAGAGTCTAAGTCTTCGCAACCTTTCTCAACAGCAGCGCCCTCGTTCTCCGGTAGACGAAGTACCGCCTTAGCGTCTTCTATGCGCTTTCGCATCTTCCTCCTGTACTCCTTGTTTAGCTCTTTGTACGCGTTGTCTTCAGCTACACTTCTGGGCTTTCGCTGCCCTGCTTCTGTTGGTTCGGGGTTGATTTCTAGCAGGTAGTGCATGTGCCACGACCAGACTCCTACTATTGCTCGACTGCCCGCAAGGCCGTACTCTAGCAAAGACGCCGATCGGCTCAACTTCGCTCCAGGAAGGGCGCGGATGGCTTCTACATGCATCCGAGGAGCATTGCACACTGACGCTGCGTTGTTGGATTTTACGCGAGCGATTCCAAATCCTGGCGCAAAAGGTAGCGAGTTACTATCTTCCAGCATCGCGCGCCGGTTCTCTTGTAGAGCCCGCATATGCTCCGCCAGTTGTTCTTCCTCCATATCCTTCATCGCATCGTACCCAGCTCCACCTCTCGCAGCTTCTTCGCGCTTCGCTACAGCCCTGTGTTTTCGAGAGAGTGACTTCTTTTCGCTAAGTCTGTCACTGAGTGGGTGGACCAATGTCCACCCAAGGCGTATTGGCTTACTCCTACCCGAAAAGCATAGTTAACTTCAGGCATAATTAAACAAATCTAGCTACTATTAATTAGGAACTACAAAACAATGGGCGTCCCTTGGAAGATTGATCGACCAAGTTAGAAAATAAAAGGCCCGGAAACAAAGTAAGCCGGCACTTTCCTTCGTTGCCCGAAGGAAGCAAGAGCGAGCACGGCTTCCTTGTCATGAATGGCCAGCATTAATTTCTATTCCTAGCTTC